CACGCAATACTGCCTCTTCATCACCTGTCTGCCCGTGGATAAGTTTCTGCAAGAATATGATTCGCTATAGCGTGGAAATGACAAAATCATGCAAGTATGCTGGGGTACATGTAGGGTCGCATCTTGCGAGATCTAGATTTGGGATGAAACACGATTTGCCAAGAATACCGTAAATGGCTTGGCCGTGGGACGGGCCAGCAATTGCCGGACTTATGAGAGGAGTAGTAGGAAAATTATCACCTCAGAAACAATCATTGGACACTTCACAGTGGTTTTTCTCGGCTTCCAATGAACTTTCAGGCTCGTAGGTGGCGCAAAATATGGAGAATCTACCTGCCCCGCCTGGACTGAGGCTTTGGCACTATTCCAACGCTAATCCGACGGCCAACAAGGAATTCCCTCGAGCAGAGTTCATTTCCAGTGTCAATTGCCGGCTCATGACACAATCCCTCAATGTGGGTGGTTGCTGTCAGATCCGGTTTATGCTGACAAGAGAAAGACAGGCCCTCTCTCGTGGGAGCGAGGGGAAGCGGGTTATATAAGGGTAATCCACAATCCACACGGGCGCTTGAAGCCTAGAACGTGTCGATCTAAATTATCGGATTGGGGCGCTGGGACGGCGCGTCCCTAGGCCTGATCGTCGTTTCATGGTAGAAATGGCACGAGCTGGTGTAAGTTTATTCCACAGTTCAGATCTGCGAGCGGTCGGACCTGTATCCGGCTACCACTGAGGTCGCAAGCCTGGTCCCACTTTGCCATAAGAGGGGCTCATGGCGACAGCGGACAGCGCGGGCCCATTGTAGCTTCTCTACGCCTCCTGTCCACCCTTGTTTCTTACTGCTTCGGTCTTACTACGTATATTTCACACGCTACCAAAAAAAAAAAAAGCCATGTTTGCGCGGCCTAGTTTTATACCCTTTGCAACCGGTCTCCCGACTGGATCTGGTATCGCGTTGTCTAAAGTTGGTTGTGAGGCCTATCCAGGAACGCTGGACAAGGTTGCTTAGAAATGTAGAATTAATTTGCCTGGGTACACCAATTTCCTCTTGTCGGCGAGCCTCCCCCGGTATGGTTCAGGATATCGACGAGTATGTATTGAATTGTGCCAGCTCATCTTGGGTCCCCGATAGATGATTTGCCGGGAGGGGGTGACTGTTCAGCGCGGTGTGCTGCCCCGCGTTGTCCGGCCACGAAGTCTGAGTGACATCGGGAAATTGTAACTGGGAAGGTATATAGGCATTTCGGTGTGCCTCCGTCCTGCTCCAGAGCTTATTTGTCAAGGCCAGAGCCATGGCATGAACCTCTAGCACAAACCGCTGCTCATCGCCCTGCACCCCCTGGTGTTGGAAGCTTGTGGTGGCAAGCTCGAGTTCCTGCTTCGCTTGCTGAATCTCCGACTTGAGTTGGCGAGCGTCGTCAATGGCTTGTTGCTTCTCAGCAGAGAGCTGCTCCTTGACCGCGGTGAGTTGTCGTATGGTATCTGAAGATCGCTGTCGCTCTTCATTCAAGATACGGTCTGCTCTGCCAATGACCTCGTAGCAGCCCTTATGAATTACTTTGGGATCTTCCTCAATGGGTCTTTTCTTCGAATCCCTGTTGGGTTCGGTCTAGTGGTCAGAAGTCAATACCGGTATCCCTGCCATACATCTATAGCAATAGGGATGGCTTCGTCCACGTACCGGTGACCGTCGCGATTGCACGTTGGTGGTGCACTGAGAGGCACCGGGAGCGACAGTCCGAGTCTGTGCAACAGGGAGGGAAGATGGCCCGCGGCCAGAAGCCCGTCTGACGCGATTGGGGGCGTGTGAAGCCGGGTTTCGGGAAGATGTTGTAGCTTTGGGCATCCTGCGATCACCTTCAGAATGGCTCGGTAGTAGAAAGTAAACTGGTTATCCAAGCGGCAGTCTGTCCTGCGTGAAGTACAGTACAGAAAAAGGACAAACAAAGGCTTTAAATCCCTCCACAACATGGCGCTAATTTCAACAGCTGGATCGACAAGGGGCATAAACGGCACCATTTCTGATACTTGCAGTAGCCCTCAAATATCCCTGTTAGGTCAAAAAACGGTCACAGTCCGTCGACCCACCTAGAATTAATGGGCGCTTCCAAAAGGAAATAAATTCAACATACAGTGCAAAGTTAGAGAACACCAGTCCGTGTTTTTGCGGCAACGTGAATATCGCTCGGATGGTCTCTGGTTAAGTTGGCTATTGTAGGCCAGAACCGTTTCGGGGAATTGGTGTTTCAATGAAGAGAGGTGTTGGTCCGAAGCATTTTGTCCATGGTGCCTGGAGGCTGGGCTGAGCGTATGACAGGGACGCTCTCCAGCTGTTGTATTCTGCGGGAAGACCAGAGTGTTTTGACCTCGGCTCATCATTGAAAACAAGCTGACCGGTGAGCTCTGGACGAGCAAAATGCCAGAGGAAGAGAGCTTTTCTTGAAGTGAATTGTCCGCCAACTTTTGAACCTTTCTTCGCTTATTGGATGTGGGTGATAACGGGAGTGCTTTACATAATTCTCCTTTACCACCCAGCCCTTTATGGCAGCTTAGCCGAGAAAGCATACTGGCAAGGCCCTAGATGGACTTTAGCATCGGAAATATCTCAGATTTCCTATCGCTCCCTGGCCCATGTTAGCCGACAATCAATTAATAATATATTCTCGAGGTGTATGCCGTCGGCGAGATGATGGTTGGTGGGCCATTTTCGAATATACTAGTGGGGGTCAAAAATGCGAGGCTGGGAATATTAGCGAAACTGGTCTTGCTGATCGCCATAGTTGGGAATAAATACCTACCTCCGGCCGACTCTACAAGACCAGGTTCAGGCTTTCTGTCCTCCACAACGGTATTGTACACACCCTGCGATATGGCTTCGCTGCCTTATGTGGCGGGTGTCTTGCTTTAATGCGTCGTACCCCCAGCGAAGGACAGGCACCTCTTCGTGGTCCTGGGGATCAGCACTCTGTAAATTCTCCAAGCTACGATATGGTCCTAGTCTTTCTATTCGTTTTCTCCCGTTAATATAACCCAATGGTATCATGGGCAACCATCAATGTATGGCGCAAAATGATATTATAGACTTGGTTTTGTCTCAGTAATTCAGAATAAATCAAGTGTATACTGATCATGAATTTCCATTAAATCCTAAGAGGCCCAGTTCTTTCTACGAACGCATATCCCATACGGTCGGCATCTTTCCCTACCATTTTCGCTGCGCACTCGCTTTTGGTGTGAAATTACAAGCACGGATTACATTTAATCGCCTAACTGTGTCGTATGTCACCATTGTTGTCCTCAAGGTAAAGCTTCAATCGTTGTCGGAAGTGGGTAAGATAGCATAGGCAAGTCCCAGTCGAGAAGCGTGCAGAAACCAAATATGTGACGTCCTGTTGAATATTTTGGGCATCCGGAAGAGGGCTAAAGTTGGTCATCCTGGACCTGGTTCTTCAGTCATCGAATGTCAAGGAAAGCCCATTCTTAGCAATAAACCATTTATTGTTTATTCTGCGAGGTGTTCATCAAAAATAACCAGGCCTATGGCTAATATGGATCTACAGATAGAAATAAGCGGACGAGACGTTGAACAAATGAACAGGGTGCTTAAACCGTTGGTCTTTGCTACTAGAGTACAAGCGGTGAAGACTTCTCCCACCATCAATCCCCGGATATGTTCTTAAGGTTTGAAACGCTGGTTGGCATCTGGTTATCTTTGTTGCAATGGTTTTCTCAAACGACCAACGCGGATCATGGTTCCAGGGAAGTTGGCTATCGTCCGTTCAGGGTCGGTCATCCCCCACGAATTCTTCTTCGGGGGGTGAACATAGGTCGTTGAACAGCGCTTGGAATTTGCACCGTTCATACAATGAACGATATTATAGTATACACCGGTTGTCCCTGGGTTGAACCTCTGACATTTCTGACCACCCCTTTGATGTGCTTGGTGTTTCGAGTTCATTTTCGAGTTCATTTTCGAGTTCATTGTCGAGTTCGCACAATTCATCATCCTAATAGACCATTAGCTTTGAGCGAAAGAAACGATGATATCCTGCTCACATCACTCTGATGGTGAGGGAAGGTGGAGTGAAAAACACGCATCTGCCCATCGCGGGAACGACGGACAATAGTGATTTGAAGGAGACCGGGCATAGTCCCGGGCAGTTGGGATGGGAGCTGATAAATGGACAGCGATGGAACTTGGAAGCCAACGGACAGAATAGCAGCATCCACGATGCTAGAATTGCGAAAAAGAGAGATATCTTATGGTTCAAGTAAATTAAAGATTATTTTCGAATTCTCGTCGAATAAATAAATAGACCGTGTTCGAGGTAGTTTGTAATAGCATATCCAATGAGGCTGTTCAAATGGATTGGTGCTTTCCTCACCCAGATTTGAAGTATGGTGACAATTGATGCGACTAAAAAGTTGATGTCGGTCCATTTTCCCGATGAACATATATGGTCATGAAGATGCCTCTGGTACAGTCGTTGGTTGGTTGGTTGATTTCATTTACCCTGACCCCTCGCAAAAAAGGCGATATGCAGGTTACCACAACTATATATCTGAATGTGCGTACATGTATCGTGCACCCCTTCCTAAACGAACTTAGAGCCTCGTCGGGGCCTGTCGTGGCCTAGTAGCCCTTTTTTTTGTCTTGCTGCCCTCATGGCGCGCGGCTTCGAAATCGTTGAGACGCCTCCGCGAAGTCCAAGACAGCCTCCACCGTCTTGGCACGTGAAGCATTATCAGGCCTACCTCTCCCCCTTTCTCCAGATCCTCCTAGAAGTGTTGACATGCTATTGAACGCGTCGCCAATCTTTCCCCGGAGCTCTCGGCGCAGATCTCTGAGTGCAGGACAGTCTAGCAGATTCTCGAAATCGGCTTGACCATTCTACACTCAATCACTATTTTCTGGCCCCACCGCCAAGGCCTTAGCGTGAACAAGTTATTTGACAAGCCGCATCAAATTGAGGCCCGCAGTTTATGCCGCCACATAGTCCACATGTACAGTGGTTAGAATATTTTATCATTCAATGACCAAAATGTAGGATGCAACTTCACTTTTTTTTTTTCTGTTGTCCTTCATCTTAATGTGACTTGCTCAATAACTTATTCACGCGAAGGCCTTGGCGGTGGGGCCAGAAAATAGTGATTGAGTGTAGAATGGTTAAGCCGATTTCGAGAATCGTTCTTCAACTGCGACCTGGTCGACCAACCCGTCGATTTCCACGGCGGCGCATCGGCCTTCATCGACGACTACTTTCGTTGGCGGGTCGGCTGGTCCGCCGAAGAGAACTTGGCTAAAATCCAATCCGAAGACATACCGCGGATTGAAGCATGGGCCCAGAAGACTGGGTCCAGCTTCGCAGCAGAGAAGACCGAGCTTATCCACATCACCAGAAAGAGAAGTGAACAGTGCCAAGGCCAGATCCTCATGAACGGCAATACCATTACACCGTCGACAACCGCCAAACTCCTAGGCGTGATCTTTGACCACGAACTACGATGGAAAGAACACGTGCAGCAGGTGGTCAAGCGAGCCACCAAGGTCAACATAGCACTTGGGGGGCTGCGACAGCTCCGCCCAGAGCAGATGCGCCAGCTATATGAGGCGTGTGTCGTACCGGTCATTGACTACGCGTCAACGGTCTGGCACGATCCACTCCGAGATAAGACCCATCTGCGACAGCTACGCACCGTTCAACGAACAGCACTCATCCGAGTTCTCTCTGCCTTTCGGACAGTGGCCACATCCACACTCGAAGTTGAAGCGCATGTCCTCCCAACCCATCTTCGTCTCTGCCACCACGGACAAAACACCATCACCAGACTCCACACCCTACCACAGAAACACCCTATATGGGATACCTTGCTTCGGGCCCAACGGCGACGAAATAACGTTCGGACGCGTGCCCGGTTCCCGCTCGCAGAGACCTTGAAAACAATGAGCCCAGAGAGACTTCATGAACTAGAAATGATCGACCCCACTCCACTGCCACCGTGGCGGACAGAACCCTTTTCGAAGATCGAGATTGAACCAGATAGGGAGATTGCGATGGAACGGGCGGAGCAAGCACGGTCCAACTCGGACATTGTCATATACTCCGATACATCAGGACGCCAAGGTCACCTAGGCGCTGCGGCCGTGGCGCTCGACGACTCGCTAGAAACGACTGAGAAAATACAGATACAGGTCGGACCCATGGAAGGATGGTCTGTGCATGCCGCCGAACTGATCGGAATCCTGTACGCCATCAACATCATCAACAAGATCGCTCTCCAACGCCGGAGATCAACCGATGCGCGGGTGAGATCTACCACCATCCTCAGCGACAGCATGTCGGCTATACAAGCAATCCAAAACCCAGGGAACAAATCGGGGCAACAAATCATCCACGCTATTCTACGGGCAGCTGCAAACACCAAGACCCACGGCATCGCGGTCCGACTACAGTGGATGCCTGGACATTGCGAAGCACCTGGAAACGACACCGCAGACCAACTGGCCAAAGAGGCAGCCACACCTGGCAAAACCCACCCATTTTCCCCCTTGCTATCACGCGAGAGGGCCCACATTAGGAAAGGAATCCACACCCAATGGGAGAGGGAATGGAAGGAGTGTAGGAATGGCGGCCACCTTCGAGTGATTGACAACGCATTGCCGGCCAAATACACGAGGCGGCTCTACGGATCTCTGCCAAGGAATCGAGCGTACCTACTCACGCAATTGCGAACGGGACACTGCTGGTTATCAACATATGCGAAGGCTTTCCGCTTCCGCGATGACGACCTGTGCGTCTGCGGCGAACGGGAAAGCCTGATACATGTTCTGCTAGACTGTCCTGCACTCAGAGATCTGCGCCGAGAGCTCCGGGGAAAGATTGGCGACGCGTTCAATAGCATGTCAACACTTCTAGGAGGATCTGGAGAAAGGGGGAGAGGTAGGCCTGATAATGCTTCACGTGCCAAGACGGTGGAGGCTGTCTTGGACTTCGCGGAGGCGTCTCAACGATTTCGAAGCCGCGCGCCATGAGGGCAGCAAGACAAAAAAAAGGGCTACTAGGCCACGACAGGCCCCGACGAGGCTCTAAGTTCGTTTAGGAAGGGGTGCACGATACATGTACGCACATTCAGATATATAGTTGTGGTAACCTGCATATCGCCTTTTTTGCGAGGGGTCAGGGTAAATGAAATCAATCAACCAACCAACCGACTGTAGACATCGGATCCAGTTTCGCATCGGAGAAAACCGAGCTCATCCACCTCACCAGGAAGAAGGGAGAGCACTCAGTCGGGAAGGTCACCTTCAATGGAACCGACATCAAACCATCGCCGACAGCCAAGTTGTTGGGAGTGGTGTTCGATCACGGTCTCCGCTGGAAAGAACACATCCAGCAGGCCATCAAACGCGCCACCAAGACAGCCATCGCCCTGAACGGGCTCCGGCACCTGCGGCCGGAACAAATGCGACAGCTCTACCAAGCATGCGTTACACCCACTCTAGACTACGCATCAACGGTCTGGCATGACCCACTCCGGGACAAAACACATCTCCGCCACTTGAACACTGTCCAGAGAACCGTATTGATCCGAGTCCTATCGGCGTTTCGAACAGTAGCGACAGCAACGCTGGAAGTGGAGGCCCATGTCGTCCCCACGCACCTCCGTCTCCGACACCGAGCGCAATGCACCATAGCGAGATTACACACACTACCACGCGACCATCCAATCTGGAACGCACTGTCACGCGCCCAGAATCGTAGAAATAACGTGGGATCGTACGCGCGCTTCCCCTTAGCAGAGGCGATGAAGACCATGGACGTCGACAGGCTCAACGAGCTAGAGACGATCGACCCACGCCCACTGCCACCCTGGCGAACGAAGGCTTTCCTTGAAATCGAACTCGAGCTCGATCGAGAGACAGCGAGAGAAAGAGCAGAGTCCACGAGGGAGACATCCGAGGTCGTTGTTTACTCGGATGCGTCTGGGCGCAAGGGCCACCTGGGAGCGGCTATTGTCACGCTCAATGGTGACAAAGAGGTATTGGAATCTCGCCAGGTACAGGTGGGCCCGATGGACCGCTGGTCGGTTCACGTGGCAGAGCTCATTGGCATATTCTACGCGGTGGACATGGTGTTCATGCTGGTCCATCAACGTACCGACCGGGAGCACGGACCTGTGTCAACAGCAACAATCCTATGCGACAGCAGATCAGCCCTACAAGCAATCGAGAACCCACGTAACCGATCCGGACAACGCATCGTCCACGCAATCACACAGGCGGCCTCCGAGGTCCAGGCAGCGAACGTCAAGCTCCGCCTCCAATGGGTGCCAGGACATTGCGAGAACGTCGGAAACGACGCAGCGGATCGCTTGGCGAAGGAAGCAGCACAGCCTGGTAAAACCCATCCTTTTCGACTGCTACTGTCGAGAGAGACCGCATTGGTCCGCAGCAAAACCCACGCCCAATGGGAGCAAGAGTGGAAAACAAGCATCAAGGGTGCCCATCTCCGGCAGATAGACAGCGGCTTACCGGCGCGGCACACGAGAAAGCTCTACGGCAACTTGCCAAGGAGTCGCGCCTATCTGCTGACGCAGCTACGCACGGGCCACAACTGGTTATCTACCTACGCAAAGAAGTTCGGCTTCCGCGATGACGACCTATGCGAATGTGGAACACGGGAGACAGTTGCCCACGTATTATTGGAATGCCTCAGACTACGAGAGCTGAGGATAGAATTGAGGAGGAAAATTGGAGGCACGCTGAGCGGCGTGTCGAGCCTGCTGGGAGGCTCCACCGAAGGTGACAAAGGTAAACCAGACACCGTCTCGAGGGCGAAGACTGTTCAGGCCGTTTTGGACTTTGCCGAGGCATCACAGCGGTTTCGCAGTCGTGCGCCATGAGGGCAGCCTAACAATGGGAGCGGCAATGGGCCACGAGAGGCCGTGACGAGGCTCTAAGTTCATGTCAGGAAGTGGATCATTCTCACTGTACATACTCGGATATATAGTTGTCGTATACTGCATATCGCTTCGGCGAGGGGTCAGTGTAAATGACATCACACACACACACACAGACTGTAGACATCCTGATATACACAAGGTGCGGACATTGCGGTACAACTGCTTGAGCAATATCAGGACTCAGAATCGAGTTTGTGGACTGGAGTTTTGCGGAGTGTCACGTGGCGACAATACCGATTTCCTGTACTGATTGAGAATGATAGCGGGACGGGCCGCGATGCGAACCCCTGAACCGCCCGACCGCGACGAACGTGAAAATTCACCACCGCGACTGTCGAGACCGAAACGCACCACCAGACCACCAAGAACCTATGCTCAAGAGCAAGAGATCGACAATGAACAGAGGAAGACGCGACCTCAGCCGAGGAAGAGAACCGAACCCGAACCTCGGGTATTGATAGGGGCACCCCAAAATCTGACATAAGCAAAGTCGCTGATATAATCTTTTTTTCTGCCACTTCCATCACCATAGCAACCATATATCATATTTATGCTCCATATTCTGCTTTAATCTCTTTTTTTCTTCTACCACTACCCTGCTAGTTCTTCGCTTTCTGCATACCCTACTTACTTCGTCTGCCCTACTATGCATACTATGCAAACCAACACCACTATGCCTATCCCCGCCGCCCCTGCTGCCGCTACCCCCGATTTGCCTGCTATTCTGCATACCAATTCGTCTGATTCGCTTGCCTTACCTACTATTCTGCATGCTGATTCGCCTAATTTGCCTAATTCGCCTACCCCTGCTACTACTGATTCGCCCGGTCTACTACCCCCACCACAACAAACCTTCCCTAATCGGGATGAATTGGTCAATTTCGTGCGACAGTGGGGTATATCGCAGGGGTATGCTACTGCTATTAAGCGGTCTAACCCAAATCGGAATATCTGTATACACTGCGATAGATCTGGGGTATATTGGGACCGAATACAGGCGCCTGCTGGCGCTAAAAGGCGCAAAACGAGTACGAGGCGGCAAAATTGCCCTTTTTTGGTATATGGGAGTCGCCAAAAGGGTTCTGATTGGCTACTTCGGGTCAAAAACCCTACGCATAATCATTCTGCTGATCTAGATATGATAGCGCACCCAATTGCACGCCAATTTACCTCTGATCAGATAACCTTAATTCAACGCCTCTCAGCTACAAATATGAGACCAAAGCATATTATTAGTATGCTACACAGCGAGTTTCCTCGTCAGCCAATCATATCTCGCGATATTTATAATAAGCGAGCAGAGATTCGACGAAAAGAGGTAGGAGATCAGAGTATTCTTGAATATCTTCAAGAATTACTCGATTTGGAAGGTTATAAATATTCATTTAAGCAAGATAATGCGGGGCATATCAAATTTTTTCTTTTCTCTCATCCTCGCGGAATTCAATTGGCCAATTCATATAATAAGGTATTTATCTTATCTATTTTTCTATGATTCTAATAGCTAATATTTTAAGGTTTTTATCATGGATTGCACCTATAAGACCAATCGGTTTGGTATGCCTCTATTTCATATAGTAGGTTTAACGCCATCAAACCATACATTCACTGTAGCTCTATGTTTCATGCCTAATGAGGTTGAAATAAGCTATATTTGGGTGCTTAAAACCTTTTTTGATTGGCTGGGTCTCTTGTCTAAATCTGATTTTCGTCCGATTTTGGTAACAGATCGCGAATTAGCTTTGATGAATGTGATATATAGTATCTGGGGGTATGATACCCCACATTTACTATGTATTTGGCATATCAATAAAGCAGTTTTAGCGAGGGCAAAGCGAGATATCTCTCGTAAAGCAAATATCAATACCAGCGAATCAGATGAAAATCATCTTCTGAAGCCTCAATTCAATGAATTCATGCGTATGTGGTCTCGATTAGTCCAATCATCTACCGAAGATGAATATCAGACCAATCTTCATAACCTTAATCGGACCTATGGGAGATCTCATCCACCAATCATGCGCTACCTCGAAGACACATGGCTACTCTACAAAGAGAGATTTGTCTATTGTTGGACGAAAAACCTTTCCCATTTTGGCAATAATGCATCATCACGTGTTGAGGGGGCGCATTCAGTCCTAAAACGGCATGTGAATACTTCTATCAATGATTTACTCACTGTATGGAAGTCTATTCATATAGCTACCAGCAGCCAATATAATCTGATTAGATATCAGATTAAGGAAGATCAGACGAAACAGCTTACTTCGCTAGCATCTAATTGGCTATATACCTATCTAAATAAACGAGTATCTCGATATGCGCTTAGGAAGATTGATATGCAGCGAGTTGATGCTAGTAGGGCTACCCCAGAGACCCCGCTCAGTATATGCACCAATTATTGGACGAGAACTATAGGGTTACCATGTAAGCATCGAATTGCTGATTTGCTCGCAAAAAAAGAGGCAATTCTATTGGCTGAAATTCATCCATTCTGGCGAATTAGGGATGAAGATTCATCTAATCTTCCCTGGCAGCCTCTGCTAAATCCCCGAATTCAGCCTGCTGCTCTCCCAAAAAGGCAATTTACGCAGATATCAGATGGAAGCGAGGGGGCTGGGCCAATCAAAAAAAAGAAGGCACCGAAGTGTTCGAATTGCGGCGAAATTGGGCATACCTGTCGAAGTTGCCCTGTTGCCAAATAGGGTAATCTGTTTTGGGTGGTTGGGATGAGAGTGTCATATGATTAGAAAATAACTAACGTGGATCCCGGCCGGTCCGTCATCCCTGCCGGTCCGTCATCTCACCTCAGATTTTCTGCCCCTTCCCAACCACCTATCTTTAAACGCCTACCATGCCCCCGAAACCCAGTCAAAAAGCTCAAAAATCAGTTGAGCAGGAAGGCAGGATCTTGCTAGCTATTAAAGCTATTCAAAATGGCAGAATTACCACGATCGCTGCTGCTGCTCGCTCTTTTGATGTCCCCCGCACAACTCTTGCAGATCGGATGAAAGGCATTCCTAATCTTTATGAAGCAAGGGCTACAGGCCATAAATTTACGCAACTGGAAGAGGAATCAATTCAGGATTGGTTGATATCTATGGATCAGAGAGGCGCTGCGCTTACAATCGCGATGTTGAGAGATATGGCCAATTTACTACTTGAACACCGCGGAGATAATGCCCCCCAGACCGTTGGCAAAAATTGGCCAACACAATACATCAAACGACATCCTGAGCTTACTACTCGATTCTCTCGCAAATATGACTACAAACGCGCCCTAATGGAAGACCCAAATACTATTATTGAGTGGTTTAAGCTTGTCCAAAAAACGATAGCTCAATATGGTATCACTTCGGATGATATCTACAACTTTGACGAATCGGGGTTTGCGATGGGAATCAGTGCGACGACGAAGGTTATTACACAGTCATTTTACACCGGTCGGAGGGGCGTTTTACAAGCCGGTAATCGTGAATGGGTGACTGTGATTGAATCAATTTGCGCTTCCGGACGAGCGCTCCCACCATACGTTATCTTCAAAGGGAAACACTTTATGGTACGATGGTTTGACGACCTTCCAAAGCATTGGGCTCTTAACGTTAGTCCAAACGGCTGGACAAGCAATGAAATTGGCGTTGATTGGCTCCAAAAACACTTCATTCCGCACACAACAAGTCAGACGAGAGGGAAACATCGTCTTTTGGTCCTCGATGGCCACGACAGTCATCTTACAGCGACATTCGACAAGATTTGCCAGGAAAACAACATCATACCAATCTGTATGCCTCCGCATGCCTCTCATCTTTTACAGCCTCTTGATGTTGGTTGTTTTGCTATGTTAAAGCGCTCTTATGGAACGCGGGTTGCGGAATATACCCGATTAGGCATCGATTCTATCGAGAAAGATGACTTCCTTGATATCTTTCCAGCGGCCCGTGATGACTCATTTAAAGAGTCTATCATTCAGAGTGCCTTCGCAGCTACTGGTTTAGTACCACTGGACCCCGATCGGGTGTTATCAAAGCTCAATATTCGTCTTCAATCTCCGCCTCTACCAGATCGACCAGTTTCACAAGGTTCAACATCAGGCAGCAATATCTCTACCGGCATCCCTCGAACGACTAAGCAGCTAGAAAAACGCAAATCTAGGCTCAATTTTGGTCTAAATTCAGCGGCCAATAAGATCTCTTCGCCTACAAAACGTGATCTTCAACAGTTTTACAATATGTCGGTTAAGCTAGTTCACGAGCACATCTTAATGCGGGATGAAATAAAACGTTTACGGGAGGGAAACAGAAAGCAGACAAAAAAGAGGAAGAAATCGAAGAAGCGAATGCCTAATAAAGGTAGTTTAACAGAGGTTTTGGACCTCACTACCAATGTTGGTGGTGAGGGAGGTGGTGGTGTAAGATATATATCTGATACTGCACCTGCTCCAGAACCCCAGGTTGAACCTACACTTCCTGTTTTGCCCCCTGTACGTCGGCAAATTACGTGTTCTAAATGCGGCGGAAAAGGGCATAGATTTTCTACATGCCCGCAAAAGATTTAATTTGTCAATTCAATGGTGTTTTGGTTGGGTAAATGATGTTTGAAAAACGTAAAACATCTGAAGTTTTGATGGGGTGACGGACCGGCAGGGATAACGGACCCGCCGGGATCCACGTTAAATGAAAAAAGATTACATAAGTCAAAAGTTGATTATGTCAGATTTTGGGGTGCCCGTAGCGAAATTTTGGGGTGCCCCTATCAATACCCTTGTGCCGTTAGTAAAAAAAGTGCAGTGCCCCTATCAATTCCCGTGGGCCGATCACACAAGCGAGCCGATCACCCACTCGAAAGTCGCGTCACCCTACGTACCTACCTTTTTTAACTACCCACTATGCCACCAATTCGCTCTCAAAAATCAAGAAAATCGATAGAGCAAGAAGGCAGGCTTTTATTAGCTATCTCAGCTATTCGGAAGCAAGAAATCTCGTCGATTCGTGAAGCAGCACGCCAATTTAGTGTACCATACACTACGCTCACCGACCGACTCCATGGCCATACTAATCGCTTTGATACACGCGCCAATGGTCATAAATTGACCCAAATTGAAGAGGAATCGCTTCTTCAATGGATTCTCTCTATGGATCGACGCGGAGCAGCTCTTCGGCCATCAGCTGTACGAGAAATGGCTAATATTCTATTGGCTATGCGTGGATCTACCCCCATTCAATCTATCGGCCAAAATTGGGTCTATAATTTTATTAAACGTCATGATGAGATTAAGACTCGCTTCTCTCGTCGATACGATTATCAACGCGCCAAAAATGAAGACCCAAAAGTCATACACGAGTGGTTTAACTGCGTCCGAAAGACAATTGATGAGAACGGGATTCTATGCGACGATATATACAACTTCGATGAGACTGGTTTCGCAATGGGCCTTACCTCAACAGCTAAAGTGATTACTCGGTCTGAATACTACGGTCAGCGATCGGTATTACAACCTGGGAATCGCGAATAGGTGACAGCTATTGAATCGATTAATACCTCTGGATGGGCGCTGCCGCCATATATTATCTTCAAAGGCAAGGTCTATATCGAGGGCTAGTTTGATAATCTACCACCCGATTGGCACTTCGAAGTTAGCCAAAATGGCTGGACTACAGACGAAATTAGCCTTCGCTGGCTAAAAAGAGTCTTTATACCAGCTACTGCCAATCGTACGAAGGGTAAATATCGACTTCTTATCCTCGATGGCCATGGCAGCCATCTCACTCCTCAATTCGACCAAGCATGCAGTGATGCCAATATTATTCCAATTTGCATGCCTGCCCATTCCTCGCATCTTTTACAACCTCTTGATATTGGCTGTTTTGCTTCTTTAAAGAAGGCGTACGGCGGTATAGTTGAGAAGCAGATGCGATGCAATATCAACCATATCGATAAATTCGATTTTCTCGCAGCATACCCACAAGCTCGTATACAGGCCTTTAAAGCTGAATCGATTCAAAATAGCTTCGCAGCTACTGGATTAGTCCTATATAATCCAGATCGGGTCCTCGAGAAGCTAGATATTCAGCTTTGTACGCCAACACCCCCTAGAAGCAGCCAAGGCAGTCAAAGCAGCCAATTTACACCAAAAACGCCTCATAATTCAAAGCAATTACAACGATAGGCTTTATCAATAAAAGCTTTATTGAAGCAACGCTCTTGTAGCCCACCAAGTCCAACTGGCGCAGCTTTAAACCAGCTTATCAAAGGCTGTCAGCTAGCTCTACATAGCGCTACGATCCTCGCGCAAGAAAACAAGAATTTACGCGTAGCCAATGAGAAACAGAAGCAAAAGAGAGCTAGATCTAATAGACAGATACCTCGAGAGGAAGGTCTATCGGTTCATGAAGCTCGTGAGCTAATATCGACGCCAAACCAAGCCTCTGAAGCTCAATCGACTGCCCCTGCAGACCTTGGTCAACAAGCTTCGCAGCCACCTACACGAGCGCCACCTCGCTGTAGCGACTGCCACGAATTGGGTTATCGAAGATTGCAGTGCCCAAAACGATAGAATTAGATTTTTTTTATATATTAAGGCGTTGTGGCGAAAATAAATTGATTTGAATTTTATATACTTGGTTGGGTGAGCCACTCGCTTTCGGCGAGGGGCCAGTGTAAATGAAAGCTACTACTACTACTACTACTACTACTACTACTCTGTATTTTCGAAGAATTTTGGACTTTCTCCTTGCAAGGTTGGATAACCACTCAAGGCAACTGAAATGCAAAATTAGAACGCAATTTCGCCTTTGTTGGAGCCGCCCCCAAAAATGGAAAACACGACGCAATTTGCTTCCTGAAGCCATTAAGAGGGTGGTAGAGCAGAATGAGCGTGATTTTAGTCTACGAGTTGAAGATTATATCAGGCGAGTGCTTTCCTAAATTGAAAAAAAAGCTTACACACATCCATAGCGAGCAACCAACTTAACAAGCCTTGGCATTGCCGACATCTACCCCTTCCCCTTCCCCCCAAAAATAATCACGGAGCCGCTGTAACACATATCATCTATATTTTAGGTGGATGATCGAGAATGGGCATCGCAAGGTGCGGAATAGGTTAACTGGTCAATTTATGCTGCACGCATATCAGCGTACTAAGCGCCTGCCGTATGTAGGAGATCACACAAAAAAAAGAAGTGTCAGTAATAGTTTGAATATATCGATGGATTTACGCTCTGAGCGGATTGAAAGCTTCTCAAGATCTCTACTCAAACAAATTAGAGGCTGCTACTGTGTCCGGAGAAATTCATCATTGGAAGCTGTTTAATGAAACATTATGCTTCTCGTGAAGCTTTGGGCTGTGCGTGCATTAGATCCAGCGTGCGGTTCTATTCCAAACTCGTGATACATTCCAATGCTGCTTCCACTCTTGTTCAGCCTGTGCCTCCAGGGTCCGCGATTGCTCCAAAGCTGAACGTAGCCTGTGGACCGCCTGCAGGACACGTACATTGCCAACCGGATTCACCTCTGGTTCAAAGTGAGACTGCAGCGTCAAGTCTTGGGATGCATCAATTGCCACGGCACTAAGGTTGTGGAAAATGTCACAGCAGGAGCGATAGAATCGGTTCTCGCTTTCCTGTCGCTCCCATTGTCGAAGTTTTTCTTCTCGTCGTTCTGGGAGTGACAGTCGACCTCCGGTTTTGGAACACTGCAAACGGGTTCGTGTAGTCTCCAAAGCAATGGTGGAGCCTCGAGCTAGGGCGATCTGATGATCTAGGGAATTTATTTCCGGGAGGTCGTGCTTGCTCGGTAGAGGCCTCGACTTAAACTCCGATGGCAAATCGCCCTTAGGGCTTTCAGGTGACCGACTGTAAATGCTTGATGTACCATCTTCGAATATACGGCTCTCAGCTGGCTCAAATGCCATAACCAAGAACATAAGTAATGAGTTCTTCGTTCTCGCACTTGGCGACACTCGTTTTAAACCCTTGTAGGTGAAATGGTTATATCGATTATGTCAAATGCCTGGCGGTTGTTTTTGTGCGCCCTCAAAAACGTTTTCTCGTGGGCATTAGAAAAGGACCGTGTCTAGAAGGTGTTAGTGAAGTTAACTTATTGTGAATGGGCCAATCTATACCCAATCCGAAGCCCTTGTTGTTCAAAGCCTTTGGATTCTTCTACCATATTCCCGATCAGCAAACACATACTCAGGTTTTGATAATGACATAATTTTATGGTAACCTTAGTGTTAAACGTGCCGGTGAAACCCACCATTATTTGACTGGATCGCACCCTGGTTACTGTATGTATATACCTACCCCTCACCAATACGAGCCATCATGCAAGTGATCCAGTATACAAATGTTTATGAATTGATTGATGTACATTTCACAAGATCTCAGAAATTCTTCTGTTTCCGCAATGTCCGTTCTATGTTTAATTTATATTTGATATCCTGTTCAAATTTCGCTTTTAATAGATGGCAGGGGAATGCCCAGCTTATTTGAGGGGCATGTCAACCGATTAACAAGTATATTCCGTTGAGTAGCCACCTAGCACTGTTCGTGCTGATGTGTGGTAAACTGTGCCTTCCTAACCCATGGTACATGTATTATATCGCATGATTCTGGTAGGAAAGACTGGTGCCCCGATTACACTTTTGACATCGCGCTCGTAGGGGCAACATAGGATTCCGATTTCCACAGTTTAAACAGCCCCCTGGAACCGGAGCATCAATGTATGTGTCAAGCATGTCTTTAACGAAACTGGTACATGGGCCGCTACTGAGTTGTATTTCTCCCGAATGTGTCTTTTGTGCAAAAGAATTTGAAAATTGTCTCTGAAGCAGTTCAGGATATTGAATATTCCCTGTGTTTTCCATTGCAGAGAGTCGTTGAGAAATATATATCTGGAATAGATTCCAAATACTATCTGGAGTGAAGCATCCATGCGGAATAGGGGCCCCATGGTCATACATAAACAAATCGCAAACCCTTTCGTCAAGATTCCTTACAGGATTCCTTCAGTCGAGACCCCACAGGAGGCAGCTAAGTTTGTAATCTGAGTGGCGGTTTCGCCACCTCTTTTTTTGTTAAATAACACAAATACTACAATGCTTCATGAAGCATCCTTATGAATCTCACGTACAGTACAGGAAGTGTGCATGTAGTTTTAACACCTCTTGCCCACATCCTTAGCTTATATTGTATCATGCCGGCTCAAAACACTATGAATATCACTATCAAGCCCCTGATATTTAGTATAGCAGCCATCTGATGCAATATTTTCTTCCATGTGAAAGATGGATGTTTCAGATGCTGTATATCCATCTAAGACCAAGCTAGCTGCTCGATTCTAGTAGGCGGTAAGGGGAAATTTAGGGCGGTCAAGGGAGTGGGGCTGGGGGGATGAGCGAAAACTTAATATCTGTCACTGTAGCACGCAATCCATCCCAGGATACCACTACTAAGCGACACATGCCTATGCCTTCATAATACCAGTACCTCACTGCTAGGCGATATCCTGTACACCACAAGCCACACCCGCTTCAATTGTTGATATCGCCATAAGCCCATATTGCCCAGCTCAATAATATTGTGGACAAGATTATAAAGTATGCGTAATGATACTTCAAGTTGATGATCAAATCTTACAGTCGGACAGATGCCGTGAACAGAGAAGATTTACAGATTTCACACTCATCTGTGAAGGGATGAAGTTCGAGGTCCATAAAGTCATATTGTGCTCGCAGACGCTGCTTGCACTGGAGGTTTCATGGCTAGTGATGTACCTGAAATGCTATCTGAATCAAATCACTAATAATTTAACAGGAATATATATCATATACCTGATACGAGCGACGAGCGACGACTCAAAGTATATCGTGGAGGAGGCGGTTGATTTCGTTTATACAGGGGATTATATGGAATGTTTTGGACAACCTACAAATGACCAACCACCATCTATTTCGGCCCTCCAGCTCCACGTACGGCTAGTTGCCTTAGCCGACAGGTATGCTATCAGTGCTATTTGCGATATTGCAGCAGACAAGCACATGAGTAGATTCAAGAGTCCCTCGAGATCTTTCCTTTCACTTGTGTACGAACTCCTTTCATCACCCAGTCTGGCATAGTTCTCACCGCGAGGACATTGGTATCACAGCGCACCCACTCTGGCAGATAACGTAAAAATGTATACTAACACCAATCTTTGCTTGATTCCAGAGAGAGCCGTATTTGGGATATTCAGGGGAATATAGAAGATCAGGGACCAGAAAAAGGACAGACCAATTCGTATAGATACCGAAGGCTCAAAGCTGATGGCTAAGCGCATTTTTATTATGGTACTTTGCGCCCACCGCATCCAGTAGGAAATAGGGATATAGGAAGATTTCATGAATTTTCAGAATCCTGTATGAATAGAAGAATGTTTTCATTATCTCACTATCGGGCGCCCACGCGATAGTAAGCCAACAGACTCGATTATAGCCGGCGTTTCTTTTGTCCTAACGACGGCTCTATGAATTTTACGCGTCTTTTTGTCCCCCGAAAACAATAGCAGTCTCGCCTAGGAGGCCATATAGCGATTGAATGATCGGCTCGGCCAAAATAGGTATAGGCTTGCTGGTTTTTGAGAAGGCCCTGCACGGAGGTTGGAAAACCGCCAATTTCATGATGAAAGGCGGCATTTGCAATCACGATGGAAGTCACCTCTTCAAGACTTGTTACTGTAAAGGTCACCTTTTTCCGATAATATCCACACACACGACAGCCACTACCTTCGTCGACCTGGCCAAGGTGATGGCCGTGAGCCGTCTGGAATTGTGCACCCGGAAATTCCCTGTGCACTCGCTCTCCTAGTGTACTATCATATGGACGTGTACATAGAATGGAGCCTTGGCAATAAAACGAGTCGTGCATTTTGGTTGGCAGATGGTCCATTTCGAAGAAGAAAAATGCAGTGGCCAAGATCTTCCGAACGAGTTCATCTGGAATATCGTACGACATTTCCCCTAACTCCGTCAATGAATCCACGTCGTCCAGTCTTGGCAGGGGCGATGGTAGTTTTTTGTCAAGCCGGATGAGGTCAGGAATATAGTTCAGTGCTTCATAGAACCCTTGCTCGCCATCCATCGAAGGCGAAGACATGATTGCTCGAATCAGGCGCGGAATAGCGCTGCCATGAAGGATGTTGTGAGGAGATGTATGGGGTCCAGATATGGAAGGATAGTATCCCGTCCCCACTGACACTAGTAGATCGTGCTTCTGTGCCGAGGGCCAGATTGTGACGGATTCTTTTACAGCGATTCCGAGAGGATTATTGGCCCTTACACCTCCGTCTTGAAAAGGACCGAAGCCAGGGAGTGACTTTGTCTGGAAAAACCTAGGTTGCCGTCAGCTAGCCTTTCCTAATAATGAGTGCGAATGCTTACCCTGGAGCAGCAACACTGCACCGAGCCCTGCGGATTTGGAGAAGTAGTGTCAGATTCGCTTTTGAAATACATAAAAAGTAGGCCGCTGAAATGACGCATTAGATGTCACTTACACTTCCCACAAAAATGGATTATGAAGTTCATTGCGCGCAGCTAGAAATTCGTATGCTGTTTTCGTATTGTCCCGACCCTTGCCTCGGTAGTTGGCCAGAACACAGGCTTTTCCGTCCGATATACGACTCGTGATGATGGCAACACGACAACCGGAAGTGGTCGTCGTTGCAACGTCAAAGACCCGGCGCTTAGGGTCCATTGCGTCCTTGAGAGTACTCTCTAAGTTATGTGAACTATACTGGCCGTCTGCTAGGAATCCAGCAAAATATCTTAGCCAAGTAATGCAGCTGGATGCTGAGAGTTTCCATCGGGACGAAAGGGACGGTTGAAAAGCCCTTCGGGCCAAGTCGGGAAATTTGCGAAAGCATAATTCAGCCGATGTTCCGTTCAACATCAAATCAATTGCTGATAGGGCTCCTAATCCTCAGTCAGACGAGAGCTTACGACTTCAGCAAAAGAACATATACCAACACTTGTCCCTACGCACAGATCGAATGTCTGGGAAATGGATATTCCATCACCAAGCCGATTTTCAAGTGCACGCAGAAGACCTAGCTGAATGATGCCTCGAATTCCCCCGCCATCTAGGCTAAGAACAACCGGGCGCTTTGTGGGAGGGAGTTGGCGAATGGTGAGCTGAAATGAATCTTCGCAGATGGGGCATTGAGAAAAGTCGGTATTATACTCAGCACTTTTTCCAGATGTCCCGAATATCACAACGCACGTATCGCAAATCGCATGGCGACATGGCAGCATATGTTCTGGTGACCGACATAGGCAAAAATAACATACTGTTGTCGAGCGTAAACCAGCCCAGTGACGATAGAACTTGGCTAATGTCTGGCCACGGATAGTTGCAGATGATCTATTTGGGTTCAAGGAAGCGAAGAGCTGGGTAAAATGGGCCAACACGGCTTGGCAATTTTGATCGGCGTCGACACCCCTCTGTGCGCACCAGGCTGTCCTGCAGTGTTTCTGGTACAGACCGTTGAAAACAAACTCAGGTTGGAAGACTAGTCGGGTTAGAAATTCTGGAAATAAATCCACATGAATTATGAAAATAACAACAGAGCAACTCACCATGCATTTCAGGAGGATAGGCGTCCATCAAGAGTGCGGAGGCGATAAAGGCATGGATATCACCAATAGGGACAAAATTTGCTGATTGAGTCAAGAACTCTCTCAAGCATTCTGTCATTATGGGATTCACCTGTTGATTTTCTCGTGCTTCCTGAAGGCAGTCCAACTCGACGGCATACGCGCTTTCCATTTGGGACTTAAGCGCTCGGCTCCATAGGACATATAAATGACAGGCGGAAAAAAAAACCCCTTGCTGAAGACGTTTTGCCCGAGATATTTGCATCTCATCGAGAATAAGGCGCCGGAGTGGCTCAAAGGCAGCCGTAGGAGACAACTCATACCGATCCCGAAGGTCGAGAATCGTGACGTTCGATCGATGGTCTCTACCAAACGGCATGTTTAGGATATCCTTTTTGATCTCGCCATCTTGTGACATTGAGTTTCCTGTAAAAATTATCACAACACGCATCAAATCTGGGATGGGCTGAGCGCCCACCGTCAACCTGCCACGAGGAATATCGAGCAGCTGTTGGGCTTCTCTCATCTCTGAGTCATTATCAACGAAAATGCAAAGGACATGTGTCCAAGGGAAAATAGTTCGTGTGATCACTTGCTGCTGTATTTCGGCTAATGATTGAGATGTATTTCGGAGAGCGGGATATCGTCGATGTTTGTCAGATGACCACCTCAGCCAGTTAGACTCGCCCAAGCTCGATTGGCTGAATGGATTGCTTTCAGCAAAAATGACTGGATTTTCACAGTTGGCAGTAGATGTACTAAGATGCAATCGGACCAGGCCGGATGGTCCCCGGCGTGTGATATTGTTACGAGGAAACAACGCCCGAAGTGCCTTGACTCGATTACCGTTACCAGCAAAGTAGACAACTGAGGGATACTGGGTTTTGGGGTGGCTCATGCCCTGTACAATTTCTTCCAGACGCCGCGTGTCCACCAAGGACCAGCCTGTGGTGTCAGAGACAAGATCGAGCCAGGCTGCCATTGGGAACTAGGTTGATAGTAAGTAGGTGCTTCTGGAATATTTCATGTCTTTATATATCGCATTTTTATTATTTTGTAAATTGAGAAGTTTCTTTATCTCGAATTATTTGTAGACTCGAATAATTAATGGATGGCCCTCAAAATAGCTCCCCCCCGGGGCGCCCCTCTCTTTTTCTTTACTGAATTCAGCGAATAAGGATTATGATTTTGGTAATTACCGATTAATCCCCATCAATATCTAAATCCTAAAATAAGATATCTCATACGGCGTCTCACAAAACTGATTATGCACAATGTCCGACCTCTTTCTCATCTGGTTCCAAAGGACTAGGAATTGACTGGGGTCCTAAATTAAAGGAGAAAGAAAGCAAGAAAGAAATGAAATAAAAAAAACGGGGATTTTTTTTAGAAGATGCGACCAATCTCTCTCTTTAGAAGGTGTTTTAAAGAGATATAGCCCTCAAAATATTAGGCGTCCGTTTTACCTCTAGTGGTCCCTGCAGATGTATGACATCGCAAATCTAGCGAGAAAAGCCGTTCGGAATGGAACAAATGGCATTGCCTCGGCCAATTTACTAGGCGAGTAGCTACATATAAATACAGTACAGATGTTGTTGTTGGTGCTCGAACTTTCCGTTCGATCTATCCACTACGATGCTAAACCACATAATGGGACCCTTGAAAAGAATGGAGTCCTGCCATCCTGAATTACTCCCAAAACATCGCTATATAGACGGAGGTAGCACCTTTGGAACTGAGGTAAAGGACACGCCGTATATGAGAATGTTGAAGGAGGAAGCCCTGATGAACTGGAAATACAATGTGATGGTGAGCGCTGCGAATTGGGTTCTTCTTGCCGGATATATGGTTATTCCAGGCACCTTCACTTCGCTGAAGGAATCTAATCAAGTGGAAAAGGCCTTGGATAAAAACAGTGCGGGGCGAGCAGCTTTAAACACGATACAAAATCCTCCATTACTCGTCATCGCATGCTTGTTTCTCGCGGTCGGGGCTACGGCATTGGTTTTACTGTATAGAAAATTCAGACCTAACTACACATGGCTGGTGAACAAGCTCTTCATGTAAGGTTCCTAGAATACTTACACACGCAAGGCTAATGAAATATCAGGCCGGTTTCTTTGAATGCGGCCGCTGGTTTACTTACCACGGTTGTCAATGTCTCCACATCACGAGGAGGCGATTGGTCAGTGATGGCTATCATGACAACTAGCGTGACTGGATTTATATCGGTTTTCTTTCTAGCACTACTTTTTTTTATAAGTTCTTTAAGCTGAAGAAGGTTATCGAGGATGATGAGCGTGAGAACCAGTGCAAAAATTCACCCCCGTCATCCTGCCTCTCTCCCGAAAAAGGACCAAAGCTTTGACTTGCCGTCTTACGGCCATCCAAATCATAAAGAGGTAGTTATGGCTTTTGCAAAATACAATTTTGCAAAAGAGAGTAAAAATTTTATGCCGTGTTTTCTATGAGATGCTTGAACAATTCCATGTCATTCCATTTACTGATCTGAAGGTTTGGAAGATGAAAGTTGAAACTATTTTTCTCGTTCTCGTAACAAATCGATTTACCTATGGCATATAATGGATTTTCCAGATAACGATATAAGATTTTGTATTTTGTATTTTAAAGAGGCTTGCAAAAGAACGGTTTACCGGTATAATCGTCTACGGGGGCATCATGTTGGCCGGTTTGACCTGTATTCAACTTCCGTTCTGGCTTCGACTTTAGAGCTGCGTCTGGATACAGTATTCCAGAACCCATTGGTCATTTCCAAAAGTCACCCGGCGGGGCCATAGAGGTGTCGCTCCCTTTACGAATCCAAGTGATTAACAAAGAAACGCATATTACTGAAAACCTGTGGTGCTCAATGTCGATTTTGGAGAGGAGAAGTTGCCGCTGGCCTTGCGGCCTTCAGGTACATTTTCGCATATTTCAAGCCATCTGTGAAGTCTGTCCAGCTTTATGCGTGTATGTACACAATTAATTGTGACCTTTATGCAATCTTTAGCTAAGCTGATACAAGCACACTTCAATAAGAGAAAACAATTTATCATGATAATGGGAATGATCAACGAGAAAAGGCAAGCTAGTGATGAAAAGGAGGCACAATTGCAACGAGCTGCATCATGGGGAAGTATCGCCAGCGATTTTGACCCCGTGCTAGTCTAGAGAGCTTAGCTATCTTCCACTTCTTTGGCACCTTGCTCTATCATCTTTCGCCGATAGATATGATATTTTGCCTGAGCCAAAGCCTCCTTTTCCATCTGTTCCTCTTCGCTCAATTTATCCCAGCCTTTGCGTCTAAAGAGGTCTTCAATGAATTTGTTCCTGTTAAATGTAAAATTGACGGGCATTCTAGGGTTGCCTTGCTCATTTTCCGATGGGGTATTATTCGAAAATTGCTGGTTTTGGCCGTTCTGGGTCTGGCCGTTCTGGGTCTGGCCGTTCTGGGTCTGGCCGTTCTGGTTCTGGAGTCTCTCCTCTGGCTCCGGAGTCTCTTCCAATGGGCTTGGGCTTTTATCTCTCCCTAATCTGTCTTCACCTGCCCAATTCTTGAATCTTTTCACTTGAAGACAGGCAATCTCGTAGAATTTTCTATCGGTGCGTTTGCTCGCTTCTTTGCTCGCGCTGGTAAGGTCCTTGTAATTCGAACGGTTGATACAAGCCGGCAACAGCCGGACGTCCTTCCAACCAACGAGAACAGTACTAAACGGAAATCGATATTTCGGGTCGTCAATTTTATTCACAGGATTTAGTTCTTCGACAGAGTCCAGAAGGTCCTGCATACAGTGGGTGTCTTGCTTGGGGAGCCAAGCGATTCCTTTGATATGCGCGATTTTGCCTTTGTATATGAAGTGTCCATCATCGTCTGTGTCCATGGCCCATTTGTGATTCTTGGAGCGAATATTGGTAACATTTTCGCCTTCGCTTGCTCCAGGAGCTGAAGTCCAAGTAAGCATCGCGCTGTTCTTGGGCCCATACGAGTTCATGTACAATTTCCCGCTCCGGCAGTTGGTTGTCAGCAAAGTCTTGCCTTCTCCAAGAAGGTCAGCCTGACTGTCCTCATCTTTCGTCAGGTCAATAATATCAAAGTCGGCCCAGCTAGTAGGCTTTTCTTCGTCAACCAAAGAGTTTATATTGTCTGGCCTGCTCTGGGAAAAAAGAAGCGGACTTTCGTTATCATTTGTGCCATTTGCTGCCGCAGGTACACTTGCGTTGTCAGTGACAGGCTGGGCATGTTGTTTATACTCTTCATTTTGAACGTCCTCCATCGGATCTGGGTCCGTCTGGTGCTTATCATTTTCGATTTTCCTCAGATCTGAATCAATTTCCATGAGATCCGAGTTAAATTCCGTAACTTCCTTTTCCATATTCGTGTAAATGTTCATCATGTTCTTTAGCGACTCCTCCATTTGCGATTTCGATTCCTCCGAGGTTTCCGGGGATTCCAGATCAGACTTAATCCCATTCAACTTCTGCTTAAGACCTTCAAGATCTTTCTGTCGAGCATCTTTACTTGCCTTGACTTGAAGTCTCCGATCTTGAAGATTTCTCTCCTGTGGATCCGGCGCCTTGGTCTTTGATGTAGGAGGTTTGTTTACTCCCGATGGATTTCCGGAAGACGCCTTCGGCTGGTTTTTGGTCGTTTTTCCATCCCTTAAGACAGCCATTTTTCTCAGGTTTTATAGAAAATAAGCCGAGATCAATGTTAGAGATAAATGGATGGTCTAAGTGAGGAAATTTATAGTTTTTAGGTCGGATGTGAGAGTATATTTTCTGCTAAATACGATGCCCTCATGAAATAGCAACGCCCGTTTATTCAGCCACCCCGATACTGTGAATCGAAAGTTCCTTCTCTTACCCGGATCTGCCCAACATTAACATCGAAACTTGATCGTTATAACATTGTGTTTATTGCGAAAGATTTACTCGACCGACAGCGCTTACACCGCCCTCTGTTCATCATCCGTCAGAATAAGGTATCTCAGAAACTGATGTGGACGAACTAAATCGCACCTCAACAAATGCGATCATGTCCCTCAGCTTACAAGAGGGCTGGTACTTGGGCCGTCTGAGCAGCATTATGCTGTGTTCACAATCTACCCACCGATTTGACAACACACAAAATCGGCTTTCCGTGCCTTCTCTGTTACCTTGGCATGGCCAGCTAAAATATGCGCTGGGATAATTCCATGAGAGCGCATTAAGCAATTGTTGACCTAGTGTTGAGATCTGGCAGAGCGATGTCTGTGAAAAGCAACCGCGGCAGTAGGAGTCATAGTTCAGTCTACAACCAAATTAAAAGTAATATACCCCAGATATGCCTATCATTGAAATTATCATTTCCTCACCCAGAATGCTCTTCAAGAATACAATGAGATGATCCAGGACACAGCACATAATTTCGAGGTCCAACTATGCCGAGTGGATGAGAAAATGGCGCGCCTCACTACCGACAGTGCAAACGTCTTGAACTCAAATATCGATCTGAAGGATGAAAGAGATGTCACCAAACAATGTCTTCGTATTTGCGAAGACGCAAAGTCGTATATCGACTCTCTGACGAATCAAGAGCCGTCTCTTTTACACGAAGGGCCGCAAAGTGCTACCGATGTCGGTCAGAGCTCCTTCGAGGCACAAGCGCTCACGCGTGAAGCGCAAGATGAGAACCGCGATAGCTTCGCAGCGACGATCCACCAACTCCGCAATCGCCTGGAATCCCTGATTATAAAAAATGACCCTAGTGACGAAAGCGAGAGATTCCGTTTATTAGACGACATCAATACTTCTAAGAAGTGCTTAGAGGTTTGCAAGATGGCAAGCGAAGTTTCCACCCAAAAGATATATAGGGTTGGGGAGCTGATTGCAGATGGCGACAGCGATCAAGTTGTGGTGACTACCCTAGCGGATCTATTCGATGTCAAGAAGGCGCTATCCAAGGATAATTCAGCGCAATTGGTTGGGTCAATGACGGAAGAAGCACTTCACCATTTGACTGAAAAGCGTTATGGTAGCCGGTTTGGGGCGTTGGCCCGAGAATCCGACGCTGATGGCGCTGCTGGTACCGGATTACATCCAGCCAGTGAGACCAGAAAGGATAAACTCTCCTTCACCTCTCCAAAAAGCTATGATAGGCAGTCGTCCGGACAGAGAATCAGGCAGACGCCATTGCCTAATGAAGTAAGGAAGCGATCAATGATGGACGAAGGAGAGCAAGACATAGGCCAATGATCTTAAGGGTGTGCGATCGAAAAGGACTTCTCTAGGCGTCTCACAATTTGCTACTTTGTTGACTTGCCAGATATACCTGGTGGAGAAGGTGAAAAACATCTTCCTGGTCGAGTCAGTTGGGTGACATCTAAATCAAGAATAAAACATCGTTTAAGAGGCTTCCGTGAGTCGGAACGGAATCAGCGGGAATATGGATATGGTCATACGCCACTGGATGAGGTGTAGGCTTGAATGCACGGTTTAAGACAGTCTCACAGAAATATCCACCGATTTTGACATCGCATCTTTGGCGGTAATTGTCTATATCGTTTATGTACACAAGCATAGATAATTATTCTGGCGGGATGAGGTTTAACTAGTGAAGAGAGGGGTGCGCGATGGCGGTCTGCGGAGCGGACTGGACGAGAGCGAACAACCAAACACCACACCAAGTCATGCTGAGGCGTCCGAGGCAGCACGGCTGGCAGCAGGGAGGTTTCACGATGTCAACCTAGTATGCGGCATGTATGCTGATATAGAACTGAATGGTAAACATCTGCTTTTTGAATCCGAAATGTGAAGGGTAGTTGTCCGATCTCTCTGATGCGGCGTGAAGCCAAATCTATCGCACAGAAGTTCTAGAGCCTCATTTATCAAGCATCATATCAGATCGGCTGATCCCCCACTACACTAGCTAGTTAACAAGGTCCTGTCTGGGTGAGCATGATGGCCGCTGGTCCCGACAAAGAGTCATGGAAGCCAGTATGAGGGAGTAGAAATGCAGGCAGACCGGTGGAGACGGGGACGCGGGGATGACGACGACAGTTTCAGCTGCGGCAGGGGCGCCCGTGCCGTGTGAGCCGGAAATACTGTATCATTTCGCTGTAATGGAAACGAACAGGTAGCGCCCCTAGGGAGGAGGACGGAGCAAGTGGGAGGGGAGACATTTGAGCGACGCACCGAAGGTTATATAGTCGGACGGCACCGGCAGGCGGTAGGAAGCGAAACGACCTTTTCTAGTTTAGCGGCTCGGACTAAGCCCGTACAGGAAGCACTAAACTCAAGAGGGTTACGAGCGCCCCAATGCCTCTTCGCGCGTAGTGCGAGGCCAAACCGCATTGGGATGAGCTAAACCAAGACAGGGCAGTGTGGAGGCGGGCGCCAAACCCGATCGAGGAGGGCGCCGGATCGGGCAGCGTCGGCACAAATGGTTGTTGTACTCTCAATTACTGCATGCAAAATAGTTTTTTCTACAGTAGCGATTTGTATAGTTCTATGAATGTCTCTTGTGCCTTCTGATAAAATTTTATACAGTGCCGTTATTCCTCTCATAATCTAATCTATAAGTCACATCGCTATATCCAAGGAAGACTTACCGACGCGCTGTAGCAAATCGAACAAATTTTCACGTCCAGACAATGGCGCCTAAGAGGAGAATTCGATAACCAATATCTGAGAACTGTGTAAAGATTAAAAGGTTATTATCGGCTTTAAATAAGGGATCTGCGAATTACACTCCGAAGTTTCCTTTGTCGTAGTATGTACCCGTTCTGGAAACTTGCCTATTTATTACTACTTAATAAGTGCAGTTAAACTAGGGAAGCCCCATGGCCTTCGCAAAAACGAGCATAGGCTTGCAGGCTAATTTGCAAAGCTGAGTGACCAACTGATATATTGAAGTGATGTAGGCGCCACCAATAATTGCCGGGGAACCGGAGAGTCCATACGTGGAGTTATGTAAGCCTTGTGAGCTTGTCCACCTCTATAGAAGTCTTCGTTTTATTCAACGTTCGATCATTAAAGAGTTCTATATTTTCTGTGACCTCTATTACCTTCAGAACCTTGACTTCTGCTATCTGATTACTGGTCAAGATCCCAGGAGTTATTGACTCTGATCCCCCAACGTAGCCAATTCTCTCTCAGCCATCTTCTTGCATTCTCCAGATCAGCCTGCCCGTCCGTACGTTTCCTTTTCTTCCGAGAATTGTCTATAGGCAGGCCATACCGTTCACAGGAAACCCCAATGAAAGTAGCCTCCAGCGCAGAAGATGGGTGCTCAACGTACCACTGATAACAGTCTTCCCACGGGTACCCGCGTCCATACTCGTTCGGGTCATTTGGATTAGATATGTGAAAATTATGGTCCTCTAATCCCTTAAAAAACTGGTTCAATACGGGGTGACTATTGGGTAGCGTTAAATCTTGCCTAGGCTGGGTGGGCAAAAAAAGGCGCATCGCGAAGTACATCGGCATTTGGTTGTCTAGTAGAGTCGTTTGCGAGACAGATGACGGATCAAGCTGATGGGTGGAGGGGGCAGGGCCAGCAGAATCTGCGTTATCTCCATGGGGGAATGTGGTGTGTGAGATCGTTTCATCTGGTTGGATATCCATTTCTTCCAAAATAACTTCGCTAGGAACATTCTCTGGCCCAGGGAAATCATCGCTAGGTGCAAGAGGTGGGCTGTCAGGGCTTCCAGAGCTGAGATAGCGGAAAAATGCCCGGAACACCGATCGCCGCACAAATCCTGCCGTCACCCGTCGGATCTCCCAAGGCTGTCCTAGAGATTCCCGGGAGAGGGCGAACCGATCCGCATCTGTTGAGTCCGTAAAGGGCTTTCCGTATCGTCGACTCAATGCCAAGTCATCCTCGCTGCCCTCTGGATAGTCACAAGGCGCCTGATAGGGAAGGTTGACTGGTTCCGATTGGGTGCCATCAGTAAACGGCACACTGAATCCATGACGTCTGGCCAGCCAATAGAAATGCTGCCAAAGAACCGACCGATCCAAGTGGGTTGATTGACGAGGTGGTCTCGGCTCGTCCTGGATTTCAACCTTCTTGCGTGGTACGCGACGCTGATGGTCAGTCATTTCGAATCCGTACTGAAGGCTAAAGCGCCACAGATCGTAAAGGTCATGGCGAATCATGTGCTGCCTAAATGGAATACTCATAGGAACGACGGTATCATATTGTCCGCCCACGCCTATGTCGATAGTGACCTTATGCTCGGGGTCAGGGACAAAAAGGTTTTGCATTACGCTTCGGCCAACCTCCAGATAATGAATATCTTTAAAAAATGTTTTAAGAGTTGGGATAGGGTACTCGATGTTTTTTAGCCGCTCCCAGATATCGTTGCGCTGCTGCGGATCTTGGATCTTTCGGAACAGGTCGCCTTTTTTCATTTCACGGTCCAAGAATTTCAGATCTTGTTCGGAGACCTTTGGCGCACGCGACGTCAGCATACGGACAGTAGTCGCATCTACTTGAGGCAGTAAGTCGCTTCCTCCAATCAGATCGTGGAATGTCCGTCGAATGAGTTGCAAGTAACATAAAATCGGCTGGACACATGTTCGGACTCAGTTTTAGAGGATGCACAATTGTGGGAGAGATGCGAAGGGCGAGTCACTCCTACCTCGTCACACCGCATTGCCTTCAACTTATGTAACACGCCGATACTCATGTCGGCCCAGATGCCTTCTACTGGGAGAAGTGCATCAAAGGCCTGGGTAAAGCCTGGATGTCTGAAGAATGCCCGCAGATACCCTCTCTTCTTTGCGCGTGGAACATTTTCGAGAGCTGCCCACCATTGATTTTCCGCGATTTTGTTCCGGGGTCCACTGAGAAAGCCCTGATAATAGCGAATCTTTTGATAAATCAAGCCGTCCGGGGGGCGACGATCATTCCGATAGCTTTCTTGAAGAGAGCGAACAAATTCACTGTGAAGAACCCCGACATCGGCATTTTGGTGGCTGGTTCCTTCAGCACGACCTTCCTCACTGTCTTCATCATTCTCAGCTACCAGGATCAAGCAACCACGAATGACAGAGATTGAGATTTGTACAATTGGCTGACATGGAAGGCAAATTATGTTTCACTTACCACCAGCTGTCACGTAGATATCAATAACCCACCATTGATTTCCCGGTCCCAGCTTCCGGTGGGCGACATCAATAAGGCTCTGATGGTCTTCCGCCCTGAGGCGATAGTTTTCATCCACTTCCAACCAAGGAAGCGATTCTGCTTCGTCTCGCAATCTCATCCGATGTTCCCAGTCAAACGCACTGACTATGACTGGCACATGGTTTTCCTGTCTCAGTCGTAGGAAACCTTGTATTTCCATGATTTTTCCAAGTCGATGAATGTTTTCACCGTCGTCCATTTGCCTACTGAAGGTCGGGTCGAAACAAAGGTGTGAGAGGTCAACACGAGCGGCTCGGACGAATCGCGACTTACGGTAAGCGTAAAGGTCGCGCTCTGCCATCTCCACTTGAGTTTGTGACAAATGCGGCATGGTGGAAGAAGAATCACTGGGTCTTCGAGAGATGGTCCTTTGGGCAAAGTCAACTTGTGCTGAATATAAAACATCTCAGGTTCGGTAGTTGGATGCCATCCTGATGCATTCTCAATGTTGTTTTCATATTTTGATTATTCAATAATTGCTGGCCGTAAAAACTTCATTATTCCAACCGTGAATTAGAGACCATTCCTCATATTATGAATGAACGCAAGTGGAGTTGATGAAGCTAGAATTGTGATTAGGAAAGAATACTCGCTGAGCAAGGTTACAGCAAAATGAGGTTCCCGAAATTTTAACACTTGTCCCGGACATGGGTTTTTAGATGCCAATCATGCAGTTCCTTCTCTCGCAGTGATGTACCCACACTCCAAGAAGCCCAGAACCATAATCTTACTGACTCATTTTTGTTAGTTGTATATCCCGTTCGTAGAAATATAATGCAGCATAAATTGCACTTTGGTGTCCGACATAAACTGAGTGGAGAAATCCGCTCACGTGAAATATGATATTGTCTATTCGATTTTTGATCCTTTTGATCCCTTTGTATTATGAGTTACGATCTTACGTTTATTTCTATGGACCTTATCCTCTATAAGACAGATCCTTTCCTCTTCCAAGGGATGCTTCCCAGCTTGCCTCTGCCGATTATCGGTTCTATTCTCATAGCTCGAAAGCACAGTAGCTGAAGAGAACGTAAAATGCTCTCCCGCTTAGAGAGATTTTTGGGTTTTTTTCCTTTGGCTCTTTCAACTGCGACATTAATCTGTCTTGTCATAGTTTTCATAGGATGCGCATCTCCATCTTCCCCAGAAAGATACTATTTCATGACAGTGTGTCTCAAAACAATACCGTTCTGAACGTCTAGCTAATGGATAGAATGATAGGTGAACTTGACCGGCTTTCCTAGGCTGGAGCATCTGAACCTGGGCAGGTCGATTGATGTCGCTGCCGCAGATACGTCCAGCGTGGCGAACGGGGCAACAAATGCTGCAGATAGCTCATCCCAAGCGGCAAATGCCGCGCAAAATAAAACCAATCAAGTCAGTGATCACCTTCAAAATATATCAGATGATCTCAAATTGCATCTCCCGGCATATTACAAGGTCGGGCTCTTGGGGTATTGTGAAGGGAAAGCAGACGCAGCAGGTTATTCTAACTGTTCAGACCCGAGCATTTCCTTCTCGTTTGATCTATTGAATATCATTGGCTCTGCGTCGGGCCAGTTTGAGGAGTTACTACTTCCAAAGGGAAATGAAAAGGTTCTTGCAGGATATCGTGACCTCTCCAAATGGTCTATCTGGGCCTATATCTGGGGCTTGATAGCAACTATTTTTGCAACGGCCTTCGGAATCACATCCACCATGTTGTCATTCGGAAGAAAGTTGCTCATCATCTTCTCCATAGTATGTGCAATCTAATACCATCTTTTGTGAATTGTGCTGACCGCTATTTAGATAGCGACCGTATTGACAACAGGTGCATCAATTTCAATTACTGTGATCTACTGTTTGATCACTGGTGGCGTTCAGAGTATACTTCAACCTCTAGGAGCCCATGCAAGTCTTGGAACAGACACGTTTGTCGGAGCGTGGCTCGCAGTGGTATTTTCTCTCGCTGCTTGTATTATATGGTTGATTGAGCTATTTTGCTGTTGCATTTGATGCTTAAAGTAATGGTAGTTGATATGCTGGACACAAACAGAGATAACTAGCGGGCATGAATGGGGCGATTTATGACCCAAAACAATGGTGGATTTGCAATGGCTTGTCAGAATTGAAATTGATTATTACTCCCAGTCAGAGCCACAATTGTACAGCACACAACCATCGCTCTATATTTAAACAATGAAAAGATGTTATCTGTAATGGAGTTGTGGATGTTCGCTATATTCTTAAAAAAAAATTCACAGTTAGGCTTTCGTTTCGCTCTTTACTTTCCGCTTCATTAAACAATACATACTAACATCGTCCAACTTAAGCTGCGACCGAACATTATAAAAATGGAAGATTTGCGCTCTGATACCTAGGCTAGCAAAACTCCTCCCAGGCCAACTGAGCTTTGCGCTCCTGGCACATCAAGTCGTGAATAGAGTGGCGCAGGTCATCGGCGATTTGGGAGGCGGGATGAAAGTCGTCGGAAGATAAAAAAGCACCGGACTGGTGAAGACGGAGCAAATCTTCGGCGGCTTGTCCAACCGCGTCCTGCAGCTGTTTGAGAAGAACGTAACAGTTACGGTAGTATGCATTTTCGCCCTGCTGTCGGCCAATCCGCCGAACGATCTCCTCGATTTCGTCCATTCTGGAGTTCTCGACAACTCCCAAGATACATTCTTCCTCAAAGCGAGGACACGATATTATACTCTTACAGTCTGTTGGATCTGCATCGCCAGCAATAACCGCGGTCAGTGGAATAAAGTCAATACTACCAAGACCAGATGAATGGTGGTTGATCTGGTCATCATCCGCTAGATTCTGCGGTTTGTGCGAAACCTGCTTATCGTGTGGGGATACGATTTACTTACCGCTCTCATTATATGAAAGACTCGTGTAAATGCTGAACGAGTTGCATTCTTTCCCTGAGGACTGGAGGACTGGTGGCTCTAGATCAGCCATCTTGTAAATCCACCTTCCTGCAATTAGCCGAGACTCAAAGGTATAAAGACGGGAGATTGCCAAAACATGGCTAATATAGAATCTCAACGACTCGGTTGCAATGGCTACTCCCAAGGCCCAAAATCTTCGCGACTATGCGGTCATCGCAATCATCAAGATATTTGGACTGGCCTACTTCTCTCTCTTTCTACTTCACTTCCTTCTCTTTCACTTTCCGTCGTCTCCCGGGCTGATCATCAATTCCCTGTCCGTGATCTTCTTCAGCGGAGGCGTCCTGCTCGCCTTCCTATCTAGTTTCATTTACCGTACCTTATCCGCATTTCACGGTGAGGACGCAGCAGACTGGCAGAAGCTGGAGTTTGCGGGAACATTGGTCCTGATCTACACGGCCACAATCCCCTCCGTGGCTTTGCAGTTTCGAACACAGCCCTCCGTCCAGCTCGGATACCTTTTTGCTTTCACTCTTGTTGCCGTCGGAAATTTGGTGGATTTCCTCGTTTTAGACTCGGGCGCCTCGGTGGTTCGTGCCAGGTTCCCGTACCACTGTGTTTCGTTGAGCGTGCTAGCTCTGGTCCCGACCATCCACGCTCTGACCGAAACGTTTCACAGTCCGTCACCACTCGCCCTCGAATTTGCCTGGCTCGCCGGAAGCAATTCTCTTGGCGCCACCTTTTATTTGCTTCGCCCATTGGAGAGAATAGGAATAGTCGACACCTGGCGACCGGGTCTTTATGTGATGCACTTGATTTTGGTCTACAGTACGGTCACTTATTCAAGAGGTGTCTTGCAAACGATGCTCTGACCCTCTACCTAGCTTTTGGGCTACGACATAATGAATTGGGTTTCAGTTCTTTCTATCTACAGACCAATGGACCATTCAATTGGATCTGCCTTTGGTTAGATGGAGTTCGTAATGAGAGTCCGGGTGGACTGCCATGTTGGAGACTTTCTTATAAAGTACGCCGAGCTATCCAAAGTCATTCTCAAGTTTCCTAGGCTGCGAACTGCGGTTTCTATTTTATTTTATTTTATTTTATTTTATCAGACACAAAGGAGTATTGATGCGCCGTGCCAAGGATTGGCATCACATCTACTTCCCAGTATCGATTTTCACGGGTCATCGCCTCTTTCACCCATAAAAAGATTTTGGAGCCAAATTTTCCAGTGAGAAGGTTCTAATTCGGCATCTGGTGACTTCTGTAGGGCGAGCGACTCTAAGCACCAACTCTGCCATCCCGTTCAATTCAGCGTGTGGGCGCTGGAAATCATAGGCACTATAGGCTTATCCAATTGACAAACGATTGACTGCAGATGCTAGGATCGCTCGAACTATTTTTTTTCTTGGCAAGGAATTTGTTCGACGTTTCCCATTCCTCACCGCCTCCGAGCAAGTCACCTTTTCCACCAGTTTTGCCCGCGTTGCCCGCTTTTGCCCATTCATGTTTATTTGGCCTGTTTAAACGTGCCATCCATAAATCTGACCGCGCTCATAATGGCCTGATCGGTGTTTTCAAATTTTCAATGATGGCTTGGGGTTTCCTCGTTCAACACGGTATTTCCCAGCACCGATGGTTTGTTTCTTTGCGATGCTCTCCGTGCATACCTTCTTAGTGGATCGTGCCGGGCCCTCCGATTCGATTTTCGGTCCTACCGTGTTGTTCGTCAGCGGCATGATTTGCACAGGTCTCCGTTGCATGCGACCGTGGACTGTGTACAGATCCAGCTACGGATAGCTCGTACTTCACCTTGTGCTGAAAAGTCTGTTGACCTACTTACGTTCAATCCACCTGTTCTAACCTGGTTTTGTTGCCACAATGCCCGCCACGCCAGGCTTTCATCGAACTGGAGACCTGGTTCCCCTATTTAGCCATCTGCCGGCCTACGGTCGCATATGTATAAAACTAATCCCTATGCGTATGGATTGATACCTCGATACCTGTCTCATACTTGGCGAAGTCTGGGCATGATGCTAGACACTCTGCCGTGCGAGATCTTGACGATGATTGCCGACTGGGTGCGGATATAACCTCGTATCTGATCCAGGTTTCTGACCGCTCACTAGTTGCCACCTGCCAGTCTCCGTGCGCTCGGCCGAGTATCGTCGGGATTATATTCTGTGCTGGTCCCGCAACTCTACCGTGCGGTGACGTTCCGCGCTGCGAGTGAGTGGGCGCTGAATGTCCTCGACGTCGATTCTTTCCTGCTCCACCATGGGCATTCAGGGACCACCAGCTTTCTTCAACACACGCGACATCTATATATCCAGGCTCCGATCCACCTGGCCCGGTTTAACCGTTGTGCCTACTACAACATCTTCCGCACGGCAGGACTAGCCCAAGGCCCGTCTACTCTCGGCGCCGCGGATGAAACAAGGGCGCACGAACAATTCCTGAACGACACTGCGGACCAGCTCCATGTTGTCCTTGCGCAGTTAAAGCCGGATAGCCTGCGTACTTTTCAGTCTGTATCATCCGGTACCATCCTGCTCGTTATCGAGACTGACAAACGATAGATGGCGCCTGGGCACTTGTATCCCGGCGGGGGTTTTGGACGAAGGAGGCTACCTAAGCAGGCATCAAAAACGCCTTACATGCCTCTCGCTGGTCACCGATGGTACTTGCCCCCACGCACGGCATCATCTGAACGGTCTATCCCAATTATCGAGTTTGACTAAACTGGAGTGGGAAGGAATCCAGCATCCGGCCGAGGTTGAATCACTGCGGCAGTGCATCCGGCGTAACAGGAAGCATCTGACTGATCTGTCCATTGGATTTGTGTTATCTCCCAACGCCCGGAGCCTGCGCTGGGACGTCCTGGGATTGCGTTGGCCGGGCGCGGGGCCCTGCGACGAAGACGAGTCCATTCCTTTTCCGCCCCTTTCAATATTGTCACTTTATAAAGTGTCACTCTCAGGGGATCTGCGAGATTACTCCTCCTTTCGTAGCCTCCAAGCGTTGTCATTGCGTGACTGCCCGAACGTGCTTCGCTTCTTACGTTCATTGTCTGGATCACGAAGCACGCTGAACCTCCGAGAGTTTGAACTGTGCTGTGATTTTTTGCTGCACGAACCCGATGACGATTACGAATTTTCTTCGGTTGTTAGGTTTTTGTTCTCTTTTCGGGGACTACAGCATCTCCGTTTGAGGTTATCCAATTTCCCGGAGTTGGGCTTCCGAGTTGAAGATGCCATCCGACACCACCGACCAACACTCGAGAGCCTGGTTTATCATCAGCGCCAGCTCGCGCCGATCGACAACGAAGGGCTGTTCGAGGATGATCGGGACGTGTCGCCAGATTGGATCCCAGGTCTACCGGCTATCGTGGACCTGTGCCGGGTAACTACGCTGGCGCTGTGTACGAGTCCATCCGCTGCGGTAAGCCCTAAACCCTTGTGAAAATAAGTAGAAATGCCTCCCCTAACCATCGCAGCGGATGTGCCTTCAACCTGCAGCCGCATATTCCACGCTTCAGGTTTTGCATCTGCGGTTCAGCGGTGCCGAGAGAATCCACCGGGACATCCGACACGAGGTACTCGCTCTTCTACGCAAAAGACGAAGCGGGTGTCCGCCCACAGATCATGTGGACGAAGTGGCCGAGATTCCGGTGTATTCCGGAGGCGAAAGCGACCACGTGACCTTCATTGACCGCTATTTCGATTGGCTCGATGACCTGGCAATCCGACCTGGAGAAGGTAGAAATGGATACTCCCTCGGCCCCGTCCGAGACGGAGGATTTTGTGGCTTTTGCCGAATGGGCGTTCGGCCCGAGCGGCTTGCCGGCGCTGCAGGTTCTCGCATTTGGGGACTTCTCCCACAACGATCGGTACCCCGGGCAGCAGTTTTTGGTGCGGCGGAAGGGCCAGCCGGGGCAATGCAGCGGCAAAGGATCGGATCCCTCGGTCTGCAATAACCCTAATGGCTTCCCATTCTGTCCAGCGAGCATGGATGATCCCTCGATTTGGGACCGTGTCTCGTTAGACGGGGCTCGACTTCTCACTGCATGCCCGGGCGGTGGCTTGATCGAGTCCCCGTATGAGCTATAGGTTCGCCTTTGTTCTGTCACGTTCCTTGACCAACAAGTGGCCTAACACGATGCACCGTGTAAATGCGGATTAGATCATCCTGCATTTTAGAATATTTCAGTTGGTTTCTGTGGGAGTACCGTCGATGGTCTCACATCGCGGCCGTTAGCGACTTGATGTTGAAAACAAAGCACAGATATTTACTGGGGATACTAAGCGTGAGCCCCGTTTGGGAAGAGCCATTGATACCAATTCTTTGCGATCTAATGGGCCAACTGGGCTAGCTAGTAGATGCGCGCAGAACGGAATAACGCACAAATAGATGAAAATTTTCGAGACCGCTCTTATTTCCATACTGGAAAATTCAGCAAGTGCGGTGCCATTACATAGAAAAAGGAGCTAGAGTATGTATATAGGACATCCAATGATTGTCCTAACTGTATAAGGTGAATGAAAGCTACAAACTGAAATTCAAGCTACCGTCCCAGCTATCACTCTATCATAAGTGTGGGAAAATTTGAACCTAGTTAACAAATTCACAAATTCCAGGGCATCAGCCTGGGACGTCTTCAAGCCATCGAATTCTGCCCTAGCTCCTCCTTACAGTCCCATAGTCTGAGGGTACTGATGCCGTCGATATGGCAAAATTCCATATCCCAAGAAGACTTGTAGTCATCAGTCGTAACATATTTGGTTTCTCCGATAATAATGGTGAGATGACACCAAAGGAGCGCGGAGGATATGTGATAGGAAAAGCCATATTGGTGTAATGCCCTATCGAGACCACCTGGCATATATTGGTAGTGGAGTTGGGGGCCTCGACCAATCTCAAACTCGAACTGTGACTTGACTGAATACCATCGAAGCTTGTTGTCGTACCAGTGAGCTTTCTCGCTCATTTCTGAACGTTTGTGTCCTGAAGCTGGATCCGCCGAAGGCTCTTTTGACAAGTTCCATTTCTTGGTCAGGTCCCCCTGTAGAGCGGCTGCGGCTTCCTGCTCATCCAAGCTCAAGCGATTGTTTTGTCATATGTTGAAGAATCTCCCGATCAATGCGAGGACACGACTTCTTGAAAGACTTCCAGCCGCCTAAATCTTTGGATAGGTCATCGAAGTATTGCTTATGAGCTAAATCCCCAAGACCCTTAAATTCTTCATACGAGAGGACTTAAGATGTGTTGTTTGCAGAAACATTGTCGATTGGGCTTGAAGACTGAACACGATCACGTAGACGTTTCACCCCGCCCTCAGTCTACGGCTCGGGTGACCTCTCAAAATTGAGCGTGGATGAAGAGTTCATGGTGTTTGAATGAACTTTATATAATATCCAAACGATGAATATTTCCACTTTTCGTCCAAGAAGGCACAATGGTTAGAGACCGGCGTACACTCAAACGAAGGTATACAAAGATGGAATTAGTTAACATACCTTATAGAGTTTTTAGTCCGAGTAGAGGAAGGGGTTAGGTCGAATTTATATCTTGTTAAAAGGGGCGTAAGTTTCCAGGTGACCTAACTCTTGGGAGCCTCTGTATACTCAAGTTCCTAGGAGCCATTTCGTCCCCTTCCAGGAAAGATGTAAATGCGCTCCAGAGAAATCATATCTTCTCCTGCGAGCACATACTTCGTTCCTACCTAAGTACGGAAGCACATGACTTGCAAGATGATGTTTGCTCATGAGCTATCTGGTACATGCCTCACTAGCGGAACAAGTAGCACCTCCTCAAGTATTGTTTATCCAGTAGTGGCCCTGGTTGCAGGCTTCCGATTCGATCAACTTACCCGTTGGTTCTAGAACCAATTCGGAGATAGTGGAACGCGTGTTCCTAGGAGCTTGTAGTATACGCCTCGAGAATCCAGAATCGATGGTTTCGGTGTTCTTAGGTCCGAACAGGGTTCTCCAAGTCGAGAGTCACCAGGTTCAAGCACGAGCTTGAGATGACCATCGTTGAGGTATTTTTGCCATTGGATACTTGCAACAGAGAACAGCACCTGCAGTTACCAGGCATCCATGCCACAGAAAAGAGTAACGATCACGACAGACAGGTGCAGGGATGTGGGTCACACGGACTGGGTCGGCGAGGAGAAGTGGTAATATCGAATCGAATACGCAAAAAAAGACATCAAGGGGAATCAAGGCATTTAGAGAACTAGTCGACTACAGTACTCTCGGGCACCCTCCATTATCCTTGGTGGGTCCGAAACCATTGGAAAAGGCATGGACGCATCGAATGGCTTTGGTTTTCAATGTCGTAGATTTCAGCCGGGTTCGGACGCATTCTACCCAAGATACATCACAGATGTTTTCTCTCACCCTGGTTACAATAATGTAGGCTCCAATATACAGAGGGAGTAGAAAAGTACTGGGTAGAGTCAATACATCAGTTTACTAAGCCCCTAGGAGAATGCCTTTTTGGCCTGGGCCCTCAAAATGAAATAACATTCAAAGAGCTTCCGTCATCGAATACCACTTTATGACTTCCTATAAGAAGGAAGCGTTAGTTCCGCCAGGATCAGCTTCTCTGCTCTACATCCTCATTTCCAGGATCGCCCAATCTCTTCTAATGGATTCTCCCGTTTTCGATTCTCGAGCTGGGAGGCCTGCCAAAAGAAGACGTGGATCGGGTGTGGATCGAGAGCTTGGCTCGAAAGAGCCACACGATAACAGGAAGACAGCAAGTACACCAGGAAGGGCAATGCGGCAGGAGGCGAAGGTGAATAAGGTTACGCAGTACGGTATTCCACTCGCTCTAATCAATCGTTTAGGCAACCTCGGCTTCCAGAACTCATTCTCTCACACACGAACTGGAGCAGCTACTGCACAAGAACCCACCCCTGCTTCCCTACGCTGTGCAGCTGGTCGGTTTCTATCAACGCATATGGGATCGCTATGTGATGGAATATGCCACGAAGATCCGGTTGGGCGAGGAACATCGCCTGCTTCAAGACTCCAACACCTGGCTTGCGAGCGGTAATGAGCAAGTTCAACGACTCTGCACCGAACGGGGGACATTGTTGAGTGAGCGCCGCCAAGCTTCTGAAGCCATCCGCAAAGCCGTTGATGGAATTCTTGAGAACTGTGATAAACACATCCTCTCGTTGGCTGAGTGAGCCTAGTGAACGTCCAAAGGAAGAGAATGGTGTCCTCCACGAATGTGTGTAGACCGAACTGAATATGAGATTACGATGTCGCTTTGTTTCCGGCTATTGAACGTTTGAAGGTCCACAAAAAGGTGGCGTTTAGTCAATTCGAGTAGGTGTTGCCCAGCAGGAAATTATTGAGCGGTTGTTCATGGTCGTCCATGGGCGTTCAAGTGGGGCAAACCTCCCGAACTTCCCGCGCGACACGAGGCCCATGTTTATATTGAACGGATCCAAGTCAACCTGTGTAAGTTTGTGTCGTTTTCGGCGAGAGCCAATAGACACCATATCTTTTACGGCGAACTAGCGAAGAACGTTCAGCGCGGTGTTCAAAAAGCACTGCTATTTTTCATTATCGAGTGTCCACTTATGGTAATTGTCTGGTCGGTGACCAATCCAGAATCTACCGAACACAAAATGCTCGGAAAATGGTTATTTTCAGACCTCCAGCTCTGGTTCCTCGATTGAAGTTGAGGCTGTTTATACCGGCCAGCAAACCAGTGTAGGATGGAGAACGACGGATGGTCTGAGGCTCAGTTCTGCTACCGGGGATCATTGTAGGATCATTGTTGGAACTCCTGAGTTCTTGACTTGTAAACCGATTCCAGCCTTCTGTTCGTATGTCCACTGTTGGTTTGGACTATACAGAAGCCACGAGGGACGATATAAGTATTGGAGCTCGACCGAACTTCCAACCCCTCTCTCGGTATACCGCTACTAGTTATATCACTACCAAACAGAAACTCCTAAGATTCGACAGCCTTGGAGAAGAATGGAACCCCCTTCTCACAACGGTAAGTCTGGTCTTCCCTGTATGACGGGCTCAAACATTGATCTTTCTAGACCCTCTTCTAGGCTTTGATCCGGAGGATTTCTGGACGACATTTCCAGACATACCAACGGTACCTCCGATTCTCGCAGCTAGCCATGACAGTGTTAGCTGCGACAGTATTAGCTATGACAGATTCTTTCCCACGCAACCATGTCATCTACCAACACATTCAAACCCGGCAGACGAAGGGCGTCCTATGATCGAGCATTATTTCTCCCCTGACGATACGAAACGGTGCTTCTTCAACTGGATCGGGCCGGACCTGTTATCGCCACTAACCCACACCGATGACATTTTCCTTCATCTCTCCTCTTTCCAACCGTCTGATCCGGTGGATTGGATAGATATTCGGCTCTCGATTCTGAACAGCGGTACGGAAGAACCCGTGGCGGAATATCCTTTTTCCTCCCTCGGATCGAAACCATGCTAGGAAATCTCCCGCGGCTTCGTGAGAAGATACATGGTATCATCACGAAGTACCATCACGCAAAGGGCTCCGGAAATGTTCGGTATCGACTAAACATGTGGCCACGAACGGAGACGATACTGAAACTTGATATGGGGACCGCGATTCCACTATCGTCCGCTCACACCGTCAAATCCGTATCTCCACTGGATCCAGGGGCTTTTGTTCAGAATATAGTTGGGAATTTTGACGATGGATCCCCGTGGAAGGGCACTCTGTATATACGGCCGAGCTAGCAATCATGGCAGCATTGAACGAACAAGTGTAGGGTCGTATTTCTTATCGTAATTTTTTCAAATCCGGGAAGGCTATCCCCTGCTTGGGGTAGCGTAGAGGAGATACTTTTCCACTCGACTACCCTGTCTCCGTAGAGGCTCTTATGACGTTTATTATCAGGCCCTCGTCAGGTACTCTGGCTCTTAGTAGTCACATCCTAAGCGCAGACGCTCCCGGTGTCTCGCTATAGGAATCAAGAAGCCTTCCATCAATCTTTGAAACGCTCCGAGGTAACAGAAATGCTAACAAGGAACGGCTGCCAATAGCCATTTCCGAAGTGGACCAGTGACTTGGCCGGTGATTAACATTGCTCGTGACGCAGGCTTTCTCGTATCCAAGAGAGCAAGACAAATGTGCTGACCCATCAAAATTACACCCATGGCCTACCTACTTGTCAGGTCATGGTTGACAGGAATGAAACGGCTGGTTTGGGGGGAGGGGGGTCCTAATCCGGATATTCAGAGCGAAAAACCGAGCCGTTTGCTTTCTGCAAACTCCAACTTCGACTTAGTCTTTGGCGGCTACGTTGATCAATGAGTTGATAATATCGATGTAGGGAATACACTCCCTTGTTTCCTAACAATTCTATTTGGACATCGTCTCCCGAATACCCCATGCCAAGCTAAAGCGCATCCCTGCAAGCCCAAGGCCGGTGCGAAACATATCGAATCCAGTAGATAAGTGTGAAAGGGAAAGAGTGATGAAAATACTGTAACTCGAGCCGTTGAAGCCATTTCTCTCCATGCACCGCGCGGGAATCCGCTTCGTCGGGATTTGTGTAAATTGTCATGTAATCGCCCCGCACATTGTTTGACAGTTTGGTAACTAAGGTGACCCTCCCCAAAACGTTCAAACGAAGCAGTTTGAAGAGATTTTAAAAATCAAGAGAAAAAAAACCTGTCCACTTTCATATCCAGTTTAAGGCCAAGTGCACCATTCACCATCTTCACTCAAGTGACCCTGGAGGAAATACGCAATTCTACAGTGGGAAGCTACTTCAATGGCCCTTCCCACATCACTGCCACCCTTTGCCCGAAGGTCCCTGTAGAGGTGCTTGACGACCTGTTCATGTCCATTCCGAGCTGCTTGACATAACGCTGTCTCCCCAAATTCATCAGCAGCAGCAACATCCAGTCGGCTGTCTTCGAGCAAGAGATCGATAATGTCCAAGTGTCCATGGAAGGCGGCCAAGGAAAGCGCAGTGTATCCGAGGTAAGTTTTGGAATTGATATCGAGTCGCGCTCCCTGGGCAAGGAGTAGCCTTGTAACTTCAAGATGGCCCATCTCGGAGGCAATGCATATAGGCGAGTTGTTCCAGAACCTTTGGTTGATGTCGATGGTATCAAAGCGAAGCAGTCGGCGTACAATTTCTAGATGGCCCTTTTTCGCAGCATGAAATAGAGGAGGGGCTTTTGCCACGTTCACTTGTATATCTGCTCTTGCGAGGAACAATTCCACCATGCATAAATCGCCATTAAATGCGGCATAGGTGAGGGATGCCCATCCATCATCGTCGCAAACGTTTGGATCCAATTCCGCATGATTGAGGAGGGCACATGTGATCGGTTGATTTCCATTCCGCACTGCATTATGAAGAGTTGTTCTGCCCATTTTGCCAATAGCGTTGACATGTACATGATCTTCGCAGAGGATCTGTAGGGCTATGGCTGTATGGTTTTCATGTGCGGCTAAGCAGAGAGCTGTTGCACCATCGCCATCCGAGGCATTGATATCCACAGTATCATAGGCCAAGAGCATCTTTGTGAACGAATTGTGGCCATATTCTGCTGCGATGTGAAGGGCGGTACGACCGTAGCTGTCCGTTGCGTTCACATTTATATCATGCATGGCCAGAAGTGACTTGGCTACCTCCAAGTGCCCATCTTCTGCTGCAATGTGAAGGGCGGTGCGATCTTTTCTGTCAGTTGCGTTGACAGAGATCTCTTCATAGGTAAGCAGTTGTCGGACGGCCTCCTCGTAACCCCCTTTTGCGGCTCGATGCAACAGGCTTTGGCCGTGTCTACCCCTGAAGGAGGGATTTACGCCATACGCAACCAGTAGCTGGATGATGTCTGGGAGGCCAGCCCCTGCAGCCAACCAGAGCGGATGATCTCTGGTATCTAGATCCGTTATCATGGGCTTTTCAGGATCGAGCTTCGAATGAAAGAGCAACATTCGGGTGATTGTCACGCTTTCCTTGTTAATAGCGATGCCGAGTGGGGATATTCGTTTGTAGTCTGGTGTTCTTATATCGCTGTTTCGTTCCAGAAGACGTCCCACCAAGTTCTCATCACATCGAGCGATAGCATACCAGATGGCAGTCCGACGCTTTTCATCCTTGATATCCACAGATGGCTTGAAATCATTCAATAAAAACGAGGCCATGGACAAACATCCCCTTTCCACGGACAAACATCCCCTTTCCACGGCGTATACCAGTGGAGTCTGCTTCTGTTTGTCCTGCCAATCAATAAGTGCCCTCTCGTCGGAAAGAAGGATGCGACAAATTGTCTCGTTTCCAGCGCGAATGGCGTGAAAAATTGGTGTGCGAAATTTGCGATCGGTCGTGTTGACGTCCGCTCGGTGATTACGCAACATATTTTCCACAAAGCTTGCTTTGCCTTTCAGAACGCCCCAAAGCAAGGCAGAGCTGCATTGTTGTCGTACATTGAAATTGTACAGATATGGAAGGAATAAATCATTCATCTTCCGGTTGAGGCAAGCCAGCGTAAGTAAATCTTGAGATTTGTCAAGGCTGTCTGCTATGTAAAGAAGGAGTTCAGGAGGAAGATCAAGGAGAAACATCTATTCATCACACTTGCATTAGTTTACACATTAAATGTTTATTGAGGCACCGAGAAAATCTCACATTGGTATCGGAGTTAGGAGACGAGGCGCGTTGGCTTCGTGTAGAATTGATCTGGTGGAAGATATTGCTTGAAGTTAAGGAAAGGAGGAAGATTCTGTGCTATTTTATATCCCTCGCCCTCACGCATCATCATCGAAGCGGCTTTGTAATTATACTAGGAAGTAAGATTGCGTGGTTTATGTGCAGGCTGTCAAGCCACTCAGGCATTTCCTAGGAGGACGTTGGCTCCTAGGAGCAGTCCTGCTACTATGCATTGGTTAATAATCACGAATTATTAAGATATACGCCGACTGGGTTCCTAGGAGCTATAGGATGCCTCGATGGTGGCCAATAATCTGTTGTCGTTATCTGCATGTCTGCTTATGACGTTTATCATTCCTAGAGACTGGTTCATGCGCACGAAACTAAATCTATTCAGTCAGCTGATAAGAGCGCTTCATACACCACACTTCTTCTCAATTGCTTCTAAAGATGGTTATGGCGGTTTATCTACTTCCCTGGTCCCCAGGTCAAGAGCATATGAGCATATCAGACTGGACCCCTTGTGTTCCAGATTCGGTTCCATAATATCCTACGTGGTTGAATAGCAATGGTAATATTTCCAAAGTTTCCATCATGCGCTGGACCAAGGAAGGAAAAGGCAGGATAGTGGGGTAACTGTTACGCAATTTCGACCATAGATAAGAAAGCCTGAAGGAAACGGCCAGGCTGTTTATAGCATTCTGCCAAGGTGGTTCAGCCCTTGATAACTAGTCAGGCTAGAGAATGGTCATGAGCATCGTGTTTCTAGGCTCCTTTGCTATTGTCATTGTACATTTAGATAGCTTGGAATAATCTACCACTGGTCTCCCATATGCTTGAAGCGACACATCTGCGACTGGATCCAAACATCCTAGGCGACTACCGATGGAGCCCTCTCGAAACTGCAGCACACCACGGGTCCTACGCGATGGTAAAGCTCCTACTGGGTGCGAAAGACATTTGAATCAATGCAGTCGACGAAAGCGAAGATGACCCGCTCTGGCTCGCCATCCAAAGGCGTCCACGGTCGGTGGTCGAACTTTTCTTGAGCGAGCGGGCTCGACTGGATATCAACTGTCAGAATAACAAGAGCGGGGATACATATCTGTTAGCTGCGGCTCTTCGTGGTGATCTACACCTGGTAGACATTATACTCGGATTTGAGGGCGTTGATCTCAACGCAAGAAACCAACAGGGCGAAAGTGCACTGGAAGTCTCTTATCGCCATAAGCACGACCAAGTTTTTCAAAGGCTGGCCGGTCGGGAGGCAGTGCATTGACGATGTTCTTGATTTGTTACTCAATCTATGGTAGATCGGGCTGATGAGAGATTTACTTATGGCTTCTAGACAATGAATAAGTAGGTAGATCTCATTCACCATGAGCAAGAGTTAACTTACTACTCCTAAGCCCTACCGACGATTTTGGCCAGCAAATTGAGGAATTGCGTAAAAGCCGATCCAAATTGGACCAGCAACATTTTGTCATATAACTACTCCGTGTTTCTATTAAGTTTGTTCCTTTGTGAAATTTCCTGCGAGGATCTTTTTTCCAGCTAATTTATACTGTAGTTGTACAACCTTTGTCAAACTCATCCAGTAAGCTCAGCCTTTTTTTTTTTTCAAATTCAACCCTGACCACGCAATTAGCTCCTATGGTGTCCTTCATTGTGCGACAGGCCCGGGTTGTTCCATAGGCGGTGGCATGTAAAAGGAGGTGTATTTTGGCACGCCGTACTTCCGTTGGTGGCATAGTAGCTCTGCCAGAAATCGGTGCATGACGAGCTGTTGGCGGATAACTGATCTTTGTCGGGATACCAAGCGCTGCGATTATTAGTCACAGAGATATCTAGTTGTTCCTGGCCCCTGAGGGTACGGTTGAGCCGGAAGCTGCGGCAAACTTGGAAGTTGGAGATATTCCGTGCAAACACCGAATCGGTGAATGTTGTCCACGCGAGGACTCCTTGGCAATTAGGTCCATCCCAGGCGTTGAGTTGGAGCGGAGCGGAAAGCTTCTGGAATCAGTCAGCAGAGGATTTAGGATTATTTGAAGACATTGACACAATATACTTGGATGGTAGGACGGGAGATACGAGATGGCTGCTGCGGCGCAAGAGCTGCGGCAAACCCCACAATGAGTGGGATGACCATCGATAGCGCCGTCATGCTGGATAAGTAAACGATCGAGAAGTTGGTGGTTTTTCAAGCTCTTTTTAAATGATAGGGAAATTATCACTAACGTTTTTGAACATAGGTGGTTCCCTCCTGGGTCTAAACGGAGGCCTGAATACCTATATTTCAACGGCGTTGGCCATCTTCAATGTTGCACCTCGAAGAACTGAGGGATTGGTTACCAGATCAAAGGAATTTCTAACGAGCATTCAAAAAGCCACAATATAGATCACGTTGCTCTAGTCACCAACGGAGAGATCAGAATACCACTGTGTGGAAAGTCCCTAGTCATCACTAGGGTTTCATACTAGTCAGGTCTTTGAACGACATCAAATAACGGCCATTCTTACACTCTCACCTAGACCCAGCACTATATCTACTATACATCAAAACGCAAATTCTTTTAGTATATACTTGTACCATCCAGAGTGGAAGCCATAAAGCGAGAGACGGGACAAATATGAACGGTCTAGTTAAACAGCCTGCTTACCTGAAGGGTGTTTAACCAGAATGTTCACCACGGAAATCCACCTTTCGGTTGTACGCATACTAGCTCCTTTCAACTGATCAATACCCACCATTTCCCTAGACCTGAGGATTGGATCCGTCAATTTTTACCTTCTTTCAACGTCTGCGCCATCAAGATTGTGCTTGTGTAAAGTGGAAATTCCCGGTCACCAGCCGTCCTTCCTTTCGATCCAACGACCTGTTTTTTTCCACGCCCCCCTCGGTTGAGGATTCTTCCTTGCCCGGTGTTTGTTCACGAGTGGCGTTTGGTACAGTATGTCCTGTTATTTTCGTATGTGACGGATCCACCGATCTTGTGAACTTGACCGGGGCACGAGACTGTCTGACCCTGAAGCAAAGAACGATGATGCGGTTTCACGGTAACCACATAGTGGATAGCCGTTTATACTCTAGTCCAGAGACTTATTTCGCAGCTCTGTTTTCACTAGAGGTGGTTTATTCACTTGTCTTATCCCGACGCAAGAATAATTTATTATATAGACGATAAAAGTTCCAGTGTCCTACGTTTTCCAGGGCCGTCCCATGGCACATGAATTCCTACTACCCTCTACTCAGATTCATTAGCCAGCCTATACTCCGATATCCTCCGGCATGCATTGGATGCTCGGTACCAAGTTATGGGTATCTGCCAAGTATGGACGGTTCTCCATTTACGTTATGTGAATGCTAATCGGGCGTCGAAAAGATCCAAAGTCTTCGTGCATACCTACATCCCCAATATTGGACAAGGCAATGGAGACGATAGCGCCAGCGGCCCGGGTCCCGCTCACCTATCACACCCTAGAAGTCGACCTAAGAGAATTGCGCCGTTCTCTATACGGGGGAGCCCATCCCATGACCTCCACCCCTTCATTAAGCTGCCGGTTGGCGAACTGCGATGCGAACGTTGCTATGGTCGGCGGTCCGCCTCATACCACCGCCAACATGCGTGCGACCCAGTGACGTATCCACCCGTAGGAATCTGCTCGCGAAGGCGAACGGATTGTGCCGTGGCAAAGGAAAGGCTTCAATCCGGTCGCGAGATTCCATCTTGGGTCTACGAGTTACCTGCAGGATGAATGACAGAATGGGAAGGGGAATGTTACCAATAGCACCGGTTAGATAAATACAAAACAACCGCAAAAAAAGGGCAGGGTCACGAATAACAGTGGGAGATAAGTTGTCCAGGAGAGCTATGACTGGAATTTGAGAATTATCAAACTACTGTCCTTCCGCTAACTTGGATCCAACCCATTTGCTGTGGTTGCTCTCGGGGTGCTCCTTGACCGGCTCATTCCGGGGCCAAGGGTGGCCACACTCTGGAACTGAGGGTGCTTCTTTGGACGGTGTACCCATGCTAGATAACTCGTAGTTCAGTTCTGTTGACTGTAGACTCGGTGCCATCGACCGTATGATCATTGCATCCCCATTCATGACATGGCCCAAGGTCGAAATTCACCAGTCGCAAGCCAGCACCGGTCCGGGGCTGAACGGTTTTTCTCACTACCTTGCGAAGTGGTGTACCCGCACATACTAAGAATGGTTAGAAACAGGAACACAGTAGACAACATAGCATAATCCTCCAAGGGGAAAAGCAAGAGCGAGAGGGGCGAGGACGAAAGAGTTCTGCCTACCAGCCACCACCATGTCTCCACGTTGGTCATTACTATGTCGCAGGACTTCCTTCTCCGTGATGCGTGAATAATGAGAAAAGCGCATGCGGGCGCTTGGTTTGGAAGAAAGGGGGTGTTTGCCGTCTGGGCAGAAGAAATTGATCTGCAAGATCTATAAACAGTTAGGATAGTGTCTGTTTTCAATCAGAAGCGTATAACGCCGAGCCTTACATTAAACCCTCCACGGTCCAGGCTGAGAATGTCTTGTACCAAGTCATCCGCCCATTGTGCGAAACCTGTGGACGTTAGTTCAGCTACAAAGCTGGTCGGACGCGGCCAGGGGGCATTTCGACTTACACCAGTCCTCGACCTTGACTTGCCAAAGAACCACCAACTTCCGTACCATAGCTCTCCGGTCAAGACTAGCTTGGACTAACGTTCCTATATATGGAAGTATTCGGAAGAATCCGATATCTTCCACAATGAATAGAATTGTTCCACACTGGCAGAAATTGTCCGACCGTCCGTATGGTCCTAGTATAATGACCGGCCTTTCGATCGGAGTGTTCAATCTATCTCGAAAAGGCTTCCTAGCAAGGCCCTGGCCCCGACGGGGCCTGATCACTAAACGCAATATGCGTCGGGTGCCTTCATCCTCCCAGAAGGCAACGTAAAAGAGGGGAAGCTGCAGGCAGAGGCGAAATCCGCCACGTGGCATCCACAGCTGCACATACTGGCCCGGTCGGACGTTCCATGAGGCAGGTACCGTGACATCAAGCCACAGGAGGTTATTGAAAGAGCTCACAACCATATCGTGCCGGCCGTTTCTCCACGGCTTGTGTGCCAGCACGGTCCTAGTGCACTCTATCGCGGTGAGGCCGATCCATAGGCAGATGGCGCCCAGAAGATACCAGCGGTATACGGAATGTCGCTCCACTAGGTGATAGACGAGGGCGCCGATGGCGATCGCCGCTAGGAGATAGTGACACTTCAGGGCAAATTGCCTGTGGGATCGCACAACCACGGCATGAGTCAACGGCACCACGAGGAACATAGCACATACCGCCTACCCTGGGTTAGCCGTGGGCTGTTTCAGCACTGGAAGCGAAATAAATATAGCCGACCAAGGGATACGTACATACCACGAGCGGAACCACGTGCCGGGTGGTGGTCAGGGCTGAAGTTTTGGCGATGGAAAAAAGAACCGACCCGTGAAACAGACTATGGAGCACACAAAGCCGGCCCACCCATCGGTGCATCCATGCCATAGTCTGGCGATCTATATGGAGAATATCCGCCGGGAGACCAAAGGTCAGTCCGGTGCACAGGGGTATCAGGTGAATGATGGCCAAAGACCCGGCCCTTCGTTGGGCTCCCGCCCAGGAGTGCGTCCATAGACCCAACCCAAGGATATTAGCTGCAAACAAAGTGGCAACTGCGAGACCTTCCCGATACGTGTCGATATCCACCGTTCGGAAGATCCATGGCAAGGGAGAATTTAGGAGGCGCCGCCATGAGATCACGTGGCGTTGTCCGAGCATCCAACAACAGCATCGGTGCCCGAGCCAGTAGGTCAGCCAGATCGCAAGAAGGATGGCAACACAAAGAGCATATAGGTCCGTGGTGGGAATCTTGGAGATCCAGTGGTACAACTCGGAAGCCACCGGGGACATTCTGTTTACCCTTCGGCGGCCAAGCGAGGTGGCATCTATTTAAATACCTTGCGCTGGTCATTCTGCAGTCCTCCATTCTATGCGGCGGATGTAGTTCCACGTGCTGGTTCTGTCTATCTGGATTTTTGCGGGCTATACATGTCGAAAAGTCGCCCTTCGCCTATGCTGTCTCCGCCGTCACGTCCCGCCAGTTTATGAGGCCTTCCGGCGTCTATTAGACACTGCAATCTTCCTACTTTGGAGTCGGCTCCGCTACCATTGACGAAGCCTATGTCGCATTAATTTCTGCCATGGACTACTTTTGCAGTGTATTTTTCCGTTCCATATCGCAGTCTTTTCCTAAACGTCATCCAGCGGGCTGGCTATGACCAAAACCGAGTTCTCTAGCTTTCCTGAGTTTGATAGGCAGCAACCCTCGCCCTGTCTGCACTTGATCCGGACCCGGCAGGGTGTACAGTCCATGTGAGTGTCATCTATGGAACCAAAACCTTCACCGTGACAAGGGACAAGTCAACCCCCAAGTCCACCAATATCAAAAGGGACGTGCAGGACAACACCTCCCATCATGGCGCCACTGATCCTGTGGCCATTGACAAACGCGGCGGTGTCTGCGAAAGCACCGTGTCATCGACGACGACCGCTAAGCCACGCCATGTCGCAGTTGTTACCCCCACCTCCCTAAATACTCCCCAAACTGTGGCTAAAAACTGGTGGCACCTCTATACAACTTGACTATCTTGAAGACGTGGTTTAAATCTGGTATCTTTTAACTCTCCATATGAACGAAGGAGGGTAGCTCTTGCTAATCACCTTGTATTACTCTTGCCCAAAGTCTGTTCTAACCTGCTCAGACGATACTGTATTCCTCGATTTTATTTCCCATTGACAAGCGTTAAATACAATCCCAGTAGACATGGTATAAATAGTCCAATTGACCCTCTATCTTTAAAGTTGTCGAGCCCTACTGCAATGTGAGGCCGTTAAAAAGGTTCCACAGGGTGGTGGGGAATGGTCAATGCATGAGACGCTCCTGGGATCGTTCAACGGACTTTAGTGTAAAGAGCATGCGGCGGCTCTCAGGAACATCAAACCTTCCAGGGCGGACGAACGACATCGAATGTGGGAAGGCAGGGCTCCATGCATCGACATCAAACGCATTCTCTGTAGCCCGTCAATGGCAGTACAAGCAGCAAAAATGATCTTGAGGACTGGACTGCTGGGACAATTCCGAGCAGTGTCATCCACGGTACTAAAATACACATAGCGAAGACGAGTGATTTTTGGTATATAGAAGAAGAGGAGGGCCAGGAAAGGCCTGACAAGTACATAGACACGGAACAATCATTAGATTATGAGTGGGGAGCGACTGGCCGGAGCGGAGGAAGGAAGCAGTTCTAGCAGGGACGGCTTGTTGTCTGAAAGCAAGGGCGGGGACACCTGTACTTATAGATGAACGCTGCATAGCTGCCTTAGGGCGGCTGGGACAGTCTATGAATCAATCAATCAATCAATCAATCAATCATCAAACCTTCCTAGGAGTTTATGGTATCCTCCTGGGAGTGGTAGATGGCGGATCCTAGGAATGGACTGGTTCCTGGGAGCACCTGTCGTCGGCTCCTAGGAATAATCCCTTATTTCCTAGGAGAAGCCTAGTATCTTGATTGATTGATTGATTGATTCATAGACTGTCCCAGCCGCCCTAAGGCAGCTATGCAGCGTACAACTATAAATACAGGTGTTCCCGCTTCTTGCATCCAGAAATCAAGCTCTTCCTCTCACGAAGTGCTTTCCCCTTCTGTTCCCAACAGTTGCACCCTCCGGTACTGATAGTTCTAATAACTGTTCTGTATCTTTGACTTGTCAGGCCTTTCCTGGCCCTCCTCTGCTTCTGTTTGACAATAATCACTCGTCTGCGGTAAATTGAGCACCGTGGATGGGCTGCCCGGAGGGCCCGTCCTGTAATGGTCTTGGCTGTCGGTTCCGTATGTTTGGCGTGTGCTACATTGAGTGCCGATGTTACCGTATGTGTGGCAGTAGAAGTGTTTGTGGCTTGCTCCTTGATGTGTTCCAGGTCTGTGTTGACTTGAGGCCGTGTAGACGTTCTTGCAACAAAAGACGCGTCCGGGACGCGTCTCTTGGAGTAACCGTCTGCTAGGACACAGGTTAACTGTGAAGTTGGAAAATATGTATGTTCCGAATTGAAGTTCTGAGCTGTTGGTGGTGTTGGTGGTGTTGTTTTTGTGATGTCCATTTGTTGAGCAATGAATCGTTCAACCGTCTCCGTCCTAGCTCCCACGCGTCCTCGTCAATCTCGAAACCGTAAACCGTTGTCGGGCAGGACAAATGGAGTGACTCAAGTTCCATTCTCCATCTCGAGGCGTATGTGAGAGGGGCGCAACTCCATCTACCGTACAGCTCGTCTCGAAACTGGTGTCACCACCTACACTATTTGATTGTTTCTTGAACCCCAATGCCAAGACCCACTAGTCTATATTGGGAGTTTGTCTAGAGTACAGTGACGCAGCAAAAGTTTCGACAACACCCCCAGCCCCACCCCTTGATTATATAATATTCTGCCGGTCAAAAACCTCCATGAATTTGCTTCTATATAGCTAGTAGGGCGTGTACCAGCCTTGAGCCTCGATAATAGTCTCTACACGATAGGGCATTGTTTCCGATAGATGCTATAGATGCCTTAATTCTAGTTGGTCCTATACCTGCTGCGCAGTAGCCACCAGAATCTCCTTTGTTTGGTCGTTATTCCCTATATAAATAAGATCAGGTCGAAGTTCGTAGATTTTGGCGTTTAATAACGCCCAGAGGTTCTCAATTGGGTTCAAATCAGGCGAATAAGGTGGCCATTCCATAACCTCGATCTCCATCTCAGTTAGAGCTTCTCGAACAACGTAGGCAGTGTGTGTTGGGGCGTTATTATGCTAAAAAATACTACCCTCGTTCGCTATCAAAATAGGTAAGATTCGGCGATATAACTCCTCGATAACGAAGCGATTCACACCGCTTCGTTCAGATCTCGGATCTCCGAAGAGAGGAATTAATCCAGTACGCCGCTCAGAGCCTAAAAACGAAGCCCAAAACATCTGCTTTACTTACTTCCCGCGTTAAGGCAATCCTTGACATTGTCCAGCTTTTGGCTGATCTTTCGGGCGTACAAAAGTCTATTCTCGGCGAATACCAATCCCACGCTCGACTGTACATTCATCAGACCAAAAAACGTGAGCCCAATCTTCAGGTGTGAAGTGGCGATATCTCCAAGCCCATCGAAGTCGTTTCAGGGCGTTTTCTTCAGTCAAATACGGCCTCCACGAGTAACGCCACTTCTATATATTCTCAGCATTTAATAGTCGACGGATCGAGTCATATTTAACCTAAAAATCTATTAGTAAACCCCTATTATAGTAGCTAAAAAGACTTAACTTTATACGACACTTCAGCAAGTATATCCTCCCGAGTAATCTTCGGATTTTCGTCGATAGCATTTAATAAACGCTCTCGATCAGCTTCGTCTAGCTTTCTCGGGCGCCCAGAGCGTTGTTTTGTAACACCACCGAGTCGTTCACGGTCCTTTTTGATCGTATATCGAATACCAGAGATAGAAACCCACGGATATCGCTTCTATATTCGCCTATAGCCCTATCCAGCGGCGCTATAAAGCTCGCAAATACGTTCACGTAGTGCCGGGGTAAGCTCAGAGCGTGGAGCCATCCGTAGATATAAAAAAAGAGTAACTTCAGGGCGATATAGAGGGGTAAATCGCGTAAAACTAGAAGATATAGTAGGCCTACAAGCGCGTCGTGTAGTAGGCGGTGAGGGGTGTTGTCGAAACTTTTGCTGTGTCACTGTATTCTTGTATGTGGGTCCCGTATCGTTCCTTACGGGAAATACCTAGTGCCATAGTGGGGTGTATTCACTTGTAATTATAATACGCCAGACACCCGCGCATCGGTTGATCTCCGGCGTTGGAGAGCGATCTTGTTGATGGCGTTGATGGCGTACAGGATTCCGATCAGTTCGGCGGCATGCACAGACCATCCTTCCATGGGTCCGACCTGTATCTGTATTTTCTCAGTCGTTTCTAGCGAGTCGTCGAGCGCCACGGCCGCAGCGCCTAGGTGACCTTGGCGTCCTGATGTATCGGAGTATATGACAATGTCCGAGTTGGACCGTGCTTGCTCCGCCCGTTCCATCGCAATCTCCCTATCTGGTTCAATCTCGATCTTCGAAAAGGGTTCTGTCCGCCACGGTGGCAGTGGAGTGGGGTCGATCATTTCTAGTTCATGAAGTCTCTCTGGGCTCATTGTTTTCAAGGTCTCTGCGAGCGGGAACCGGGCACGCGTCCGAACGTTATTTCGTCGCCGTTGGGCCCGAAGCAAGGTATCCCATATAGGGTGTTTCTGTGGTAGGGTGTGGAGTCTGGTGATGGTGTTTTGTCCGTGGTGGCAGAGACGAAGATGGGTTGGGAGGACATGCGCTTCAACTTCGAGTGTGGATGTGGCCACTGTCCGAAAGGCAGAGAGAACTCGGATGAGTGCTGTTCGTTGAACGGTGCGTAGCTGTCGCAGATGGGTCTTATCTCGGAGTGGATCGTGCCAGACCGTTGACGCGTAGTCAATGACCGGTACGACACACGCCTCATATAGCTGGCGCATCTGCTCTGGGCGGAGCTGTCGCAGCCCCCCAAGTGCTATGTTGACCTTGGTGGCTCGCTTGACCACCTGCTGCACGTGTTCTTTCCATCGTAGTTCGTGGTCAAAGATCACGCCTAGGAGTTTGGCGGTTGTCGACGGTGTAATGGTATTGCCGTTCATGAGGATCTGGCCTTGGCACTGTTCACTTCTCTTTCTGGTGATGTGGATAAGCTCGGTCTTCTCTGCTGCGAAGCTGGACCCAGTCTTCTGGGCCCATGCTTCAATCCGCGGTATGTCTTCGGATTGGATTTTAGCCAAGTTCTCTTCGGCGGACCAGCCGACCCGCCAACGAAAGTAGTCGTCGATGAAGGCCGATGCGCCGCCGTGGAAATCGACGGGTTGGTCGACCAGGTCGCAGTTGAAGAACGCAAAGAGGATGGGCGACAATGGGGAGCCTTGTGCTAGCCCGGCATTGTCTAGCGCTGCAACTTCAGAGAGGTAGTCATCGAACCCAATGTTTGCCTGCCGTCCGCTCATGAAGCTTGCAATCCATCTTCGAGCAACCGCGGGAATGCCCTTAGATTGGAGACGAGCGTCTAGGCTTATCTTATTTACCCCATTGAAGGCTCCCTTCAAGTCGAAGGCCACCAGGCTGACCACTCGTCCTCCATACCACGCTCGGTCGATTGCGTTGGCTAACAACAGCAGGGCCTGCTCGGTGGTGCGTCCCGGGCGTCCCCCGAACTGAGTGTCCGGGAGAAGTCCGTAATGCTCCGCGTAGTAGGACAGCCGCCGGGCCACAACTGCCTCCAGCAGCTTGCTGAGCGTGTTGAGTAATGAAATCGGGCGATATGCTCCCGGGAGGGAGTAATCTGGTTTCCCGGGCTTCCGCAGCACCACAATCCGGGCACTCCTCCACCTTTGGGGGTGGTATCCTAGGTCGATTGACGCCGCAAAGATCCGAGTGATGAGGTTACCAAGGTGCCTCCACAGGCGTTTCCAGATCAGCATCGGCAGCCCGTCTTCGCCTGGCGCTGTCGAGGCTTTTGCCGCCTTCAGAGATCGGTAGACTTCGGCCTCTGAGATCGGTTGCCATGGAAGTTCGGCTGGGGGCTGTGCGAGATGTTCCCTTTGAGCAGGCGCCATAGTGGGGAAGAACGAGTCCATGAAGGCCTGAGCCTTCTCCTGGTTTTCGGTTACTTCGCGGTCGCCGACCTTGAGGGCGGGTATGCAACCCCACGAGTCTCGCGGCCTCATGTATGTTGCCGCTTTCCAAAGCTTCCCCTCGCCGGCCTCGTCGAGAAACTGTTTCCAGTGTGATGTCTTGGCTTTCTCGATTGTCCGCGTCCACGCTCGGACGGATCAAGTGATGTAGAGACCAAAACCCGGTCGACTTCCATATCTTAGTATACTTCTCCATAAACTCGGCCAAATCGGACCGCAGGACGTGGTTGCTTTTTCTTTCAATCTCGTCCTTTTCGTCTGGCAATAGATTGGATAGGAGAAGATGCCGAGAGAAACGACCTTCCCATCGATCTTTATCCAAGTTAGGAATGGCTGACGCTGTTTGACTCAGGCTATTGTGAAGGCGAGGCCGGCGGTTCCTGGTTGGTAGAGCTTCCTGGGATATAAATGTCGATGAAAGCCTCCGTTTACGGCACGTGTCCTCCAAAAACGTTTGAGGACTGTCTACTTTTCCATTCGTCGGCAGAGTATGCTGCTGGGCGCTTTCAGGTCGGCAGGAGGCTAGGGCTGAATCATCCGTACAGATCGTCTCGAAATTGGTGTCACCACCTATACTCTTTGATTGTTTCTCGAACCCCAACGCCAAGCCTCCCTAGTCTATATAAGGTATAGCCAGGGAATAATAATATTCCTGTATCAGTATCAATACAAGCAGTTACGTTTATTAATAATACATGTCCATGTATCGTAACTTCGTTCTCAATTCAAGGCAGCTGGAATGTTCCATTATGATGCAAACAAGTCAAACTCTAGAGACTGAGAGTGCCTCGAGAACCTGGCCAGGTGTCACTTTCCTCTACCACTCCAATATTGAAGTGACAGTCAAGGGGGCTTACTTGTTACCAGACATTGCCAATAGTGACTTACATAACCTTGCTTACACGCAGAGTACTCATGAACCTGCTCATCAACATTCTCAGCCTGTCAGCCGCAGTTCTCTTTAATTTTGCGTTCTGTGACACCCCTTGGTAGAAGCTAACACACAATGATGTTGCTAGACTCCTTAGTGGCATCTTCTGCCTTTGGGGGATGACTTACACTCCTTTCAATAATGATGATGCCTACCGACCTGAATTTCCTGATCTCTGGGAACGGACCCCCTCGTATGCCCCCACTCCTGGTTACTTGGACCGCGAATGGACGCCATCAGTAATCTGCCCTTCACCCGATGCCGAGAATATAGTTGGTGAACGTTCAACCTCCTTGCACCAACATCCGCCCGACCAACCGAGTTTTCATGCAGCGGTGGAACATGAAGATGGAAGTGCGTGGGATGAACACTCTCCAGACTGTATTCACTACCAGATCGAGTGGAGGGCTAAATTGAACAATCGGGTTGTGGTGAAGGATACGGAACAAGACCTGACTTTCCCGCCCAGTTCTTATTGGGAACAGATCAAGGAAGACGCTGGAAGTATTCTACGACGAAAGATAGCCCGCAGCCGACGAGTCAGACTAGATGATACCTCCCTGGTGTTATCTGTAAATGACCGTTCCCAACGTGATCTTACGAAACGCTTCGAAGGCACTCGTATCGATTGGACAGCGGTGGAAAAGCAGCTGCTAGCGTGGGGCCATCTGTATCGTCGTGGCAAGAAGCCTAGACTCCAGATATCGATTAACTACATGGAGGATAGTGGGCCTCTTCCTTCTAGAACTGATAAGAGAGGAAAATCATCGGTTACCAAGCGGATGCTTGCTGACCGAGACGCTCAGATTGACGCCGAGCAGGTCTCCGGCCAACATTCTGTCTGGCGCGAGGTGTATCGTGTAATGCGATGCCCTGGGCCTCCATGTCACCACGAAGGACAATATTGCTGGCAAGATCCAGAGGGCAAAAGACACTATAGATTGAAGACACACCATCTGAAGGACCTTGTTAAATACGTGGAGCAAGGAGGAGTCCTCGAGACCCATGATGATATACCAGATAGCCTTCGCGAGCAGCTATATGCTGAGGACAACCAACGACTTGAAAAGCGGAAGAAAACCACGGATAGTTCTGCAGTCGCTTCGATGTGTCCTCCGATCAATATCAATGTCCTCCCAGCTGGAACATCTGAACAATTGATGCCTACCCCTGCTAATGACGCCACTTCTGCTAAGTCGGGCTGCGCTGAATCAATCATGGTTCATGGTTTGCTTGACGTCGCTGTCGAGAAATATACCGAATGGCAACAGTCACGGGTGAGCAACGAGACTTTCAGGGATAATCTCACCAAAGCACGCGACGTGACTCTCGAAAATTGTCTTGATCTCATGCAGATTTATGAAGATCAAGACCCAGGTTTTTTTGTCAAGCATGGCGTGAAAGTAGGTGCAGCCCGGCGGTTCGTACGCGACATCGGCCTTTGGGTGAAACGATGCGGAGACGTCACTTGCAATGAAAATAATAGTAATTTAGTCTAGATATGTTGCTGAATAGAGGACAGCCCACACCGGCATACTACATACTACGTTTATCTCTCCGCATGGTTTCGGTGTGTACTTTCATACCATCGGCTTACCACCTGATACACCTACATCCATGTTACGTTTGTACGGATGGCTTTGCGGACAACCCACTAAATTAAATAAGCTCCAGTTTTCATATTCTAAACACACGGAGCTTGTGTCGGCCCGAATTTGATCGTGGTATGAGTCATCTTATCACGTGCCTCAGTCATCCTTCCTCTCGGTCTTCCCGAGTCAGACTCCAAGAAACTACTACGATGGCAACGCACCGTCACCAGTCCTCTCTAGAGGGAGTTCTGGATTTCTCAATACCCTTGTCATTAAAACCACAACAGCACGAGTCGGCTAGGAACCTTGTGATCGGGCTTGTACGTCAATATGGCCTCGAAAAAACCGTTCGGAAGGGCTATAAGCCTGCGACACTTATCCAGGCTACCCTCGAACACGTTGCGTCTCCAGATACTTTTTTGACTTTCTTCCTTTCATACATCTACGAGGACTATTGTTCGGAAAAAGGACCTTCCGACATTACTCACACCTTATCATACTTCGACGGTTTCTCTTCATGGGAACCTGAACAAATAAACAACGTCCACGAAGCTCTGGAAAACTTCGCTGAGTATATCGTTGAAAATTTTCTACTCCCCCGTGTGTTACTTCCTCGGTTGTATGACGGTAACTATAATGAGCATATGTTGATTATCAATTGCAGTCAGGGCCTCGTCTGTCAAGACACCACAACCAACGCCCACATCGTTATCGTCGTTGCAGAGCTCAACCCCGACCGGGACAAGACAGCGTGTATCAGTTTTACGACAGAGTTGCCTTGTACGCGATCGCCACCGCTGTGTAGTGTCCCGGAAATTCGACAGAGCTGAAGCCAGAAAACGGTTCACTCAGGATAAAGAACATTGTGCAGACGATGACGGGAACCTGCTGAAGAACGAATCAAGTGACCAATTTCAGTACCTGGAGGTTGCCCACATTCTACCGCACTGTCTGACTACAGTGGCATCCGGAGACTTGGATTTGGTAGGTCCAATCTGCAACGTACGACTTCGCCACCACTAATGTGGCGCCCAGAGTGATTCAAAAAAAATGTTCTTCGAATCTTAGATATGTTCGACCCTGGTATCGGCCATCTTATCGATGGTCCAAAGATCGACAGCCCCATAAACGCCCTCACCTTGACGCTGGACTACCACCGATTATTCGGCGAATTTCAGATATATTTCGAACGCACTGGAACACCACACCAATATAGGATTGAGTCGACAGAACAGAGTCCTTTCTTACGTGACCCTTTATTTCCTGTCACCCGCACGCTGACCCTGAGTCCCAATCGTACAATTGACCCTCCTTCCGCCCGGCTTCTCGAGGTTCATCGTGCCATCGCACTTATTATGAAATTGAGCGCCGCCGGTGAGTATATTGAGAAAGTTCTCCGTGACATGGAGGAATTGGATGTCAGAGAAGATGGGTCGACACATTTGGGATATCTTACTGGCCTTCGCCTTGGCGGGTGGTTAAAGACTCTATCTGTGTGTTAATCTTATGTACCTACCTCTTCATACTATATTCCTGAAACAAGTGTCACCACCGATAGATCTCCAGAACAAAGAATAAGGGTTCTAGTACATGTGTCGTACTTTCATCCCGCTTCTATGCGTCGTATCGCAATCTACTGGGCGAGCTCAATATGGTCAATCTTGTAAACGGCCTTATAACAATGATCAATTGTCATAATTCAACATCTATACTAGCGATCTGTGAGAGTGTAATATCACAGATGATAAAACCGTCAGAAGGATTCAACATATCCTGGCTTCATAAAGTGCAGCTCAAACACTTAAGTTTTCCATTTTCTTGCGGAGTAAGTCCTCCATTGGAAGCTGCCGATCGAAATCTAATTCTCCTTTGTTTTATAAGCATATGTTGTTCTCGGACGCCTGATTACTTACCAATTTCATGCTCCTTGCAAGCACTTCGCAGCGATTTGACCGAGATGCACAATTCTATACACTCAGCCGGCACCCACCGATAAGCAACCCAATAATTTGTATTTATCCAATTGAGGCCTTTTTCCCGAAAGGGAGTCCAAGACTCCACCCCCAATTTCTCAGCCAAAGTAGTTGTGCGACTGAACAGTGCTCTCATAGCAAGAAGCTTCGAGACATCAATCACGGCTATAATATCTCCTCTTAGGTCGTTGAAACCCCAGTGTTCGATAAAACGCAATATTCTCGCTGGGCTATCAGACATCGCAATGAGGTCTGAAGGTCGCTTCCCCTCGCAGTGATTTCTCAAACTGTCCTGATCGACCAATGAGCTTTCGTGTAGAGGGCCTCCGTGATCAGAAGGTAGCGTGAATGGCTGTCTTGAAGAACGGAAACCAAGCTGTTTGTCATATCGACTATGGCTGTTTGACCGCATTACGCGATAGAGGATGTCTGGAGTGTTCGGCTCGGGGTGATCTAAGTGCCCGAAACTTCGGCTCAAGAGAACTTTATTGAGAGTGTTGAGTATTTTTATATCCGTCGGGAAAGTCAATCTAGCATCGACAAGCCTGCTTCTGATGTTTTTTTTCTTTCTGACAATGGGAGCTCTTCGTTCGCTTCTTCGTACTCGAGGCTTTGGCGTGGGACGTTTAACGCGCTTCGTGAGATCTGCGAAGCTATGAGCCCGAGGCTATCGGCAAGAAATATTTTATCGTCAAGGACGTTGACAAGACTTTGCCGTAAATCGTTGTATTCCTCCTGCAGTTGAGCATTGCGTTCTTTTTCTCGGTTTTGCCTCTTTTGTTCTTCTCTGAGTGGTTCATCGTCAAAACCGATATAGCGACCCTTTGTGACGGCGACCGCGCGAAGCCCATATCTTTCATTATCATCGTGTTCGACCATCTCGTTGAAGCAAACAAAGTGAACGCTGGCTTCTGGGCTACGCAACATCCTCCAGACTCCTGTTGAGGGGAAGCCGAAAACGGTATAATGTAATTCCGTTCCGAAGGGATGTCAACCAGCCCAGCATTATTGCATATTCAACGTCATCCGAGAATTTATGGGGCGGGTCTTTGGTGGACCTTGATGTTAGAATTCCAAAATAGTGAGAAAGGTGGAAATAGTTTCAAATAACTCCTTGGCACCTCGGATGATACAGAAAGCCCCGGCAATGGGAGTTAAGTCTAAAAGTTATTGCTGCAGCGATGCTCGAACACTGAGAAACTCTCTGTGGGACCCTCTGCCTAGTCCTTAGCGCAGATCATTTATTGACCTGACCGCACGAAATAGGGGCCACGTGAATACAAAGGGTTGGTTTTTCATCGATTCTTAATGTTTTTATCGGAATTTATCACTCGTATCAAGATTGCTCGATACCATTAAGATTCACTATCTAACATGCAAAGCTTAACGGTGTAGTTTGATGTAAAATGACGATTTAGCACACAATCCGCAATTTTTGGAGGGCCGCAATATAATGCTGGCCGTTCAATAGATATTCTGCACTAATGCCTCGGAAGCGGGGCGGTAAAAGTGTTAGTCAGAATGCATTGGACAAGCTGATTTCGAGAAACACTATAGAGGAGTTATGATAATGGAGAGGCTATGCCTCAACGGTTAGGCCTGCGTGCCGGAAGTGTCCCTGGGCGCTCTCCTCCCTTGCTCCCACCACGTCAACACACCACTCGAGAAAGTTATCGAATCCTTGATCCGGGTTATCTTCATAAGATGGCCAATGTCGCCGAATAAAGGCTTTTAGCTCCGCAAAGAACTCCTCAATGGGATTCAGGTCTGGAGAATACGGAGGTAGATACATCAGCTTCACACCAGCTTCTGAACACATCTGCTCTATCCGTTCTGAGTGGTGAAAGGATGCGTTGTCCATGACTAATACGGATCTCGGCTCAGGCCATTTTCCACAATGCTGGAGAAGCTGCTCAATAAAATCCTCAAAGACGGATGCATCAGTCGAGCCTTGGAACACTCGAGAGAAAACAATGCCATCTTGGGCGTATGCAGGCAGTATCTGATATCGTTTATCACGATGGAATTTGGACACCTGAACTGGTGTCGTTCCTAGTGGGGACCAACCCGTTCGCCTGAAGCCTATCCTTTTATCACATCCAGATTCATCCACGTAGACAAGGTGGTACGAATGGAAATCTGAGATAAAGTGAAAGTACTCATCACGTAGGTCTTGATTGCGCTCTCTAGCTTTGACGCGCGCAGTCTTTTTTGACCAGCCTTTCGATGCAAGAGCGCGGCTGATGCTAGATTTTGTTGCTTGGACATCGAATTCGTCCCGTAGAAAAATCCCCATCTCGTCAAGATATAGGTTGGGCTTTTCGAGCAGGTGATCGCAAAGAGCTTCTAGCATAAATGGAGTGAGGCTTCGTGGCCGTCCGCCTTTGTTAGGAGGCGCCTTGACGCTGCCAAACAGCCGTATATTGGAAGAGATTCTCAGGATGGTGCGCTTGCTGCAGCCGGCAGCTTGTGCCATCTGCGATACAGATAGTTCTCCACTGTGGATCATGTCATATATAAGCTCATGCTTTGAAGGGGCGAGGTTTGGAGCCATCCTGCTATGATCACTCGTGATTGATTGTTTAGGTCTCCTGAACCAAGGGAGAAGGGTTTCAAGGTGGGGTATGGAGGTGTCTGGCGTATTATAATTACAAGTGAATACACCCCACTATGGCACTAGGTATTTCCCGTAAGGAACGATACGGGACCCACATACAAGAATACTCTAGACAAACTCCCAATATAGACTAGTGGGTCTTGGCATTGGGGTTCAAGAAACAATCAAATAGTGTAGGTGGTGACACCAGTTTCGAGACGAGCTGTAATACACAAAGAGTAAAATCAAACATTCAACAACCAGCAATATATTCAGAATAAGCGACGTATATTTTCCATCGCATAAGGACCCTCTACCTTATCAGGGAGAGACACACGCCGAGGTGAAAGTTGTAGTTTTCGACTTGAAGTCTGACATGGTGGCCGACATCGCCGTAGTTGAAGAAGTCGAAGCGGAAGATAAATCGGCGGTGGTCATGTGCTTAGGATCAGACGCATTGCACCAGCTGCCAGCCTTGAGTCCATGATTCAGAGTACATCCTGACTTGTCACCGTTCTGATTGAAGAAAGTGACTTCTCCAGTCAGGTCAACCATTATCCAAGCAGCATCCTTGCCGTTTTCAGTACCACACGCCTCTACATTAAGAGCAGAGAAGTCTTTGCGTGTGCCGTTCACGGCCTCGTTCAGCTCTGAGAAACTGTCAACATAACAGTATTCAATTCCAAGCTGATTTATAGCTTATACCTGAGCAATCGGTTCCATTGAGCTCTGCAAAGGATGCAGAGTAACCTGTGCATCCGTGGTTATCATTGGACCATATCACACATTGGCGATCCTGATCGATAACCTCGAGGGAGCCCCCTAACGAGGCGCCAATAAAGACTCCAGAGAGAATTGCTTGGGCTAGAAGATGCATTTTGCTGGGCTTGAAGTAGAGCGCGTTTAAGCATAGTGAACAGTGAAAGAAGTTTCGTGACTCTTTATATGTTTGAGCTGCGACACCATTTTGGACACCTTAACTTGTATTCTTGTCATTTTATTATGAGAACTCTATTATGTGTAATTAATATTGTTTAGCTGGCCACAGTAGACTATTTTTCTGACTGCGACACTCTTCTCCGTTCCGCGGTCTCGTACAAATGATCACAACAGGTAGGGTAGGGACTGGGGAGCATAATATAAATTGAGAATAAACGCTGAATTGACAATCTGCTGGAAATGCTCGCTTAATACAAATGAGCTATGGCAACAGCCGGGTCCTAAGGCCTTCTAGATAGCTAAATAGGTATGGATCAACACAAGAAAACGTCTCTATCCTGCGTATGACTTTCTGAGAGATGATAAAATCTTGAAAAATGTTCGCCCTGGGAGCTACCAGCCGGGTCTGGCTATGCGTAGAGCAGGTTGACTGTTTTAATCCCCGCTCTAGTAGCCTTTACTCATACCACACGCACCCGCTTGGAGTGGCGTTCTTCAGAATTACGCCGTAATCGTTTGAGAGTTCCTGGCTGTTTGTGCAGCAATCGACGGTTCAAGGTGCACAGATGAAAATCAATGATCAGCGCTCGTCCGAGCTCAGCGTTCCACAAAATATTGTCCGGACGAAGATCCTGGTGGACGACGCCAAAACGACGGATTTCCTTCACCGACCGAGAAATCGCATGCTGGATGGTCTTGTCGAAAGGAGGATCGCCCACGGTCTTACCACCCCAGCCCATGAGAAGCATATGCCGGATCCTTCCGGCGCCGTGGAGGAAGTAGGTCAGAGCTAAATTGATCGCCCCGAGAAAGACGGGAACAGCCGATCCTTGCGCACGCTGGAGGACCCGGTAGATGTCGGCTTCGCGCGAAACGTCCCCCCAGAGTCTTGACGTTGTCCCCTTCCCGACAACCGTATATCCGAAGGTGGCACACGTAATCTTAAATGGTGCGCCGGAGGACCCACAAGGGCCGATAGGAGAGCAGTTATGATCCAGATCGTGATCCAGCTGCACCTTGAGCTTTTTCACTAAGTCAGGTGCACCGATCGGATGGCGGTCTGATCTTCCGTCAAGCATATGCAGATCCGTGTTCGGGCACTTAGGGTCAAGCGTGCCGCCCTGCTGTAGCCGGAGAAGACAACTTTGTGTGCAATATGGAGCGTCGTGGGAGCGAGATTGCCCGCATTGGTTCCCTTGGCGATCTCCTCGCGGTGCGGACCGCTGGGTTGGAGGGGACGATGTGACCTGGCTGAACCCTCGCTTCTGTCCTGCAGATGTGGTAGGGTCGGTCTCGGAATCCGAAGAACTCTGGTGGTGAGACGGATGGAAGGGTGGTGCGCAGCTAGCGGCCGCTCGTGTGGTCACTCGAGGGCCGGTGGTGATGGGGGAAGATGATGTGAGATATTCGGAGGTCGACTGCTCAGGACTAGCGAATTCGGAGCTGGTATCGTCCACGTTTAGGTCCCGAGGTAAATCTACCATTATGATCTGAGAGAGACCGCTATCATAGCTCGTGCGCCATTTCGGTAGGTTGTTCTTAGCGGTATTCCGCCACGCCTGATCACGAATAAACGAGCGGAAACTCATCAGACAGAGGCAGAGCGTCCTCTCAATTCGAGTTCTGGGAATCATAGGCCCTGCATCACCTGCCATCCCGTATGTCCCGGGATCGCCTAGGTGGTAATACAGGGTGGTTGGGTCGTCGTAGGGCACCCAGAGCTGCACGTCCATCAGACCGTTCGTCAAATATGAATACTCCAGACCCTCTTGAATCATCACGTGGAATACTTGTACGATGGCGGATCCGACCAGCCGCTCGGCGTAATACCTTGATTTCTCTGGCTCTTCGGTCGGCACACTGTCCGGTTGGACTACTTCTCGCCAGAAATCCATCGATCGGAGGCCTCGCCGCAGGTTCGCAGCAGAGAGCTTGTGGGGGGTTTATACTCAACAGTGGTAAGCAAGGTCCGCTGGTTACCGTCCTTTTGATAGATGCAAAATTGATCCGGCTTCGAAGGTTTGGTGGTTGATGGTTGACTGGCATCGACTTCATTATCGTGGTCCAGCGCGTTGGGGTGATTATCGAACCATACTCCGTTGCACAACCGGAACTCCCCACGAGCCTCTGGTATTTTGCACAACTCGGCAACAATATCATGCACGTGGTCTTCAACGGCGAGTCGCTCGTAGGTCTCGAGGTCCTGTTCGCTGCTAATGGGTCGGCGTGCGAATCGTCGGCCGTGGTCTTCCAAGGCAACCAGTGAGGTAAATAATTCTGGTGTATGCCCTTCGGTCGGTTGTAGGTAGCGGCAGACGGATTCGTAAATCTCCCGCTGCGTCTCCTCACAGTCCATCCACGGACGCAGTCGTAGGGGACAGTGTTTTCCAATCGGAGCGGGAATTTTGCCCGTTGTGGAGCGAGACGGTGTTTGGGCTCGGAGTGGCCTCCAAAGGAGATCGTGGCAATGTCGGATGAACTCTGGAAAAGTTGTCGGTCGGTTGCGGTCCCTTTGTTGTCTCTCTCGCTCCTCGGCCTGTCTCTCTCGCTCCTCAGCCTGTCTCTCTCGCTCCTCAGCCTGTCTCTCCCTTTCCTCTGCCCGCTTCTTTTCTTCCTCAGCCTGCCGTCTGAGCGAGGCTTCCTTGAGGAAAAGCGCCCTGTAGTCCGGGGAGCTGCTTCCACTCATCACTACCGTGAATATGGGAGGGAAAGACGGACAATTCCGGCGCGATGGTGGGGGGAAGCGTCTCATCTAGAAACTCTCCTCCCTGTCGTGACCGTCAGCTTGGCGGCATCTCGGTTAAAATATTTATCCGTCAAACACACGTGACTTCGGACGACTCATTATGTCATTACTCCCGTGCCCCATCGACCGGGAGTGCAGATTACCGGATCATCTACAGGTAAATCCGTCGGATCCGTCGCCAGTAGAACGTGTTGCGAGGAAGTATACTTGGAAAGATTATTCGTTATACGACAAGAACATGCAGAGACTCAGTCCAGCACAGTGCTACTGCGCGGCTACTGTTTATGGCAACGAGCCGACCTTTTTTGAACGATAAAAATATTCTGTCGTTGGTTTCGCGGATGCTCGAGGAGCCAGGGCCGGCATCCCCTGTGAAACGCCTGCAATTCCAATCTGTTTTGTCGGAGGAGCTGTGAGCCGCCTTTCATGATCGATTTGCAATCTCGTGGTAGAAGTACTCCCAGTAAAGCTCCCACAAAATTTCCGTTTCCTCTATAAATGTATTCGCCCATTCCATATGCGCTAGAAGATCTTGGTCACAATGCAGGCCCTGATGGACAACGGTTACAGGACGGCCTTAAAACAGAAGGATTATCAACTTTACCCAAGGTAGCTTAGCGTCTCTTGACATTAGGGGTTTGGAGAATATCAAAGAGTCTGATGGTGACCCCAGTTTCCGGAAACCCTGCAGCGTCAGGGCGAAAGCGGGGCTTTAGTCAAATCGCATCCTCCCCGCCTGCGCGAGCGGCGAGAAAGCTGAGCAGATCGTCACAGGAATCACCTTCTACGGCGTAGAAAATACGTAGTGGCTCCAAGGAGTATCCTCCCCTGGGAGCTAATGGCGGTTCCTGGGAATGAACTCTGATTCCTAGGAGCACCGCTTGTCTCCTAGGAGTACCGGTTATTGGCTCCTAGAGCAGTAAAGGCATAAAAGGCGTTCTCTCGCTTGATGACATAGACCGCGACCGGGTATTTTAACTTAGCTATAAACTGTTCCAGTCAAGAAATAATCGATCGAATGGGGGGCCACTGCGGGACCCACATTCTCAGTAGGCTGATAAGCCAATGAAATCGATCCTCACTGGGACAGCGTGGTTGTCTGGCTGAGAAGCATCGTCTGCATCCACTGGCCGTCTCAAGACCGTCTCAAGACTAGTCTAGGCCTAGAATGATTGGACTAGGAGAGAACTAGTACTAAGGGGCAGCTCATATGACGTGCAGCCTACTGTGTCGCCTGTGCTCTTCAGTGGGCTGTGCTGTGACTGATTTCCTCTCAAGAGGATTCTACCATGAGCGGAGCCCTCTTGAAAGAAGTCTTCTGTTCTCGGCCTCCCGAAAGGCCCTTGCTCTTGACATACGCTAGCTGAAAATAACCTGTTGTTAACGTCCTCCCGTGTTACTTCCTACAGGATGGTCTACATAGCTCCATCATAGATATAAGATCAGTCTCTCATTCCAATACCGCTTCTGTTAGATTTCTCTCGGGGTGCTATACATCTTGTCTGTATTATGCTCTTGTTTCAAGCAACATAGGCCTATACAGGGGTTGTGGGGTCGGAACTACAGGAACCAGTATCACCCTCACTGAGAGCTATCCTATGCACTCACTGAGGATATTCTGAGCATTTATAGGCTCAGGCCACTCGCTTTAACTAGGCGAGCCACCGCGAGCATTTTGTTAGGGCGCACGGCACGTTCTGGGGGCTACATTTTTCTCAGTGAAGTGTGGCATTGACAGATTCAGTAACTAACTAGTTAATAAATGTAGAAACAAGATTCCTTCAATTTCGGATGAACCCTGCAAGTGTCCCAATTAATCAGTGTCAATGTCTGACCCCGTATCTTCTTTGATATAGTAATTCCGTTGAGTGCTGAGACGATGGATTTCTTCTGCATGCCTGCGAAGATGCATCTCATGGAGCAGGTCTTCGTCACACATATGACACCTTCGATCCTCCAAGTGCTTTTCTCGAAAGTGTCGCAGGGTCGACTTATACTCACTATATTTCTGTGTTCTGCGATGAATGGGAAGTCCGGCGTCGCCATAACATTGAAAACACCGCCGGGGCTTCTTGGCCTTCCTAATATGGTCTCCGGCTTTCCTGAGAAGAATACCCTCCTGCGAAGGCTCCGGAGAACTGCATCTCTTCTTGGCTGGCTCTGGTACCACGTCGGTCTGTTCTTCGTCGAACCCATCACTTGGTGCTGCTCGTTTACGTCGCCCACGCAACGGGCCACCTTCAAGGAAGCAACAGTATCGGGAGATCGCAGCCACAGCGGCGTTCCTTCTTTGCCACTCCGCCTCCAGGGATTGAGAGGTAGGCCATGTGAATAAGTTCTTAAGAAGATCAATCTGCTCCGGTAGCATCTGGTCTCCTACTTGAAGCACCTTCCTCGCCTCTTCGTCGTCAACAGCAGTCCCCGAAAGCTGTCGCTCAATGTCCATTATGGCCTGTTTGCGGTCAAACTCATGGCGGACCTTTCGTCTCAGTGCTCTTTCCAACCGACCGAATGTATTGGAGGTTTCGCGTGTCAATTTCTCTAATCGCGATTGCGTGGCTGCACTGGGATCGCATTTGCACTCTTCGACTTGCTCCCTCATTCGCCGCTGGGCTTCGAGATATTCTGGATGTTCGCGAAGGGACGCTCGCTGCTCCGAAGTAAGATGTCGAGGACGTCTCTTGTCAATCCATCTACTCATGCGGGTGATCGCGCGCATCAGAGACTTGTTGGATTCACGGTCGTTCATAACACTCTGCATGTCCGTGTCGATGTGGCGTGGAAGATAATGATTCAAGAAAGTGCGAGTGTCAGCGTGTTTCATAATCAGATTTTGCTGTGCTTCGCTGACCGCGCTGTTTTCGTTTAACATCTTCCCTCCTCCATAGCGAAAACGATGGGCAAACATTGACTGAAGAAAGCCGTGGATCTCCCCTAGATTTCTCAGACGTCCAGACATAGCGCTCTCGGTCATCGGCTGGTTCCATTGGAGAACCGCACAGCCATTGACTACCTCTGTCTTGCAGAATACATAATAGTTTTCGACTTTGCGTTTCAAGGGTAGTTCCATCTGTTGTCGACCACCTTCGACGAACAACTTTCGAAGACGCTCCATGGACGAAAGCGCGGGGACTTCAAAGGCTTGAAGCCAAAAAAGCATACCGAAGATAAATGTGTGAGGGCTGAAGACAAGCGACGGATCGTTGATGATTTCGGGAAAAGGAAAATTGTTACTAAGAATAAGTGGTGATATTAGGATCTTTATTGCCCGGTTTCAATGCATAATACATACACTTGCGAAGTTCCAAGGAATTTCTTCGTATGCTCCGACTTGATCTCCACCAACAGTACGGGAGGTCCTCCATCCGGATTGTGTTGTATAGAGAAATGCAGATGTTTGAATTGTAGCGAAAGAAGAGCATGCAGCCGGTTCACAGTAAAAATACCCAGCATGTTGAAGAGACAGAGCTGGATCCGTTCGTATCCAAAATGAAATCGCCTCTCCTGAGTTCGGAGGATCGTCTCATTCAATTCAGTCAAGTCTTGGACGTACACTGGCTCCTTGCCTCGCTCTTGTTGATCGAGGTTGAATTTATCGATGAGTTTCCGGATACCCTGGAAACAGTCAGCTCCCAAGTGTCGGTTTGCGGTGAATGACTTACGGCATTAATCTCTTCGCTATCTTCAGAGGTGATCCTGGTCCGTGTGATTCTCCGATAGTAACCCCGAAATCCTTTCCAGTCAGCTTTCAGGGCGCTAGCTTTCGACGTTCCCTTGAGATGTCGACCGCCTTCACCATATTTCAGCTTCATGCAGTAGTTGAAAAATCGATGCACGTCATTAGGAGTAACCTCGCGCAATGCCTCCTCCGGATTATCCCATTTCAAAAGCGCACCAGGCTGAGCAGCCTTCACTCCGCAGTACCTACGCCGCACATCAGTAACCACCTCCATTGCGCAGGTCTGAATCATTACTCACTTGTGCCAGCGCTTTTCTATTCGTCGACCCCGAACCTTAGTTTGGTCGGAGCGCCCATAATCAAGCGGTATATCTGCAAGGTCCTCATCTGTGTCATCATCAGGGTCATCGCTGAAATCGGGCAAAACACCAGCGTCCGCTGGGCGGCGCACGGGTCGTTTTAAACAAGTTGACGACCCGCTACAGTCATCGGGTAGACAGCTGGGTTCCGGGTTGGTCAGCCCAGTTGAAGTTGAGGCGTCCCCAGAATCGGAGTCGTCGGTGGCATCGAAGTCAGGCCGGAAAGACACCCCTGAAGTGTCACTGTCGGTCTCTGAGGATGGATCTGCGATGTCGCTCATGTTGCCTCTAGGGAAACAAAAAGTGGTGTGCAAAGGCGCTCCGGGCAGATAGACAGCTGAATAGAAGGGACGAGCGACTGCGAGGCACGGATTGAAGGAGGGACTGGCAAAAGATAAACACTAGAGGAGAGGAGGGCTGGGTAGGAGAGTGGGGAGAGAGGGACTGTTGGCAGCTTTATGGCCATGAAACCCCCATTACCCCAGCGACCAATGAGCGTCCGATAGAGTGTGCCATTTTTGGCGACCTCACCATACGAAGGGTCACGGTAGCGCTCAGAGAGCAGGTCTCCGGAGGGGGGTAGAAGTCGATGGAAAGCACGAGCGGGACGTGGACGCAGGGGAAGGGGAGCCACGCGCCCAGGCACCGACATAGCTGAACGAGAACGTGACGGTGCGCGTTACAAGAGGGGCACTTGAGCGGCGCGTGGCTCTGGGGCGAGAGTGTGTGCGGAAAGATTGTGCCGAGGAGGCCAGAAATGGCCTCCTTTGACGCCAGAACCGGCGGCCTCAGCACAAATGCTTTTTGTTAGAGAACCATTTCAAGTCACATCGAAATCCGACTATTCATCCCTCGATATCTGCAAATTCCTCCCATGACGTTCAGCCTCCGCTTTCTCCCAGTCTTTGAGACAAGGGGCGAAAAATATTTTTCTTTGCCAAGTCTGAATGAGTGTTCCTATACTGACAATGATCCAAAGCAGGACGACTATGACGGAAAAAATCTGGTTGTGTCAGAAACCTTCAAGCAGTTCAAGTCTAATCTGAAAACTAACCGTGCCCAAAACTTTGAAGAATAATGATGGCAGCTCCTTTGCAATGGTAGTTGTTGCGACTGTAAACACTCCAAGTGGGAAAGTAAATCCCCACCAGCCCATGTTAAACGGGAATTTCGACCGAGTGATAGACGCCAGCGCAAAGAAAAGCCAAACAAGCCCAAACCCCCACATGATTGTTCCAACTATGAAGCCGAAAACGTAGAGGATAGGACCTGCTGAAATTTGCGCTGGCAAGCTGTTCGTTTCTGGGAAGATCCTCATGGCTTCTTTCCCAAGTTGCATGATACCAAAGGAACCTTGACCCAATGGTCCCAACGGAAGAAAAACAGACACTATAACTTCTTTGGGAGGTATTTTGTGAATCGTCAAGCGATGGAAGTACATAACGAGTACAATCATTGCTAAAGGAACTCCAGTCCCCCAGAGTATATAGCTGATGAGGATAGTCCAGAGAGCGTGTTGTTCGTTTTCTAGTACCGAAGCCACGATACTACCGGAGGCGGCGGCGACAATAGTTGAAACGATAGGCAGCAGCCAGGCTGCAGTCATTCCGGAAAGTTGATTTGCATGTCGAGACATTCTGCACTTCCATGTTAGAATAATATGACATAAGGAAATCATTAATGCTCAATACATAGCAAACGGCAAATACATATTATTTGCAAGTGAGATGGCAGCATCAATCCACCAAAGGGTCCATGCCAAAATAGCAGCCCATTGTCCCCATGCGGGAACACACACAAAGCATATCATATTAATAATAGTTGCAAGTCCCATGGGAAATGTGCCTATTTATCAGTTGTCAATAATGTCATAAGCTTTGCATAGTCGAGGCAGGATGCCTACCGAGAAATAACGACTGCGTAGGATGGTTCAGCATTGCCGTCCAGATACCTCGAAATAATGTGTACCGAGCCAGGGAAATAAGGCTAAACAAAGCAAAGAGAAACACATTAAAAGCAAAGACAACAACTGAAATCCAATATAGCCATGTACCATTATATGGCAAGTTGTGAAGAAGAATCGAAACAATGCCCGTGCCCATGGTAGCGCTGAACTAAAAAAAGGTGAAAAGTAAGGAAACTGCCTTCGATAACAATAAATTTAATTCTTACCCATCTGTTCAGATGAAATTAGTTATTTCCATCGCTGGAACAGAAGGATGAATGAACGTACGACGGAGTAAAATTGACGATAACCCGTCTCAAACCTTTCTGGTTCTTGGCGTGGATCCTAACTTCAAGATCATGGTTGGCCTGTTGTCCGCCAATATGATTAGGGCACAGTTGACCTGCAGCCTGACAAGCCGAGCAGCTAGCAGAGGGATCCATCATCAGTGGGATGGTATGCTTGGTGAAAGAAGTGAAATATTTGAGGGTGGCTTCAGCCTTTAAATAAATCATATCGCGTGCGGAGACATGTATCATCCAGTGGGGTGGAATGCGGCCAAACTACGGGTTACCTAGTCGATGATCCCCGATCGGCGACAGTGCTCGGGGACCATAAAGTGGGGTTATGAAATGCAGAGAAATTTCTTGTTTTGCGCAAGGAACTACTACGTCATCAAATAGGACGCACAAAAGCGGGCACGTGACTGAGAAAAGGGATTTTGGGGAGGGGGGGGGGCGAGTTGGACCCCGTAGAATTACGATATCTGGACAAGTTGCGCACCAAAGGAACAACTGACTCTTCTCTGAAGTCTTGCGCTTGTCGTATCCAACCTCATTTACGTAGACGAGTGGTATGGGCGAAAATCAGAGGTCAGATAAATGCGATCATATAGCTGACCATGAATTCGGCTTTTCGAGATCGTGTATAGGGGATTTTGTGGTGATACTGTACTACATTTCTATGCGGATGGCGGTGCTCTTACTGAAGCTAGTGCCTCCCGCTATCTGCGGGGTAGTTGATTCAATTTTCAAATGGTTAATCAACACAAGCGTAGACTTGGTTGAGTTGGGAGTAAGGTTCGTTGCATGGACGGTTCACCACGTCAGTGTAGGTGCTGCCAACCCAAGAAATTCGCGTCAAGGGCTCGAAAATTTGGAGTGGGCAATGGAGCGGCAGCCTCTGGATCTTACCTGCGATGAACACAGCTCGCTATTATGATAGTCAGGTAATTTATGATAAATAGTGTACTTGAAAACAAATTATGGCTGGCATGCCTTCTTCCAAAAGTAGTCTAATTATACTTGGTGCTAGAAATCGGGATCATTGAAAGAGTATAGTTAGTTACAGTACAACTTTTGCTAGGAATACCGTACACAAGAAAACAAAGACTCATTTTCCAGGAGACTTGGCCCACCAGCTGTCAGCTAGTGGATGGACATCATGAGATTCGATGTCTCTCCTGATTTCAGCCTTATTCTGATGATCAACATCAAATTGACCATTTCTCATGCTAAGCGCTGTGTTCAAATCGACTTGGTCCGAGTCTGTGAATGAACCCATCAAAGTTGGTCGCCCTAACGGAAGAGAATCTCCATGATCTACTTGCCAAAAATGCCACGTCTTGCCATATAGGCCCACAATTTTTTTCATGGCTTCTGTCTCGGCTCTCTTCCAGTCAACAGGATCTATAGAATCTGGCTTTGGCAAAATCAACATGCCCGATTTCACTTCAAAATCGTGCGAATGCCAAAGTTTCTTCTCTTCATCCGGAAGAGTTGAGAATAATGCGTTGCTTCAATATATCGTGTGATATTCTCTCTGGCTGAATCGGTTTAAACGTGCAACGCGTTGAGGAATTCGCAGATATTGTGTAGTGGCTTGTGTTCTGAATTTATTCCCGACATATTGAGAAAAGAAAAGAATGTTGAAGAAGAATTTTCGAAGATTTGCGCATCCCATTTTAAAGTATTACCAAGCTCCCAAATCTCTCCAAAGCATTTGGATTGCTTGAAGTCATAATATCGTCATCAGGTTGCTATTGGCTTTCGGTATTGGATTGCCTCATCTATTCGGCGACTTATGAACCTTGTCACTGAAAGGCTGGTTCTGGTTAATTTGTTTCATTAAAGAGTAAAGAAACAGATTTCCCATCAATTTTAGGATTTTAACGTGGAGATTTGCCTCTTAACGTTTGCCACGTTTTGAACAACCCGTGATAAAAATTGACAATAGAATTTTGGAATTTTTCTCTAAGCTCAACCGCGAACCAAACCAGCATTCCGATCCCCGGAGCATTCGGCGATTAAACGAGTCTGCTAACCTTCAAAGAATTTCATGCGAATCGGCGTGAAACATTGCCATCACTTGACATATGAGCCAATCCCTCATAACAATTAAGAGTTCCTCATTGAGTTGGCTCATCTCCGCTAATCATATCATGAATGAAAATGAGCGGTCAACCTAACTAGGCCAGGAGCTATTGTCAGGTCAAACTAGGGAGAGTTGATGTGGAGTGTTGAGGTAGCTTTTGACAGGTAATAAACATATTACCCGCTATTATAATATTCCGGTAATTTACAATACATCATCAAAACCAAAGAGGCTGAGTTGACGTATTCTAAAAGTAGTTTAGCCTTTCTTGGCATTAGGGTTCGAGAAACAATGAAAGAGTGTAGATGGTGACACCAATTTCCGGAACTACTGTACCCGGATCCGTACCCAAAGCATTCGTTACACTGGAAGGACAGTTTTCATGATCGACAGAGATATTCCCCAGGAATCTGTGTGCGTCATGCATCCGATCGCGATGGGGAACACAATCCCGATTGTTTCCTTCAGTAGCCGGCTTTGCTTGTCTTGTCGTATTCATGAGCGCAATGATCGACTGATCTCGGTCGCGCTCTCGGTATGCTCCGTCCAACTTGGAAATCAGTCCTTCGACTCGTTTCTCTGCCATATCTCTTTGCACTGTCATGTAGTCTTGTTCGCGCCGCAGTTCTCGATTTTCTTCGCCTAGGCGTATGACTTCACGTATCCTCTGGTCGGTAACGTTGTTCGTATTCATTTTTGCTTGCTTGTCCATGGCGACCAGAACGTCCCACCAGAACTCGAAGTGATGCCGCAATCGTGCCAATTGTTGCGCGCTGTCGAGAACGCAGATCGCTCTGGTTGGGCATAATGGGTGGTTCGGGCTCACATAGTCGAACGCATCAATTGTTGGAGCTGTGATTTTGTTTTCTGGTGGCAATCTGCCGTCTTCCTCGTTGCTGGGTTGGTAGTCATCGTCCAGGATGGTAGCTTCCCGTGCTAGGACAGTGACCCTCCTTGTTCGTCCTCTCCATTCCCCGTCCTCAGCTCCTCGATCACTGGGGTTCTCGTTGTTGACTTGGATGTACTTGGATGCCATGGTGTCTTTGTTGTCGGGGTTTGCGGTACAGAATGTGAGGGTCTCACGTATTCATACACTTGGATAGCGTCTCAAGATGGAAGGTAAATATTAAGAACAGATATAACTCTAGATGACGTCATAAGACGTAGCACGAGGAAGCAAGGAGGAGCTTCCTCACGTTCAGGGGAACCGAGATAAGCTATGTGGGTCCGTCACTCCGTATATCCTCCGCTGATCGTACTATGCTGCATGTCCCAGTTACTCGCAGTTAATTGCACATCGTGTATATTCAAGTATAAACAGTCATATCTGGAGGCCTTCGGTCATTACAGAAGAAAATCCTTGACCACACTCAACCACCCTATTTTAAACAGTTCATGAATGACGGCTGGTGGGTAAAATTGTCACCGGTGATGTGTAAATTCTACTCACAAATTGGCGCATACATGTACGGGTGGTAATTATTGGTCATTCAGAGGTCGATCACCACCTGTCGAACGATGGTTATCGGTAATAAACGTCAACGTTCCACACGCTGTCCCGTCACCAACTCCGATAACACCAATGATCATAACCACACCCAGACATGACTTCCGTTTGCTTAGGCTGATTCCAAATGGACTACGCAATACTCGTTCATCAGAACCACCAGGCTTAAGCACGTGGTTGACCGGCCCCAGTCCACCACCCTACGTTTACCACCTTCATTCTTCCGACCTCGGTTAAGCCTACTTGTAAATGAGAGCGAAACGCTATCTTCTTCGTTCCCTCGTGGGATGTGAAAAAGACTGTCGGCGTTCTGTGAAAATGGTGAATCCAAGTGCAAGCAAGAAGTTGGGGATATTGGTGCTGGACTGACTGGGCTTTGCGTTTCAACGGATCCACCTTCCGACAAGGAGCCGTTACGCTTCGCAGTCAACCGATTTGACGAGAAACCCCGCCGAAACGAATCTCAGCGCTTTGACACGTTCAACTGGTGATTATTAAATGCTATACAAGACCCAGTGGTCAAGTAAAGAAAAAAACAAAAAGAGGGAAGATATTGCCCATCGTTTGCGATATTCAAAGCCTGAAAATTTGTCGGAAAACGTTGGAAAGATTTCTGTTTTTTTCCCCTTTGCTATTGTCTAACGAACGGACCCGGTTAGAAACTGAGCTATTCCATTGCGGCGATTGATGGGTTAAGAGAGGGTGGTTAAGAGAGGGTGGTTAAGAGAGGGTGGTTAAGAGAGGGTGGTTAAGAGAGGGTGGTTAAGAGAGGGTGGTTAAGAGAGGGTGGTTAAGAGAGGGTAAGATACAAGAAGTGGGATTATTTAACCATTGAATGCTCTTCAGACGTTAACATGCTCGACTAGCGCTAGTCAAGCAAGACTTGGTCTGTGCACGGCGGATACGGCTGCGGTTTCCACCACCTGGCTTGCACGGCAAATTAACCATCCACTGTTGATCAGTCGGATACTCGAATTATCACTTTCTTTTGCTGCTGTTCTCAGAACTCAAATAAACAGCCCGAACGAATACATCTAAACCATGACGCTCTTGCCCAGCGTATCCTATTCGTTAACGAAAAGTTCAACTGCCCAAGAAACGATACTGACACGCCCGGTGACTCGTCTTTTCTGAGGGATGTCTTAAAGTCATTACTGTAACTAAGATATTGTGAAACCCTCCTAGTTCCACCCGTGGCTGTCTCCCATGGTTGCCTTCTGGGGGTGCCTTCCCGGCAAAGAGGAACAGCGTTAAAGTGGCCATCGTCAACCAGACCGATAAAGAATTCCATTTGTCTTATTGTAAGGAAGCAGTGGTGCTTAAACAATGGCTTCGGATTTTGACTGCTCTCACAGTTCAAGGTACAGTAAGGCGATGGCATACAGCCACGATTCATCGTTTATCATGCGGTATGGATTCCAGAGGTACTGTACCTCTGTACGTAATCTGTTATAGACTTGAATTTTAGAGGTGGTTATGTTTATGCAATTTTGCCCGTTTTACATATTGCGTGGATGTATTGTTTACTGTAAAAGCAGATGCTTTGCGACTGTCTTGCCGTCGGTAATTCTTTTATAGGACCCGAATGACCCCTTAGAAAATTCAATATTAGCTTAAATAAAATGGTATTGTTGAGTGATATAATAACTCTCCCGAAATATAAGATGCACTTGTCAATAACTCGTGCCAGAAAAATCCCATCACGAAATTCGCCAAATATATGGTCGTTCGTACTTGTAGAATGCGCTCGATCACAATCACACATGGCATGTCACTGATCAAAATTTTTGCCCGATCGATGTCGCCGAAAAAAGCTTCAAGTTGGTCACCATGACTCTCGAAAGACGAGTTGGTGTGTTTACATATAGAAGACATTTTTGGCCGGTCAATTTGTGTCGTACCTCGATGGGTCTCGGATCTTCAATGGAAATAGTAACGACTGCCAATAAGCGCAGGGTGTCCGGAGGTTCTATGGACTGTCTTAAGAATACATACGGTAAAAGGAACAGTGTATAGTTTCGCAAAACGTTGGAAGACATGCACAAAAACATAAGAAAACCCGAGAAAAGCCGCACTTGTTGGCCAGCTGCCTGTATTCGCCCTAGGCTCCTAAGAGCATGCGATTGAATTCCTTTCCTTCTATTTTTCCTAGATTAAACGCCGGTTTGGAGAGAAAGAAGTATTACATCACTTTCGTTCGTTGGCCAAGAAAGAACCAATCGTCCCGTGTCCCAAGAACCCACTTGGTGCTCCTGGGACTCCCATATGCCCTTGGGAAATGTCTAGGTGTTCCCAGGAACCGTCATCTACTCCCAGGAAGACAATCGGTAATGGTCCCCGAGGAAATCCGTGCAAGCTCCTAGGCTCTACCGCGTAATCCCAGGAAGTACTATCGTGTACCCTATTAGCATGGTAGTCCTGTGAGCTTCGAGCCCGTAGGAACTGTGTCCTCTTTGTGAGGCATATTTTAACCCCAAAGTTTTATTTTAAGCAACACCATTTATTCGGTCTTATAATTTCTCAGCTTGCTTAGAACAAGCTAGTTGTAGAGTAGCAAAATCGGAAATGCCAGACCGTGCTTGCTTATCGACCCAGGTCCTCTCTGTCCCATTAAATATCCAGCCATAAAAAGTAACAAGATCGTACGATAATATACAAACCACAGTTGGTACGAAAGATTACGCACACGTCTTTTTACGACCGTTACCATTTGGAACTGTGGTGCTGTTAACTTGTAATGTTTGTTACCATAGTGTGTAGGTTAGACGCTTTTAAGAGATTTTTCGACTCCGGAATGATTTCATAAATTTGCGTTATAAATGTTGAGAGGGCCGATTTGCAAACCTTTCATCAGCAGAGCCACTTTGCGAGGCCTATTAATGATGTTTTCAAAATTTATTGCGCTAGGTGACGAGTGCCCCCGCTGGAAAACAACATCTAGTTTAACCATTTAGGTGAGATTGAATCCATATCTTCACAAAGGTCAAAAGGCCCCCAGGGTTTGTCTCGGAGCCGAGTTTTTATTTCAAGGGTCAACACTGGGATTTGCGCAACTGAAAAGTAAATTATGTATAGGTGAATAATCATCGACCAAAGAACAATGCTTTAGCCGCCCATCCGATTAGTCCGTGATCTGGTGCATCGCTGGGAAGGCTTTATGTCCATCCAAACGTGTCGCAGGAAAGCCGTGTCTACGTCTGCGAAGTGAATTCCAATCTGCCTCAGAGTCAGATTTTGGCTTTTGAGTTGACGCAGCTTTTGTGTCTCCTTTGTATTGAGCCTCTGGCGCAGCTTGTGATCTGGATGGTGCGACTGTGATCTTGCCTTCGCTCTAGTCAGGCGTCCACGAGATCTGGTGACAGGGGCTTCATCGAAATGAGGCAAGTTTTCATCACCGACTTCTATCTGGTTATGGATAGGATAGTCGTATTCATGTTCCGCAGGAACAGTTTCATCGCTGGCTGACGTGGACGTGGGACAATCTTCTCGCAAAACTTTCTGCTGCTCGTTCGCTTCGCTGGTGACAAAGCATGTAGGGGAGTATTCCGCCTGTGTCGTGCCACTGAGCGATACTGGTTTGGTCTCAACCTCACTTGGACAGACCATGAGTGAATTCAGCTGGCTGGCAACGTGACCACAAGGTCGGCGTGCACCCTCTGCGTGGAGATCAGAAGGGTCGAGAGTCCGAGGATCGTTGATCTCAAGACCAATATTGGGTTGAACGGAAAGGCTTTGAACGGGAGATTGTGAACCTGTCGCATCACCGAATGGTTTGATTTTGATCTCTTGCTTATCCAGAGAGATTTTAAGGGAGTTCGGCTGCATAGAGGTTTGATCATAAGGCTGGCGTGCTTGCTCTTTGTCAATCTCAGAAGGCTCGAGGATTCTCGGATCAATCACTTCCAGTCCAGGGGTTGTTGGCCGAGAGCTGAGCGGAGAACTTGCTGCGGATAAGCAAGACACAACTGAGCTGCTTTTGCTACCTTCACTTGGGCTGCCACGGAGACTCGAACAGTAATATTGATCTGGATATTCTGCAACGAACGAATGAAATGTGGGGACGGGCAAAAATATTTTGTCTGACAGTTGGTGCTCATGTTCGTGACGCGGGGGCGGATAACGGTAAAAGCGGGGTTTCTTGGGGCGCTCCCCTGGCTCTGTTTGCAATTCCGCCTTGCAGACACGCTTCCTCTTCCTCGGAGGCTTTGGATTTAGCCATATGGCTTTGTTTAACCCATGTACGTCGTGCAAATGATGTCGAAGGCCATGATCGTTCTCAAAAGTTTGGGTGCAGCCGCAAATAGGCTTTGTTGTGGGCCACTGGATCTCAGGTAAATGCTCTTCCTCAATGTGCCGCTTTAGATTATCAGTTCGCAGCCAATACTGTAACCGATCTTCAGGGAGAAGGTCCGTTTTTGGTAAGCAAAAGGGGCAGTAGCCCGGTCGAATGACCGTGTGACGGTATATGATCACTTCGCAGTGTTGGGTTCTCCAGGACTGGAGATGTGATGTGCAATGATCTCGCCATTGACATGACAGAAACCATTTCATACACTCGTAACAAAAGCGCATCTCTGATTCCGAAACTTGAAGGTCAAGTGCCATCTCATGCCGAACGCATTCATGAATGTGGGCACTTCTTTCGGATTTTTTTAGGCTTAAATGTTAGTCTGTCGTGTCATCATCATGCGACTGGAAAACTCACCTTGCAATCTCTTTTTGACAACTTCTCGCGGGGCAGAGACCGTGAATAGGGCTTTCACTTGGAAGGTAAACCACGCTGAAGTCACGGGAACATTGAGTTTTCAGATCTTGCACAAAAAGAAGCATCTCTTCAAAAGAAAGCTCTTTGGTGCAAGACATCAACGTTGCGATTCGGGAAATCTCGGGCATCACCAAGGCTTGAGCTCGTGTGGAAACGTCATTACCAACAGCCATCGGCTCTTCTTTTCCCCTATTAAGGATTTTTCGGTCTCGTCTTTCCTGGACCCAGCGGGTCTGATATTCTTTCAGTTCAACAAGGCGGTGTCGAACCAAGAGCTTTTTGTAGTCCATTCTCTCAGCCTTTATGAGCTCCTTGTCGTGGTTCTGGGATTCAAGATGCTCGATCCGGCTTCTGATTTCCAATAGTTCTGGCTTCTCCAGAATACTCTCTTCAATTTGCGCAGGTAGTTCGCCTGGCAATCCAGGTTCATAGAATCGGTCAAACCCTTGGAAGTACTCGATATGATCCGATTGCTCCTTCTCATCCAGAACAGCTGAGACTGTGTCAATCGACGAACAGTGTAATAAGTAGTCCTTTGGATATGTTCCTGGTCCTTTATGTCCATAGATTTGCGAGACCAACGCAGATCCATATTTTTTTTCTGTACCAGGTATTAGCCAATCGGCTCTGCGGCTGCAATTCTCCAAAAGCTCACCTTCAATTTTTTTTCCAAGATGCTTTCGAATCTCATGAACTTTTGGTCTCTCGGTATATCCAGCAGCAGCAAGTACTCGACCCAGGCATTCTCCAAACGCGTCCTTGGTGAGGGGAATATCTTGAGGTCCATCAGCTGTGACATTTCTGAGGACAGGCTTTTCCAGATATTCGTCTTTCCAGCGTAACGGAATCGGCCCGCTTGAAAGGTCATACTGGGCTAGGTCCTCCACGGTGTTTATGCCAAAAAGGGCACCGTGCTCAAGCGCAAGGGCCAGAAGAATATACCCAGCTGCGAATTGTGGTCTCTTGGTGTCACGGATCCCAATCCCAAATCTGAAACAATCGGCAAATCAGCTCTCAATTCTAGTCGGCATAGTTTAAGTGAGTCCTAGAAAAGTAACCTTACACCGTGTAATTGGGGTCCCGATTATTTTTGAGCCACACTTGATTGACTCTCCATTCTACCTTCCAAGGTACTGTAGAGGATGGGAACAAAACTAGATCGATGTGCTGTGACAAGAATTAATCACAAATATTAACCATATCACTGAAGTGTCCTCACCTTGTATCGAAGACCTCTTTGCATTTTATCTTCATGGGAAGGTATAAAAGCTCCAATTCTCGCTCCAGTGAAGAGATATAGTTGAAGAGCCAGCAAGATGATGACTTTGAGCAATCCCGGTATAAAGCGGTGATGATCGGTCTGCCACAGAGATGAGACTGTTCTGATGAAATCCTTCCTGGTAAAGCTTTTGTTTGGAGAATTGATATTCTCAATAGTTCCTTCTGCTGTCAATGATCTTTTGATCCACTGCTTTGTGCTTAGCGCTAACTCGTACTCTGGAATGAGAAATTTTGTTGTTGGGGGGAATCCAGACTTACGTTGAATATTTCTTTCCGATCCACCAGTCCAACGCTAATTTGCATATCCTCTTCGAGGCCACCAAAAAAACGCTCTGCGCACGACACAACTGACTTCACCACTGGTCGCCCATTTTTACTTAGTCGTCCTCGGGTGGAATGAATGTACCAACGGAGAAACTCCTTGATGAGCTGATGATCTGGAGCCTTGGAGCCCGGGCAATTGTCATAGTCTCGTATCCCGTTTTGTTCAAGGAAGCTAGAAGCAGGTCAGTTTTTCCTTGGGGTTGTTCGCATCACAGTTGAGTAGGGCCTTACTCCTTCCAAAGTTCGGCATGTTGCTTGTACACCTTCTTGGTCTTAGGTATCCTCTTGTCCTTATCTCGAATGGCATCTTCATTTGCATGCGATCCGAAAACATAACCGCTTTGCTCCAAATGTTTGCGGCGTTTCTCTTTGGCGACCTTGTCTCGTTGAGCAAAGAATAATTTCCTACCCATGACTGAGCGAATACCCAAGGAAATGCTAAGAAAGAACTGAGAGACGAAGCAGTGAAGGCGAGGGTGAAAGTAAGCTGTGTGGATGGTCCGGAAGTGGAATACAGCTCCAATTTATATCTGAACTTTTACACATGGACAACTCTGGATAAGTAACCAAAATGAAATTTTCTTTTGCGCCACCGCATGATGAAACCTACGGTTTCCGTTATTGCATCACTCCGTTCCAACACGTTCTTGTGGGGCGGGGGAAATATAGGAGAAAGCGCTTCAAGAAATTGAGGGCATGATGAGGACCATCAGTAGCTCACAAAATAAACGGCACGGTGGGGCCAGATGCTGCTTTGGGTTTAGACTGAGTGTGGACTGGGTGCTCAATAAATGCCTCTGGGTAATCAGTGAGCAATCAGTGAGCACCCAATGAGCGCTCACTGAGTGCTCATTGGGGATCAGTGATCTGTCACGTGATGCCACTGAGCGAGCTCACTGAGCCTGAGCCCGGACTGAAAATTACTCAGTGAGCTTGAGCCTGAGCGCCCTCATGAAAGCGGCGGCAGCTAAGATAGGAAAGCCCCACCCGGGAGGAGAAATCCCCTATATAGAGCTGCGTATGTAGGACTTGTCAGTTGATGAGTTGGAAGGCCTTGATGATACTCACCGCTTCGGAGGACTGGCTGATAAGTAGCCCATGCTATTGACCCAAGCAAGCCAGTACAGACCAAAACCCCCACCACAGCCTGTGAGAAAACGTAGGGTTTTTGATGGAGTAAGACAAGTCGGGACGGTTGTCCGTCGGATATCAACACAAACCAAAGTAAAAGAGATATACCAGCACATAACGATGCCATCGCTGAAAGGATGACTTGGGAAGAATCAATTTCTGCCATTTTGATTTTATCATTTTGATTTTACACAGTCTGTTCGTTGGGATACTTATAATAGTTTGCCTTAAGATCTGGTATCAGCGGACCCGGGAAAGCATCAGGTTTATGACATTTCTAAAAGTAATTGAATATCTTGCGGACTATAAATCTTTGTTGGTCAAGAAAATTGATGACTTATAAAACGGCTGAGATAGGCGTAGATCACCGCGGTTATTCCTGTTGCACTGGGCCTTGAGGACCAATGAAGGTGACCTAATGGCTAAAAAAAGCGTAGGCTGGCAAGGGTAGGGGGTGGTCAAAAACTTCTTGACAGGCCATCGGCATCGAGTATCATTGGTCACTAAAGCTGCGGGGCTCTGCAGGGGCCGTCAAATTGGCCCACTGCCTCCGCGCTTGCTGGCCACTGCCTCATTTCCAATAGTACCACCATCCGTTCCTGGAAAATAAGGTTTCAAGAGGCGTCTTGCTCCCACTGTGATCAAGGCTTCTCGCGCAGAGATGCGTGAAAAGGTGTGGTGTTAAGGACTCATCGTCGCGACTACAAGCTAACTTTCCTGAGATAAAGTTACACAGCCTCACGCTAATGCATGGATGTCAGAGCGAGTAGTGTGGGATCAGCTGACATAATGGAATGCCTGGAATTAACTTCTCTATGCTAGATTTGGCTTCGCGCATCAGACAGAAGAGACAACTACCCTCATCTCTCAGTTCAAGAAGAAGCAATTGTTTATTCGGTTCATTTCTATGATTCAGTATGCATGACAGGATGTCTTGGTGAGTTCCTCCCTGATATCTTCCATGCTATCTTCGACGTTACATGGTGGTGTTTGGTTGCTCCCTCTCATCCAGTCTGTATGACAGACCGCCATCGCACTTCTCCCACTTCACTACTTAATTAGTGCAGTTAAACTAGGGAAGCCTCCATGGCCTTCGGCAAAACGAGCGGTGGCTTGCAGGCTAATTTGCAAAGCTGAGCGACAAACCGATATATTGAAGTGCTGTAGGCGCCACCAATATTGGCCGGGGAATTGGCGAGTCTATACGTGGAGTGGGTAAACCTTGTGAGCTTGTCCACATCTATGGAAGTCTTCAAGGAGGTCTATATTTTCTGTGACCTCTATTCCCTTCAGAACCTTGACTTCTGCTATCTGGTTACTGGTCAAGATCCCAGGAGTTATTGACTCTGATCCCCCAACGTAGCCAATTCTCTCTCAGCCATCTTCTTGCATTCTCCAGATCAACCTGCCCGTCCGTACGTTTCCTTTTCTTCCGAGAATTGTCTGTAGGCAGGCCATACCGTTCACAGGAAACCCCAATGAAAGTTGCCTCCAGCGCAGAAGATGGGTGCTCAACATACCACTGATAACAGTCTTCCCACGGGTACCCGCGTCCATATTCATTCGGGTCATTTGGATTAGATATGTGAAAATTATGGTCCTCTAATCCCTTAAAAAAACTGGTTCAATACGAGGTGACTATTGGGGTAGCGTTAAATCTTGCCTAGGCTGGGTGGGCAAAAAAAGGCGCATCGCGAAGTACATCGGCATTTGGTTGTCTAGTTGAGTCGTTTGCGAGACAGATATCGGATCAGCCTGATGGTTAGAGGGGGCAGGGCCGGCAGAATCTGCGTTATCTCCATGGGTAAATGTGGTGTGTGAGATCGTTTCATCTGGTTGGGTATCCATTTCTCCGGAGAGAACTTCGCTAGGGACATTCCCCGGCCCAGGGAAATCATCGCTAGGTGAAAGAGGTGGGCTTTCAGGGCTCCCAGAGCTGAGATAGCGGAAAAATGTGCGGAACACCGATCGCCGCACAAATCCTGCCGTCACCCGTCGCATCTCCCAAGGCTGCCCTAGAGACTCCCGGGAGAGGGCGAATCGAACCGCATCTGTTGAGTCCGTAAAGGGCTTTCCGTATCGTCAACTCAATGCCAAGTCATCTTCGCTGCCCTCTGGATAGTCACAGGGCGCCTAATAGGGAAGATTGGTTGGTTCCGATTGCGTGCCATTAGTAAACGGAACGCTGAATCCATGGCGTCTGGCCAGCCAGTAGAAATGCTGCCAAAGAACCGACCGATCCAAGTCGGTTGATTGACGAGATGGTCTCGGCTCGTCCTGGATTTCAATCTTCTTGCGTGGTACGCGACGCTGATGATCAGTATTTCGAATCCGTACTGGAGGCTAAAGCGCCACAGATCGTAAAGCTCACGGCGAATCACGTGCTGCCTATATGGAATACTCATAGAACGGTGGCATCATATTGTCCGCCCACGCCTATGTCGATAGTGACCTTATGCTTGGGGTCAGGGACAAAAAGGTTTTGCATTACGCTTCGGCCGACCTCCAGGTAATGAATATCTTTAAAAAAATGTTTTAAGAGTTGGGATAGGGTACTCGATATCTTTCAGCTGCTCCCAGATATCGTTACGCTGCTGCGGATCTTGGATCTTTCGAAACAGGAGGCCTTTTTTTATTTCACGGTCCAAGAATTTCAGATCCTGTTCGGAGAACTTCGGTGCACGCGACGTCAGCATACGGACTGTAATCGCATCTACTTGAGGCAGTAAGTCGCTTCCTCCCATCAGATCGTGGAATGTCCGTCGAATGAGTTGCAAGTAACATAAAATCGGCTGGATACATGTTCGGATTCAGTTTTAGATGCACAATTGTGGGAAAGAGGCGAAGGGCGAGTCACTCCTACCTCGTCACACCGCATTGCCTTCAATTTATGTAACACGCCGATACTCATGTCCGCCCAGATGCCTTCTGTTGGGAGAAGTGCAACAAAGGCCTGTGTAAAGCCTGGATGTCTGAGGAATGCCCGCATGTACCCTCTCTTCGCACGTGGAACATTTTCGAGAGCTGCCCACCATTGATTTTCCACGATTTTGTTCCGGGGTCCACTGAGAAAGCCCTTATAATAGCGAATTTTTTGATAAATCAAGCCGTCCGGGGGGGGGGGGGGGGGGAGCGACGATCATTCCGATAGCTTTCTTGAAGAGAGCGAACAAATTCACTGTGAAGGCCCTCGACGTCGGCATTTTGGTGGCTGGTTCCTTCAACACAACCTTCCTCACTGTCTTCAGCATTCTCAGCTACCAGGATTGAGATATGTAAAATTGGCTGACATGGAAGACAAATTATGTTTCACTTACCACCAGCTGTCACGTAGATATCAATAACCCACCATTGATTTCCCGGTCCCAGCTTCCGGTGGGCGACATCTATAAGGCTCTGATGGTCTTCCGCCTGGAGGCGATAGTTTTCATCCACTTCCAACCAAGGAAGCGATTCTGCTTCGTCTCGCAATCTCATACGATGTTCCAAGTCAAACGCACTGACTATGACTGGCACATGGTTTTCCTGTCTCAGTCGTAGGAAACCTTGGATTTCCACGATTTTTCCAAGTCGATGAATGATCCCACCGTCGTCCATTTGCCTACTGAAGGTCGTGTCGAAACAAAGGTGCAAGAGGTCAACACGAGCGTCTCGGACAAATCGCGACTTACGGTAGGCGTAAAGTTCGCGCTCTGCCATCTCCACTTGAGTTTGTGACAAACGCGGCATAATGGGAAACCGGGCCTTCAAGACATGGTCCTTTAGGCAAAGGCAACTTGTGCTGAATATAAAACATCATCAGCTTCGGGAGTTGGATGCCATCCCGATGCATTCTCAATGTTGTTTTCACATTTTGATTATTCAATAATTGCTGGCCGTAAAAGCTTCCTTATTCCAACCGTAAATTGGAGAGACCATTCCTCATATGTATGAATGAACGCAAGTGGAGTTGATGGAGCTAGAATTGTGATTAGAAAAGAATGCTCGCTGAGCAAGGTTACCGCAAAATGAGGTTCTCGAAATTTTAACACTTGTCCCGGGCATGGGTTTTTAGATGCCAGTCATGCAGTTCCTTCTCTCGCAGTGATGTACCCACACTCTAAGAAGCCCAGAACCATAGAAGTCATCTTCTGACTCATTTTTACTGGTTGTATATCCCGTTTGTAGAAATATAATGCAGCATAAATTGCACTTCTGGTGTCCGACATAAACTGAGTGGAGAAACCCGCTCACGTGAAATACAATATTGTCCATTCGATTTTTGATCCTTTTGATCTTTTTGTATTATGAGTTACGATCTTACGTTTATTTCTACGGACCTTATCCTCTATAAGACAGATCTTTTCCTCTTCCAAAGGACACTTCTCAGCTTGCCTCTGCCGATTATCGGTTCTAGTATGTTCTCATAGCTCGAAAGCACAGTAGTTGAAGAGAACGGAAAATGCTCTCCCGCTTAGAGAGATTTTTGGGCTTTTTGCCTTTGGCTCTTTCAACTGCGACAGTAATCTATCTTGTCATAGTTTTTATAGGATGCGCATCTCCATCTTCTCCCGAAAGATACTATTTCATGACAGTATGTCTCAAAATAACACTATTCTGAACGTCTAGCTAATGGATAGATTGATAGGTGAATTTGACCGGCTTTCCTAGGCTGGAGCATCTGAACCTGAGCCGGTCGATTGATGTCGCTGGCGTAGATACGTCCGGCGTGGCGAACGGGGCAAAAAATGTAGCAGATAGCTCATCCCATGCCGCGCAGAATAAAGCCAATCAAGTCAGCGATCACCTTCAAAATATATCAGATGATCTCAAATTGCATCTCCCGGCATATTACAAGGTCGGGCTCTTGGGATATTGTGAAGGGAAAGCAGACGCAGCAGGTTATTCTAACTGCTCAGACCCGAACATTTCCTTCTCGTTTGATCTATTGAATATCATTGGCTCTGCTTCGGGCAAGTTTGAGGAGTTACTTCCAAAGGGAAACGAAAAGGTTCTTGCAGGATATCGTGACCTCTCCAAATGGTCTATCTGTGCGTGTATCATATGGTTGATTGAGCTATTTTGCTGTTGCATTTGATGCTTAAAGTAATGGTAGTTGATATGCTAGACACAAACAAGAGATAACTAGCGGGTATGAATGGGGCGATTTATGACCCAAAACGACGGTGGATTGGCAATGGCTTGTCAGAATTGAAATTGAATATTACTCCCAGTCAGAGCCACAATTGTACACAGCCATCGCTCTATATGTTAAACAATGAAAAGATGTTATCTGTAATGGAGTTGTGGATGTTCGCTATGTTCTTAACAAAAATCACACCTAGGCTTTCGTTTCGCTCTCCTCTTATATATAGTATATACTTTCCGCTTCATTGAACAATGCATACTAGCATCGTCCAACTTGAGCTGCGACCGAACATTATAAAGATGGAAGATTTGCGCTCTGATACAGGTTGTCTCGAAACTGGTGTCGCCACTTGCACTAGGTTTCCCGGGCCTAACGCCAAGTCTCACTAGTCCATATTAGTAGTAGCTTCGGAATATCAATACTCCAGTATTCGTATTGATACAAGGCGTTACCTTGACTAAAATACGCTGCTTTGTCTCGTACCTGCGCTGATGATCCGAGGCAACTAGAATATTCCATAACTATGCAGGAGGCACCTGATCTCACTGACTCACTTTTAGGATAATACTCACTGAGCACTCACTGAGCATCCTAAGTGTTCAATGCAGACGCTTTGGTGTCTTATAATAATGTCAGGTCCTGTCCGCCTTCAGCCTGTAGCCGTTTTACTAAACTAGAATAGTTCACTAATATCTAATAAGTCTATACCCCTCTATTAGCTAGTAAATACTCGTATACTAGAATAACTCATACAGCGAGGGTCGTGCAGTGACCCCTCGATCCCTGAGCTTCGATCGATCCTTGGTTGCCAATACTTCTTGACCAGATAGCAGCCACCATGACAGCATTCCCTTCCATCGATCTCTCGAACTTCTCCTACTTCACCGTAAGTCCGAGCCTGGAACACTCAACCGCGTCTGTCATTCTCGCTGCATATAGTGCTTGACCCTTTAATCCACGTACAGATCCCTGTCGTCTTCCTCGTGGCATATGTTGGGCCGCACTTGTTCGCGGTCAGCAAGGGCCGCGAGGTATACGACAATGCGAACTCACGTGAGTTCCCCGACGCTCTATGGCTCTAGAACACACAGATGATGATGAACGAAGATTTGTAACCAAAAGTAAAATATCTATGAACCTATCACCCATCAGGGGAAGGTAGTACTACCCCCCACCGGACCTTCCAACCGATGGCGGTAAGTCCAGCATGAGCAAGGACAGGACTGATTCTCCGGCATGATGACATTTGCCAGGTCATAATCAGCTCGAAACGTCAGGCCCTCCGAGTCAAAATTAGAAGGGAGATATTTGCCCAACGACTGTGACTCATTCCCATCGCCTACTAACATCCTCCGCGAGATCGTGAGTTTCTTCAGAGCCTTAAACTCTGTCAGGTCAATCGGCGAAGGCCAAGGAAAGTACAGATCCAGATCCATGCTTTCCAAGGAAGAGGCATGTAATTTGAGCGCGTCGATGTAGGCACTGCGATTCGCTTCGCGGACGAACCCTGTTACGATTGGATCGGCCGATTGGCCTTTGAAGGTGAAGTGTTTTAGTGCACGCGGGTAGGAGAGCATCTCTGATAGATCCCTAGGAGACAGGTCGCAGTGTAAAAGTCGTAGTTCCTCGAGTCGTGTTGAGCGGGGTGCTGGAGCTCCGGTTAGACGAGACCAGACTGTCTGGACGCAAGCCCCGGTGATAGTCAGGGATTGTAGACTTGGGTGGAAGAAGACTGCCTCGTAGGGATTTAAGATCCAGGTTGATTCGTCGTAGTTATCAAAGTCGAAGCCCAACTGGCCTAAAAAGGTCAGGAAGGAATGGACCATCAACCGAGTATTAGGCGTATTTATGCCGAGGATAGTGAGAAGGATGACCAAGCTTACATGACCGCAGAGCAGGCAGGATGCCAGGCCGACAGAAGAGATTAGAATCTTGCTCGTTGTCGAAATAATCGGACTTGATCACCAGGGATTCCAGGTTGACCAATTTGGACAGCACCGAATCGTAATCCTCAGGGACATTGAAGGGCACATCATCCTCCGTGCTATGGAGATGAATCTGCAGCTTGTGCACCAGCGGGGTCAGATGCGGAACATTGGTCATAGCCTCGGCGAATTTCTCGCCGGTAGAAGGCTGTCGGATGATAACTGAGTCGTAAATCAAGGGGTTCGCTAGAGCGTTGAACGTGCGACACACGTGTGCCAGTGACCGGTACGTCATGTAAGATTCTCCAATCTCGACGAGGATGGCATTGATGAGTTCTTGGGGCAAGTTGAGTAGACCCATTGGAGAGAACGTCCTTGAATAATTGATCGAGAGACAAACAAGTGAGTTGCCTGGTTAAGGATTTCATACCAGGGGCAGCAGTAAGCAGTAGTAAGCGGAGTGTTGTTTCGCCTTCTCTTTCCACTCCCCTTTCTGCCGGCCACAGGCCAACTCCGCCATCTCCAAGCTAATTATAACTTCACTCCGCATCAATCAGCGTTCGCTCTCATCCTGCGCAGTGGGCTCAGTGGAGACTCTCTCCGATCGGCATCAACCTCAGCAATCCAGCTCGGGTCTGTCTGCGTATTAAAATTACAAGCGGATACACGTGCTATGGCAATGGGTATTTTTATGTTAGAAACAATACAAGCCTACTAGCAGGGACGGCCGGAAAAATCCCAAATATTATGTACTAGCGCGGATTAGTAATTAAGGTTTGGAAAACAATCCATACGTGAGAGGTGGTCGGGTTACAGCTGAGGGGGCCCCAAAAAATACTGAGCGGGCCCCAAAAATCGGTGGAATATTACGCCGACTTTTGGGGCCCCCTTAGCTCGCTAAGTCGACTGGGCCCCAAAATATTTTATGCTAAAATTAAAATTCTTACTAATAATACTTTTATTATCCACGGATTAACTCTATATAACCTTATATCTCTATATTTATGATATTTACAGTGATTTTTTATTGAATATATACAAAAAATCTGTGTTCCAAATCATATACAAAACCTAGAAACGGCACAAATAAAGGAATTCAGATAGATGCAATGGTAGACTAATAATTTCTGGTTGTCGAAAACGAGGTCCGAATGACGGACTATGGAAGTACTGTGAAGATGACATAGTGAGGTGATAATAATATAAAGTTAAGAATTTTCTTTTTGTGTGTATAAAATAAGATTAGGTAATAAAAATATTTTGGGGCCCAGTCGACTTAGCGAGCTAAGGGGGCCCCAAAAGTCGGCGTAATATTCCACCGATTTTTGGGGCCCGCTCAGTATTTTTTGGGGCCCCCTCAGCTGGGTGCCCAGAGGTGGTGACACCAGTTTCAAGACAACCTGTACCTAGGCTAGGTATTTCTTTGAGGCGAGACTGTATCCCTTTTCGAGGCGAGGTAGGCGAGGAGAAAGATCCATTTCGGAGAATTGCAGTAGCTACTCTGGAGTTTTGCGGAGTGCCACGTGGCGACAATACCGACTTCCTGTATTGATTGAGAGGAGAGTAATGGCGGGACGGGCCGCGATGCGAACCCCTGAACCGCCCGACCGCGACGAACGCGAAGATTCGCCACCACGACTGTCGAGACCGAAACGCACCACTAGACCACCAAGAAACTATACTCGAGAACAAGAGATCGACAACGAACAGAGGAAGACGCGACCCCAGCAAAAGAAGAGAATTGAACCCGAATCTCAGCCTGACGTGGCAACTTCGGACGACTCCGCGACCGAGAGCGACGACCTCGATGTCAGCAATTTAGTGAAAGAGATCGCCAAACTCAGGAGAGAAATCAGACTCCGAGATGAACTACACAAGGAAGAGCTACAAAATGCTAAAGCAGAGTTTGGTGCTGCCCTCGCCGAGGCCCGACACGAGCTACAGAACCTAACAGATAGGCCCCCGACATCGCAATGCCACTCTGGGGCATACGCTCAGAACGGCCACGATGAAATCCTCCGCGAAATTCAATCCTTACGTAAGGAAATCAGCGCTCCCGCTCTCACGGGTTCCCCGTCTTACGCAGATGTCGCCCGCACTCCCCCGCTCAGTCACCCGAGCAATATACGGAGTCTCTCGACATCAAACACAACACCAACGACGTTCACCGACACGCTCTATTGCACAATCGACACCTCCAAAATGGTAGAAAACGAAAACGAGAGGATGGCTGCAGGCTCCATCCGGGCAGCAGTCGAGACAGAGATCCGAACGACAGAAGATCATGTGCATTGGCGCTGTCGCGCCGTCACCGTGGATCCGAAGAATACGAACCGAATCAGAATAGCGTGTCGTGACGAAGCTGAGCACCAGCTAGTCAAGAAAGTGGCGGAAGCCAAGATCGGCGCGGGAGCTAGGGTGCTTCGGGATGAGCTGTACCCGATCAAAGTTGACAGCGTTAATAAAGCCGCAGTTCTGGATAAAAAAGATGAGATCCGGGCCGGAGCGGCAGCAGCCTTCAGCGAGGAGAATAAGGCCACCGTCGCGAAAATCGCATAGCTCAGCAGGAAGGAAAGTGGAAAGACATATGGGTCAATAGTCGTTTACCTGACCAAAGGTACTGACGCACGGAGACTGCTGGCCGACGGGTTTTTCCACGCTGGGGGAGAGTCCGGCGTGACCAGCGCCTTCGAGCATCGACCACGACCGATGCAATGCTACAACTGTCAGGAGATTGGCCACAAGGCTTTCCAGTGCAAGAATGTCCAGAGATGTGCAAAGTGCGCCGCGGAAGGTCATCGCCACAGTAACTGTGCGCAAACGGTTCCCAAGTGCGTTCCATGCTGTGGCCCGCATGAATCGTATAGCAAGAACTGCCGGATGCTCTACCCGTCACGCAATGAATAAAACACTCCGAGTAATGCAACTGAATGTGAGGAAACAGGGAGCAGTGCATGAAAGCCTCATGAACGACAAAGATACTCAAAACGCAGTGGCACTAGCGATCCAGGAACCCCAGGCGAGGAGGATTCAAGGCCGGCTCTTGACCACCCCGATGGGGCATCACAAATGGACAAAGATGGTTCCCTCCACATGGAGGGAAGGGAGATGGGCGATCCGGAGCATGCTGTGGGTCAACAGGGACGTGGAAGCGGAGCAAGTGCGGATCGAGTCGCCGGACCTAACAGCGGCCGTTATTCGGCTTCCTGAGCGACGGATTTTTATAGCATCAGTTTATGTAGAGGGAGGGGATGCCTCTGCGTTGAACGACATATGCCATCACCTCCGCAAAGCAATCACAAAGGTACGGCGAGATATGGGGACGGTGGTGGAGATCATGATCGTGGGAGACTTCAACCGCCATGATCAACTATGGGGAGGAGACGATGTGTCCACGGCCAGGCAAGGCGAAGCGGATCCGATCATCGACTTCATGAATGAGTTTGGACTCAGCAGCCTGCTTAAACGAGGTACCAAGACATGGCACGGCGGAGGATATTCGGGGGACTGCGAGTCCACAATCGACCTCGTTCTCGCCTCGGAAGACTTGACAGACTCGGTGGTGAAATACGCGGCATATGGAACGGAGCACGGCTCGGACCACCGTACCATCGAGACCGTCTTTGATGCTCCTTGGACAGCACTAAAGCAGACAGAGCGACTGCTTCTGAAGAATGCACCGTGGAAGGAGATCAATGCCAGAATTACAAGGACTCTGGCCACCACTCCGGTGGAAGGCTCGGTACAGCAGAAGACCGATCGACTCATGTCCGCGGTGTCGGAAGCGGTGCGTGCTTTGACGCCAAGGGCTAAACCGTCACCACACGTAAAGCGATAGTGGACGGCGGACCTGACACAACTCCGTCAGATCTACACGTATTGGAGAAACCATGCCCGGTCGGAGCGACGGGCCGGACGAAAGGTGCCACACTTGGAGGACATGGCGGCAAGTGCGGCGAAGGAGTATCACGATGCGATTCGGAAACAGAAGAAGAAACACTGGAACGAGTTCCTGGCCGATAACGATAACATCTGGAAAGCTGCTAAATACCTGAAGTCAGGAGAAGATGCAGCCTTCGGGAAGGTACCGCAGCTCTTCAGAGCAGATGGAATAGTTACCACCAATCATGAGGAATAAGCAGAAGAACTTCTGACCAAATTCTTCCCACCCCTGCCGGACAATATTGACGATGAAGGAACTAGACCACAAAGAGCGCCGGTAGAGATGCCGGCCATCACCATGGAAGAGGTAGAGCGGAAGTTGCTCGCAACGAAGTCTTGGAAGGCGCCAGGCGAGGACGGCCTACCGGCCATAGTGTGGAAGATGACCTGGCCCACGGTCAAGCACCGGGTCCTCGATCTCTTCCAAGCGTCGCTGGGGGAAGGCACGTTGCCGAAACAGTGGAGACACGCAAAGATCATTCCGCTGAGAAAACCGAATAAGGAAGACTACACCATTGCCAAGGCATGGAGGCCGATCTCACTGCTCGCAACACTGGGCAAGATCTTGGAATCGGTGGTGGCAGAAAGGATCTCGCACGCAGTGGAGACCCACGGCCTGCTCCCGACCAGCCACTTCGGGGCCCGGAAGCAGCGGTCCGCGGAGCAGGCACTCCTGCTCCTGCAAGAGCAAATCTACACGGCGTGGCGCGGCCGACGGGTGTTGAGCTTGATTAGCTTCGATGTGAAAGGAGCATACAACGGGGTCTGCAAAGAACGACCACTCCAGAGAATGAAGGCGCGGGGAATACCAGAAACGCTGCTCCGGTGGACCGAGGCATTCTGCTCGGAAAGGATGGCGACCATCCAGATCAATGGGCAGGAATCTGCGGCTCGAAGCCTTCCGCAGGCTGGATTGCCGCAGGGCTCGCCCCTGTCCCCGATCCTATTCCTCTTCTTTAACGCAGACCTCGTACAGAGGCAGATCGACAGCCAGGGAGGAGCAATTGCTTTCGTCGATGATTTTACTGCATGGGTGACCGGGCCAACCGCGCGAAGCAACCGGGAAGGTATTAAAACAATCATCAATGAAGCGCTTGACTGGGAAAGGAGGAGTGGAGCAACTTTTGAGGCGGAGAAAACCGCCATCATACACTTCGCCCCCAAGACCTATAAAGTGGAACAGGGTCCTTTTATCATCAAAGGGCAAACCGTTGAACCCAAAGAGAAGGTCAAGATCCTGGGGGTTCTGATGGACACGAGACTGAAGTACAAGGAACATATCGCGAAGGCAGCTTCCAAAGGTCTGGAGGCAGCGATGGAGCTTCGACGACTCCGAGGTCTCTCTCCAGCAACAGCACGACAGCTGTTCTCATCGACGGTAGCTCCAGTGGTGGACTATGCCTCGAATGTCTGGATGCACGCTTTCAAGAATCAAAACGTCGGACCGATCAATCGAGTGCAAAGGGTAGGAGCGCAAGCAATCGTGGGGACATTCCTCACAGTCGCGACCAGCGTAGCAGAGGCCGAGGCCTATATTGCCACTGCACAGCATCGATTCTGGAGACGGGCCGTGAAGATGTGGACGGACCTCCACACGCTACCGGGAACCAATCCTCTCCGCAGAAACACGGATCGGATCAGGAAATTCAGAAGATACCACCGCTCACCACTATACCAAGTAGCAGACGCGCTGAAAAACATCGAGATGGAATCGCTGGAAACCATCAATCCGTTTACACTGGCACCATGGGAAGCCCGCGTGCAAACTGATGATGAGGCCAGTCCCGAGACATCGACTATGCCAGGCGGGTTAATGCAAATCGCACTTAGCAGCTCGGCGCGGAATGAGCTGGTCGGATTTGGGGGGGCGATCGAGAAGCAACCACCTCGCTATCGAAAAGTGAAACTAAAGGCCTTTTCCGTCACGTTGGGCGCAAGAAAAGAGCAAAATCCATTCTCCGCGGAGCTAGCAGCAATGGCGCATACATTAAACACGCTGGTGGGACAGAAAGGTTACCAGGTTACGCTGCTCACAAGTAACAAAGCGGCGGCTCTCACGCTGAAGAACCCTCGACAGCAGTCGGGACAGGGATTTGTCTGTCAAATCTACAAGCTGATGAGAAGACTGCGGAGGAATGGCAATCAGATTAGCGTCCGGTGGATCCCCACTAGCGAGGACAACAAACTACTAGGGCTGGCGAAAGAACAGGCTAGAGCCGCGACGCAAGAAGATGCTATCCCGCAAGGACAGGTCCCCAGGATGAAATCGACAACTCTGAAGATTGCGCGATCCCAAGCAGTCCCTAGCAGTGAGCTACCCGAGAATATAGGGAGACATTCCCGACAAGTGGATACAGCACTTCCAGGGAAACACACGCGACAGCTGTGCGACCGATTATCGTGGAAAGAAGCGAGCGTGCTGGCCCAGCTCCGCACGGGCATGGCTAGACTCAATGGATATCTCTTTCGAATCAATGCCGCCGAGACAGATCAATGTGCATGTGGACAAGCAAGAGAGACGGTGGACCACTTTCTATTTCGATGTCGGAAGTGGACCGCACACCGGACGGAAATGCTGCAATGTACTCACACCCACCGAAGTAACATGTCTTTCTTCTTGGGTGGGAAGTCGCCCTCCGATGATCAGAACTGGACGCCCAATTTGGAAGCAGTGCGAGCCGCGGTACGATTTGCGATCGCTACGGGCCGACTTGATACCACTTAACCTTGCCGACAAACGGACAAAATACCCCTCCTTGCCAACCTCCAACACCTTGTGACAGACGGTAGACGCGCTTCAACTGCCGAGGATAGGATGTTGAACACTTGAAGAAGCGCCTTCAAGACAGTCTACCAACAAAATCACTAACCCACAAGGAATCCTACGATATTGACAGCTGAGAGGACATATACTGAAAGGTTCTATGTATGAGCTCGAAGGAGATACGGCATATGCACATTAGGACTTGTATTGATAGATCAGTGATAGTTGCCCTTTCGGCTTAGCCGCCGGGCGTTAATGAATTGTGTGTGTGTGTGTGTGTACCTAGGCTAGCAAAACTCCTCCCAGGCCAACTGGGCTTTGCGCTCCTGGCACATCAAGTCGTGAACAGAGTTGCGCAGGTCGTCGGCGATTTAGGAGACGGGATGAAAGTCGTCGAAAGATAAAAAAGCACCGGACTGGTGAAGACGGAGCAAATCTTCGGCGGCTTTTCCAACCGCGTCCTGCAGCTGTTTGAGAAGAACGTAACAGCTACGGTAGTACGCATTTTCGCCCTGCTGTCGGCCAATCCGCCGCACGATGTCTTCGATTTCGTCCATGGTGGAGTTCTCGACAACTCCCAAGATGCGTTCTTCCCCAAAGGGAGGACATGATATTTACTCATACAGTCTGTTGGATCCGCATCGCCAGCAATAACCGCCGTCAGTGGAATAAAGTCAATACTACCAAGACTAGATGAAGGGTGGTTGATCTGCGCAGGTCATCATCCGCTAGATTCTGCGGTTTTTGCGAAACCAGTTTATTGTGTGGGGATACGATTTACTTACCGCTTTCATTATATGAAGACTAGTGTGAATATTAAACGAATTGCATTCTTTTTCTAAAGGCTCAAGGACTAGTTGCTCTAAATCAGCCATCTTGTACATCCGGCCTCGCAATTTCCTAAAACCCAAATATATAAAGATAGGTTGCCAAAACATGGCCAGTGCAGAATCTCAACGACTTGGTTGCAATGGCTACTCCCGAGGCCCAAAATCTTCGCGACTATGTGGTCATCGCAATCATCAAGTTATTTGGACTGGTCTACTTTCTCTCTCTTTCTGCTTCACTTCCTTCTCTTTCACTTTCCGCCGTCTCCCGGACTGATCATCAATTCCCTGTCCGTGATTTCCTTCAACGGAGGCATCCTACTCGCCTGCCTATCTAGTCTCATCTACCGTACCTTGTCCGCTTTTCACGGAGAGGACGCAGCAGATTGGCAGAAGCTGGAGTTTGCGGGAACATTGGTCCTGATTTACACGGCCACAATCCCCTCCGTGGCTTTGCAGTTTCGCACGCAGCCCTCCGTCCAGCTCGGATACCTTTTTGCTTTTACTCTTGTTGCAGTCGGAAATTTGGTGGCTTTCCTCGTTTTAGACTCGGACGCCTCGGTGGTTCGTGCCAGGTTCCCGTACCACTGTGTTTTCGTTGGGCGTGCTGGCTCTGGTCCCGAGCATACACGCTCTGACCGAAACGTTTCACAGTCCGTCACCACTCGCCCTCGAATTTACCTGGCTCGCCGGAAGCAATTCTCTTGGCGCCACCTTTTACTTGCTTCGCCCATTGTAGAGAATAGGAATAGTCGACACCTGGCGACCCGGTCTTTATGTGATGCACTTGATTTTGGTCTACAGTACGGTCACTTATTCAAAAGGTGTCTTGCAAACGATGCTCTGACCCTCTACCTAGCTTTTGGGCTATGATGTAATGAATTGGGTTTCAGTTCTTTCTATCTACAGACCAATCGACCATTTCAATTGGATCTGCCTTTGGTTAGATGGAGTTCGTAATGAGAGTCCGGGTGGACTGCCATGTTGGAGACATTCTTATAAAGTACGCCTAGCTATCCAAAGTCATCTTCTCAAGTTTCCTAGGCTGCGAACTGCGGTTTTTATTTTATTTTATTTTATTTTATTTTATCAGGCACAAAGGAGTATCGATGCGCCGTGCCAAGGATTGGCATCACATCTACTTCCCAGTATCGATTTTCACGGGTCATCGCTTCTTTCACCCATAAAAAGATTTTGGAGCCAAATTTTCCAATTTTCCAGTGAGAAGGTTCTAATTCGGCATCTGGTGACTTCTGTAGGGCGAGCGACTCTAAGCACCAACTCTGCCATCCCGTTCAATTCAGCGTGTGGGCGCTGGAAATCATAGGCACTATAGGCTTATCCAATTGACAAATTCTTTTCTTGGCAAGGAATTTGTTCGACGTTCCCCATTCCTCACCGCCTCCGAGCAAGTCACCTTTTCCACCAGTTTTGCCCGCGTTGCCCGCTTTTGCCCATTCATGTTTATTTGGGATGTTTAAACGTGCCATCCATAAATCTGACCGCTCTCATAATGGCCTGATCGGTGTTTTCAAATTTTCAATGATGGCTTGGGGTTTCCTCGTTCAACACGGTATTTCCCAGTATCGATGGTTTGTTTCTTTGCGATGCTCTCCGTGCACACCTCAGTGGATCGTGCCGGGCCCTCCGCTTCGATTTTCGATCCTACGGATAACCACCGCATTTGGCCCTGCTTCTGGGCATTGTACAGGTCCATGTAGACGCGGTTAAGAAGCTTTCGCAGGTGAATCTGTGCCGAATAGAAGCACATCATCATGGTATTTGGTGAAGAGAGATCATCAGGAAGTACCATATTGAATCGTGCCCTTTGGAAGACCTATACTCCCTTCGAACCGAGAAATACCGTTTGCAGGAAAATCCAGTTCCGCAAGAAGATCACTCTCCAGCTGCAGGCATGTCCAGTAGGCGAACCTGTAAAGATCCAGTGTTGGCCCTTCCTCCAATCTCTCGTAACGCCTCTGACGGACAAGTACCTGGCACGCCCTTGCAGCTTGACAGATCCAGCCATGGCTTTGGAAGGGATGCACTAGTTGACCGGCGTAAAGACCTGCGAGCAAGGCCTCCTGAACATGTTCCAAATCGATACCGCCCTGGAGATGACCCAGAATTCCTGCGGCAAATCCATACAAAGCGAGTCCGGGGATGACTTGAAGATCCTTCACATGTACATACTCATTGCGGGTGGGAATGGACGACGGTTTAAAAAACGGCTTCAGAGTCCCAATTTCAAGAGTCGAAGATGGGTAATATTGACTCATGGTTGGAGGAGGACGAGGGCAAACTGACTGGTTTATAAGCATGGCTGAATCCAAATTGGCTGGTGAGATGACGCTATTAGGTGCGTAGGGCCCATTGAAAGATACAGATTGGAGACTTGGAAGGCGACTAGGGATGCGTTGTTGGCCATAGTCAATTTTATGATCCATGACTGGGCCAGGAAGTGGTGATTTCGTTTTGCAGATCGAGCCAAGTGCAAGGACCAGTAAGACGATGACATTGTCGATGTTCCGTCCAACGGGAGGTGTAGAAGTGCCCGAGGCAGTATCTGCGGGTCCCCTGTCTCCTCGATGGAACGCTTCTGCTTTGCACGACGAGGGTTGTCGCGGCAGGGTGTTCTATGTCGCTCCACTGGCGAGGTATCCAAATGGCAGAAGTGTCGGATGAACATGTCTACCTTCTTATCCAGAGTGATTTGATCGAGGAAAGGAAGTTTGTGCATGCTATCCAAATAGTTCTGATGGTACCGCCGCGCTGTCCTGCCATCCAGATTCAGGCAGCCAAACATGTCGATTCCGGCATCCGAGTCTTGCGGCAACAGGCTACTCTGGACTCTTGATTCTCACTTAATTCGAGACTCGTCAAAGCTGACGCTGACGCCATCGTGGGTCAATGGCGACGACTGTAGTTGTGTGTCATCAGCACTGGATGTGTTCTCGCATTGTCCGTCGACACTGATCAAACCACGTTCTTCCTTCAATCTCATGACGTAGTTCTCGTCGTAATAGTGAGGATGAAGCAGTGCCTTAATGGAAGTCCATATCAAAAGTTTGTGCGCCGCTGTCGTATTTTCTACGGGGATCGAAAGCTCTCCGTCGTTGTCACTCTTCGACGAGTCATCAAAGCTGACATCCCGAGCCAACGCTGATTGTTGTCCATAGAAAGTAGAATGATCGTCTGACATCTCGGTGGACTTGGCTGGTACTTGGCCCTTCAAGAGATACCGAGCAGGCGGAAAGTAACCACCAATCCACATCTTGCCTCGAGCTTGCTCGCTAAGTAACGTTGGTAGTAAATGCTCCACCTGTTTAGTCTGTGCCTTCAGCATCTGTCCTTAAGATTCGACTTGATGTCGCTGAGACTCCTGGGTCTTCCGCAAAATGTCAAAATGTTGGGTCATCTTATCCTCCATTTCCAATATCCGGTCCAGAATCACTTAAGTATTTTCCGTCTGTCATTTCATCGCGATGCTCGCCGCCCCCAGACGGCTTAATCTATCAAAAGATTCGATATTATCAAGGATTCCTCAGTGGGCCCCGGAACAAAATTGCGGAAAACCAATGGTGGTCAGCACTCGAAAGTGTTCCAGGAGCAAAGAAAAGAGGATACTTGCGAGCATTTCTCAAACATCCAAGGTTTTCCCAGGCCTTCGACGCGCTTCCCCCGATAAGAGGGCGTTTGAGCAGATATGTGAATCGGCGCGTTACATAAGTTGAAGGCAATGTGGTGCGATGAGGAGTGACTCGTGCTTCACATCTCTCCCACAATCTTGTGCATCCGCTAAAACTGACTTGGAACACTCATCCAGCCGATGTTATTTGCAACCCATTCGACAAATATTCCTCGATCTGATGGGAGGAAGCGGCCTTTTGCCTCAAGTAGATGCGGTTACAGTCCGCATGCTGATGTCCCGTGCGCCGAAGGTCTCTGAGCAAGATCTGAAATTCTTGGACCACAAAATGCAAGAAGGCGTCCTGTTTCGAAAGATTCAAGATCCTCAGCAGCGCACCGATATTTGGGAGCAGTTGAAAAATATTGACTACCCCATTCCCACCCACAAAACATTTTTTTAAAGATATTCATTACCTGGAGGTTGATCGATGCGTAATGCAGAACCTTCTTGTTCCTGACCCCGAGCATAAGATCACTATCGATATAGGCGTGTGCGACCAATATAACACCGCTGTACCTATGAATATTTCATATCGGCAGCAAATGCTTCGCCGTGAGCTTTACGATTTGTGGCGCTTTAGCCTCCAGTACGGGTTTGAAATGATCGACCATCGGCGCCGCGTACCACGAAAGAAGGACGAAATCCAAGACGGACCAGGAGTATCCAGTAGATTAACCCACATGGATCGGTCGGTTCGCTGGCAGCATTTCTATTGGCTGGCCAGACACCACGGATTCAATGTTCCCTTTACTGATGGCACGGTTACAATAGTAGTAGGCTTGCACTTTCCTATAGGAGTTCGCTAAAGGGTTGCCCCAGCAACGCAGTCGGGAACGCATTGTTGACTCCCCTTGGATTGAAAATTTGTGGCAGTTGACATTTTCTGTAAGACTTTTGTCTTCGTACATCAAACCAAAAACCCTGGGCTTCAAAGAATCTTGCCGATTTGCCACAACGCTTGGTGTCAGCATTACCTAAAACCCGGCATTCTTGTCGACGCCATTTTAGGCGGCCATCCAACGTGAGCACTTTTGGACCATTCAAATATTTGAGATTTCTTCCCTGTCTAATCCGCCCCAGGTTCTCATATCAGAACCACAAACCACTTGCGACCTAGTTGGCTTACCTCACGAACTAATCCTTGATATCTTCGACAAATGTGAACCCCTGGACCGAATGTGCCTTGCCTTGACTTGTAAGCACCTGTTACAAGTTTCATTGCTTCTCCGAATTCGAATTCCATCAGGAGCCAAGCACAGGTTTCTTCCACCATCAACTTGCGTTGATATATTTTCCCTCCTCAGACGAATAGCACCTCGTGATGATTCCGGTCAACTTGAAACAAACATTGGCATTTGCTGCGACTGCCTAAGGTATCGCACACGACGAATACAGTACTGGAACGACCACAAACACAGACATTTGGAAATGGGTCTCAAAGCTGAAATGTGGGAGAATGCCGTCAGACGTTGGCATAATAAGTATAATTTTCAATGTCCGCAGTGCTGGTGTCAAGAGAGATTGAGACAGTCATGATCATCTGGAAGACTTCGGAATCATTAGGGGGTTCCTTAGGAAGCTTGACGGCCTCTCCTGATGATAAATACAGCAGATATGTGAGAACCTGAAAGCATCGGTATAACCTGAACGGGATGCCATGAGGATGGAAAGTTCCCATCAGATTAAATGAGGAAAGGGGACCGGAGCCGAAGAACTTAGAGGAATCCCAGTCTAATTTTCTTTCCAGTGTCACACAAGAGCTTTTTCTGTTCATCGATTCCGAGGACCGTAAAGAATCAAATGACCACACTCTCAAATGAATCTTTCTGAAGCACTTGCTGTGGGCTAGTTGGGTTGGCTGACTGGGTTGGACGATGTGGGTTGAAAACCAGAGGCGCTTCCAGAGGGGTTGACATCGCTGATTCGTATAACGTAATCCACAAGCGAGCTGATCACCCCAAATTAGTAAATATGATTGTCTATCTCAACAACAAAGATTTGGTTCTTTTTGATATTAATGATAGAGATATATTAACCGCCTTATGTGCAACAGAACTATTATTATAGTGCTAATATAGAAAGAGCTTCAAAAAAGAGTTCTGCAAATCCAATATTTTATCATATCTGTTCTATTCCCCTTGAATTTTTAGTGAACAAGAATGTCCAAGACAGGAAGGAAATACTAGATATTTGAGAAGACCTATATATCGATCAAATCCTATACCAGTTGGCTTGTACATACACGATTCTTCAAGTATATACCCCACCCTAGTTTGTACTCGTTAGGACACAATCGTCTTTAACCAAGACTCAAGTCGGAACCAACTCACCGATAAAAGATCTTCATTGTCTTCTCCCATCGCGTCGTGGGCCATACTCCAGACTATGATCGAGAATATGAATTATTGATCTAGCTTTTGTTAGCCTACTAAGCTAGGTAGCATATTTAGTTAGACATTACCAATGATTCCCAGAGACGATAGAACGTAGCACGGTATCAACAATTCGTTCATCGTACTGGAATTCAGAAATATACTGTTGAATGCCTTCTGGGTTCCAGCCACCACGTTGGGCGCCTCGGAGAGTAGGTCTTTGATCCTGAACGAGTTTTAACCTCCCACAAACTGCTGCAGGTGTACGTGTGCATTCTGGTGGTTGTACGGAGACTTGCAGGTAAGACCCCAGGAAAATCCCTCGTATCATCGCTTGATGACGGGTCAAGATACTTGCGATTTGATAGTCCCGGTACCCTCTCATAGCAAGATGGAGGGCAATAATTGTCTCTTCAATCGTCCACCAATTCCCAGCCATGGTTGTTCTGGCATGTTACTGGGGAAATCTCACTCAGGAGCCTCTTCCTATTAAATAAAAATTCGCTCGTCCCATTATCGCAGGCTTGCTGTGGCACTTCGAACTCTGGTAGCGCCGCGAGCTGCGTCGTAACTACGCCAGCTGCACTGTAGCTGCGCCATCTGCCGTAGATCCCAATTATAGATAAAAGGAGAACCTGTTGGACCCGATATGGCGTAAATCAAGCAATCTCTTTAAGCAAACTGATTTGACTTTGTAAATGAAGTATGTCCCGAAGACCGAACAAAGGAGACCCATGCCACTGTTGAGGTCGGGCTCGGTGGGGAGATCGTGAGCGCGTACGAGTGCAGCCCACGAAAGGCTCGACCATATATTCGCGCAGGTGCGGCATGATCAGTGGATTGAGAAGCAACAGCTTATGAACTAAAACATGAAGACCACGACAAAGCCCCTCTCCGCCTGTCCGGAAGTATACCTAATCCAGGAGCCAGACCGCAGGACTATCCTCACCCTCGACTCAACCTGGGCAATGCTCACAATACATGGGAGAGGTAAGGCATTATGAAGAGTGAGAAGCGCACTGCTAAGAGCAACCCACCCAAGATCACGAGGTAACTCATGTCCAGATTTGCGCCTCTTATTAGGACCAGCATTGTAAGAAGTCCTAGGGCATAGTGCTTCATTGGCTTACAATAGCGGTGACAAATATGGACCCCGTATTCATGCACATAAATCACACAAGCAGCGATCGCAAGCTATGTGATGGTCAATGACCATGATTTCCATGAAATTTCTCACTACTGGAGAGTGACTGTGCCACCTGAAGAAGGCGTCTAATGATTAGCTGACAACGTAAGCAGCTGGAAGGCGGCTTGAGCTCTGTGAGGGGTGACTGTGCCGCTACGAATCGGAATGCCGGGCGGGTAGTGGGGCGAAGAAATCGCAATCGCCTGATGTCGACACTTGGTTATCCCAATTGGTGTGTGTCTCTTGCGCACGGTGCTACAAATTCGGTTAATACTTTATTTTTACTTATTCCTTATATTGAATGCTATGGAGACAGGAGACTCATAAAGTGTATGACCGATCCAGAGCCGGTGCTATACTTCAGTATTTCTATTCGAGCTCAGAAAACCCGTTGTCATGTCAAAGCTTGCACGGTTTAAAGTGCATTGTCATTGATCGTGTCGCAGGATGTGAGCCACTTAAATAAGCCATACATTCAACCATATTTTGTCTAGTTTAGCTCGTAGGTTTCATGCCACGACTTCCTTCCAAATCCGAAGAAACAGAAATACTCAGAAATGTTTTCACTTGGCGATGCTATGATTTCCTCTGATACAAGGGCATGCTATGTGTTTAAAAACTACATACCTGAGGTGTCATTTCAACGCGTCCGTCTTCTCTAGTGAACAGATATAATCGTGGTCTTTTCACTGCAGCAGCTACCTGCCGTGCAAAAAATGTATTCGCCAACACATCAGGACCCTTCAAGCTCGGTTAAGTTAGTAATTCTTGACCTATTGCTAGTATCCGTGTTTCCTCTCCTAGTGAATTGGTTATTCGATAAAAGACAGATGTCGAAAGCGGCAGAGCTCCTGAGAAATCCTGCTCGTAGAAACAGATCTTTCTTAGATTACACCTGTAATTACAACGATGCGAATAATGGCATAGATATGTCGAATATGGCGCACAAAATGCAGTATTAGTTTGCCACTGCTCACCACCGAATCCACGAGCAAAATCGTATTGCAATTGAAAATGTGCTTGGGTTGAATATCACTTGGATTTGTCGCGTGAAGCAGCATGGCAAGGGGCATGGCATCATTAACGCGAAGAGCCATCGGTTCACCACTACGCATCAGGGGTAGGATCAAAATTTCCTTTTCATGAGAGATCCGGTAACTATCCGTCTGATGACTTTGGACATGATCAATTGGGCATGTCTCAACCCCCAGAATATAAGGGCATAACTATGTTGCAAGATACCATCCAACTCGGCGATGAGCATCTCGTAGTGCGGGGCCAGAAATAGTCGCGTCACGCATTGGCATCATTAGCAATTTGGCTGCATAGTGGTCGGTGGTATGGGCAACATGAAGGTTTTTACGTCGGACAAAAATGGAATCGAACAAGAACCGATCAGCCAAGTAGATCAAAAGTAGCCGAGATACGTCAAGGCGAGGGGTTACATGGGAGGGAAGAACAACCTGACATGGCCGGACCCCGTCTGTTCCGATACTTTTTGCCAGAGCGTCCTCCATGCTGATAATTCTTGTTGACTCTTCGCCCGTGACGACAACAGCTTCGTTTGCAGCCTTCAGCATACCCAGATCCAATGGACTATCCCTAAATGCCCAAACATAACAGTTGCAACGGTCGCGCAGACCTATTCCTAATGTGGCTTTCAGATATGGAGTCATAATAAGGCCAACTGACAGCCGTCCCCCGCTAAGCACTTTGACCTTTTCCCAGACCCCACGTAGCCCATAGGTAAGCACAAGGGCGCGAACATGTATCTAACCTGTTATTAAACGCAAGAGATGCATGCAATAACTCGGGATGCATTTCGATCATGGATGCTACCTTTTCGCAACATATCTCATATGCCTTGGCGTCATGGATTGCTTCTTCGTAAAAAATGGTGGCTTGGCGAAAAGCAGTTTATGAATATTGCAAAGGACTGCTGAACAACTTTTTCAATGGGGAACTTTCGCCTTTCCCAACAGACGGTGGGGGCACCTGTTTCCAGAACAATTCACCACTGTCTTGCGATGCTAATGTTTTGTAGGCGTCAAAGACCAACACGGTCTCTGGCGCCTCAGAGCCAGCAGTTATAATCTTGTCCATCTGCTGCTCGGCCAATTTGGTATTCCGGCCTTCCGTATGACGATGGAAGTCTAGAAGAAGATGGATGATGTCGCCCAATACATCCTGGGAAGGAGAAATCGTGCTGAAAATTATATCGTGGGATCGGCAAAGACGACGTAGTTGAGTCTTCTCGGTGTGTTGCCATGTTTCCAGGTGGGCGATGGATACGACCGGGCGGGTTTTTCTCTGATCATTCATCCGATATTCCCCAATGATTTCGGGTGGAATATTCAAATACAGAATATGTGTGTAGGCTTTTAGATCAGCTGGTGTGCAGATCCATTCACCATTTGCGTCATCCATAGCCCAGAGCATAGCGTGCCCGGCAACAATGGCAGTCTTCCGACAGGTAGAGCTTTCCTACTCGATCTTGCCGATGACACGTTCGCGAAGATAGGTCTTCTGTTTGTCATCCAATTTCTGAAATGCTTCAAGTCCCCTAGGCGCCACGTCTGCAATGACTTGGCTGCCATCGTAAAATGTGAATTCATCACGACTGAGGCTTTGCTCCAGAACAGCCGCTAGAACTAGCGGTGTATAACAAAGGTGGGATGAGAAATAGACTGATAGAAAAAAACAAAAAAGGTCATATAGGTATCAAAAGGTGAAAAAAAAAGTGAGACGAATTGAAAAAAAAAAATCAAAATCAATAAGTAGATAGGGCGAATTAGCAGTAATAGATCGTCGTGGGCTCGGGTTCAAGGCCAGCAATTGTGCCACAAGAAATATTTTCTTCACTCCGCAGGACGTATATCGCGGGCTAAGGAAAATGGGCCAGACTCGTCGGAGAAAGCGGCTTACTCGCTGCAATGTCTTTTGAGCGATTTTGTGACGGCGAGCCACTTCAGCGACTGTCCGATCCTTGCTTGAGTTGACCACTTCACATACGGAGCTTCAGTGAGGCGAATTGCAGATCAATGCAGTCGTTTTGAAAAAGCACCATCGCGAAGTGTACTGTGCCAGCATGTATAAATAAACGGGAGCGACATCGAGGCCAGAGAGAAGAACTAATGGCCGAAACACAAAACCATCGCGCTGGGCCCGTATGACTGAGAAGAGAACATCAGAAGTCTCGCTTAGTTTGGCCTAATTTGTGCAAGTCGGCGTTCCTGAAGCTCTTCGCGAAGTCGTTCTTGGTGCCAGGATAGTTGTGATTGTCGTGGAAGATCCAGCATGTTTAGCCACAGGTGCAACGTTGTTTAACCTATTAAATGCACAGGAGAATCGGCAGAAGGGCAGATATTGGTTGGTAAGAAAAGTATTAAAGAATGGTTGACCCGATATCAGCAACAGGGCCCCATGTGATGCAAGTTGTTATCATCGGATAGGGAATATCTTTTCTCCTACTTAGGTGCCGCCTCCCACGTCTACGAAGATGGCCTCTTCTTGTATTGATGACGACGCCCGCCTTGCATGCTTGTATCAATGTTCGGACTCTTAGCTAGTACAATTCAGCATAATATCGATCAAGCCAAATATATCCCCTCTGTGTCATCTAAATACAATAGCCAAAATTGCTAATAATAAATTTGAAATTGCTACCCGTATTGAGTCCGACCATAGTGGACGCTTATTCGATAAAACGTAGTCAACTTTGAGAATCTCGAACTACGTATAGAATTCGGTATCTCGTGGTTAGTGTCTACTTCAACTCCTCGGATCAAGTAACCTAAGTGTTTTACTCTTACAATAGCTATCATCAATAAACGATTAATGCGGTTTGTGCTACTGGTAAAAAGCTATTTCGATGGGTAGACTTCCAAACATTAGTATACAAGCCATCAGTAGGTAGACAACAACCATAAAACGAGACTTGAACAAACACTTCAAGAACATTATTTGCTTCAGAAACCACATCTGTATATACCTAATGGTAGTAGGCGTGTGGTCCGACTTCGGGGCATCAATTAATATTCGTAAAGCAGCCATCCCACGAAACCTAGGTAATATATCGCCAGAGCCCAGAGCTTAGATAACGGGGTACTGATTACTGCATTTCTTGAAGCTCGTTCCACCAAAGGCGTCGTAGGCACTACAGTATTAATCTCTTTGATCACACCACTAAATTAGTCTGGTCCATTTCAAACGCACAACATTAATGATGGCGTGGCCTAGCCTATTATGTTATTGTCTTGCGTTTAACTCAAGCAGTCTTCGCTCTTCGTAGTCAGCATGGTCAGCAAGAGTATAGTAAACGCACATATAGCAATCCATCCCACTTCTAGGGCCCCACAACGTCCCCTGTACAAAAATTCTATTGTTGGTCATGTGATATCAAGTGTGCGCAGAATATAAACTTCGGTCCTCTTTTCGGCCAATGACCCGAAGGCTGAACTCTTTCACCCCAATTTAGCCTGCCCTGTGCCTTTCACTTCCCCGGGCTACTATGGATCGTTTACCAAATGAGATGCGCCTCCTCATTGCGACAAATTTGAACCAACAAAGTCTCATGGCGCTTAGTCGTACAAGCAAGAGTAATCATGACCTGCTCCGGTCCAAGCTTGAAGGATACAAGCTCATGAAAGCCTTGCTTGATGGGAAAGATGGCCTGTCCCTGTCCCTAACGCGCCAGCCCTTTATTGATCTTTCTGTCCGACATAAAGATCTTTCACTTCTTCACGTCGCAGTAGCCCAAGGGAACCAGAATATCGCCGAATGGCTTATCTCAAAGTACCCTCCCTTTCTTGGTGCCCAAGATGATACTGGGATAACTGCCCTTATGTCAGCTGTTTGCTGGGGAGAAATGGACATAGTTAAATCCCTTGTCGATAAGGGCACTTGTGTCAATATCCGGAATCATCACGGCCGAACTGCTCTCCATTTTGCAGCGGAAGACGGCAATGACCCTATGGTCAAGTTTCTTCTGAAGAAAGGGACAAACCCCTTCCTAGCCGATAAAGATGGATGGTCTGCCCTTCTTCTCGCAGTCCGGGAAGACCATATCTCAGTTGTTGCGCAGTTGGTTAGGCCAGGTTCAGGAATCAAGGAAGCAAACATCTCCGGAGAAAATGCCTTACATCTTGGCGTAAGCAACGGGAATATGGACATAGTGCGGTTGCTGCTGAGAAATGGCGCCGAGTCTCAGGCCGACAAGGATGGCAACACACCTCTCCACCGGGCGGCTCGACAGAATAATCGTGATATTATACGACTACTAGTCCTCAGTGGAGCTGATCTCACGGTTGAAAATTCCCAAAAAGAGACTCCCTTGCAATTGATATCTCAGTACCATCAAGATCATATGGAAGATTTGTTGGGAAGTATATCAAGTTGAGAATGATAGAAACTTAGTTTGATCAATGAACACCCACAGTCGAGGTCGAAGACATTAGCTTTCTTTCCCAGTATCCCTTTTAAACCACGCCGAACTTGATACCTGGTTAGGTCCACGTAGAGGGCAGGGTCTTGTCAGATATCGAGGGTATTCAGAAGCAAGGAATTCCACCGATTCGTGAAGTAACTCACCAATTCATTGTCCCCGAGTTAATACTGAGACTACAGGCAAAATAAACTATGTGAGAAACTCGAGGATAGAACAAGTCGCAGGAGCTGGGATGTGCTCGATTAGACAAATTCAAAAAGCGGATGAGAGAAGAAGAGGAACTATGCTATCGGCAGCGAGCTGAGACCCTTAAAGATGGAATATTTTACCCAAATATTAAGGGAAAACCATTGTTTATCATTTTCTTGCAATAGTTCGCCCTTCTAGTAGCCAGTTGTGCTTGCCTACAAGACATACGGCAGAACCCGAGGCTACTATCACCGCGTATGACTGATGCTGTCAAAGAGAAACCCACCAGTATGCACAGCTCGATTTCCCTCTATTTGCGCATGATGGTATTAGGGAATTATGTATCAAGTACCATTTTTGGAAGCACAAATATTAGACAACCTGTCATCAAATAAGTATTCAATGTTTTTGGTTTCCGCAATCAACTCTCAGGATTATCAGCGAAGCTCCAGTACCTTGTCACGTAATGCTTGTGTCAAACGAATCGCGACTTTATGTCCCAGCTTTTTCTTAAAATAGCCTTATTCGGATGTCTATCTAACAGTTTCCTTTTGTGTCACTGGGATTTATTCCACCCCTTGACTTAATATGGGTCGTTGCCTTGTTCATTTAATAATGACGTATGGCTGTAATTAACATTCTTCATGAAGAACTATCCTCTGGGGTACTTGGTAGCAGACGCGCTTTCCCGAAACTTTGTTTTGGTTAGAGTAAGCGTGCAAGATAAAATCGCTGGTACCACTACTACAACGGGTAGCGCAAGGAGACAGTCTTTCTTCCTACCTGAGAGGAACCGAATTAAACAAGAGTATTGATTAAGGTTGCGGTGATTCTCAACGACACGAATGAAGAACCTCGCTGGAAGAACGGCCGACCTGGATCTCGCGCCCCATCAACATTCTTTTATGGCAAAGTTCGAATGAGACTGCAAGGGCTATCAAATTCTTGTACTGTAATACACAAAAACCACTATGAGTAGAAACTTCGTGGACGAATGTAGGAGAGGTACTAAGCCAGTATGAGCACAAACCCCACTTCGCCTACCCTGGAGTTGCCCAACACACACCCCTTTTGGTTGGTATTTTTGGTAACTCGTAGCCGTCCCTCAAGTCGGACCCACAGCATTTTTAGTTCATATCTTTTGACACCCGCCCCACACCCCCTATATTATACAATACTCTGCCTGTCAAAAAAAATAATTAATTTGCCTAATAAGGTGTATACCAACCCTGTATAGCTTCATCACGATGTGGCATACCCTCTGAGAGATGCTCCAAATGCTTTAATTCCAACTGCTGCTATGCCTCTTGTGCTGTTTCTATCAAAATAGCCTTGGTTTCGTCGTGATTCCGCATATACATTAAATCAGGGCGAACCTTATAATATTGGCTTTAACAATGCCCAGAGGTTTTCAATTGGATTGAGATCTGGCGAATGAGACGGCCAATCCATAACCTCGATTCGCATCTCTTCGAGAGCCTCGCGCACAATATATGCAGTGTGGGTTGGGGCATCATCATGCTGAAAAATGCCATCTTCGTTCGATAACAAAAACGGCGATATAGATCCTCAATAATGAACCGAGTAACACATCCACGCTCTGTAATCCCCAAACTAATGGCATTAAGTCAGTACATCGGAAAGAAAAAGAAGCCCAAAACATCTGCTTCACTTGTTTCCCACGATGTGGCAACCCTTGACATTGTCCTTCTTTTGGCTGTTCTTTTGACCAATTTAAAGTCCATTCTCTTTGGGCACCAATCCCACGCTGGTCTTGCACGCTGGACTTTCTTAATTACCCCAATCGCACGACCTTCCAGAATCCATGAGATGTCTGACCTCAACCAACCGAATCAATCATTGTCTCAGGATGCATTCACCCCATCGGTGACGACTGGAGTGTGGCAATTGCTGAGAGTGCCTACTATCGCAGAGGCGACTGTTTCAGCAAACGAACTTTACGGCCCAGCGAATACATAACCACGCAGAAAGGGAGCAACCCACATCCCACGACTCAATAGAGAAAGGCTCGAGAATGAAGCTGAGAGCCTACGGTTCATCTGTCGCGTCAGCAATAACCCAGTTCCAATTGTGTATGGCGCATTCGAACTCGACGGCGCTTATTTCGTGGTCACTGAATACATCGAGGGCTCTTCTATGTCTGAGCTCGAGGACGATTAGAAGGGAGTTGTGCGGCGCGAACTCGCCCAACACCTAGATGCCCTTCGCGAGATCAAATCAAACAAAACTGGCGGACACTCCGGAATAGTAGTTCCTCTTAGCCGCGTGGTTGAATGTACTAAAAATGAAGTCTGGTTTCAGCATACTGCTGATAGCCAGACGTATGTCTTCTGCCCCAATGATTTGTCTCAGCCTAATGTCATTTTGCACTCGCCCACATTAAAGATCAGGGCTATCTTAGATTGGGAGTATGCGGGAAGAATCCCGCAATTCCTTTTCTTTGAGGCCCCTTTTTTTACAAGTGACTTGGATATTTCTCTGCAATAGCCGATGGAGTTGATGACGTCCCGAGATTACTGCGATTTCCGGAGACGACTGAGCAGTGAAAAACATCAACTTGCCTGAATCCTTGTCCTATACCCAAATAGCATGGAAGCCCTACAATCACGTGTTGGAATTTTGGAAAAATGTATCAGGTACCAAAGGAATCTTTCTTGCTGGAATTACTTTTCCATGTCAGGTTGCCGCCGAATTAAAGATATGTTTTACTGAAAAGTATTCTACTAGCCTGGAGTCTCCAGGGAACTTCAAGTACGCTATTTAGCAGATCAGGTTGTTTTCTACGTTTTCGACTCTATTGCACTTTGGCTTGTTAGCCTTTTAGGTACGGAAGAATGAATCCAATAGGAAATGAGCGAATCATGATCAATAAATGGGTTCGCTATATGGACACACAAGCTGAACTAGGCAAGCATTCCGGAAAAATCCGTTGAACCAAGGAGGTGTATGTAAATTTGAATGAGATTTATCCTTCATCTGGCGCGAATTTTTAAATTTCAGTGGCCCTGACATGAGCCCTCAGCAATCTTAAGGCTATATAGAAGAAAGATTGGAGGTTGCATGGCATAAAGACTCAAAAGGAGACCTATTTGGTTGGTGAAGTTGGTAAGGTGACAGTAGGGCTATGCGGGCGCTTGTCGCAAAATGGACACCGCGTCTGTGTAGTAGAGACATTGTGCCAGTAATGCTGGCATATAATGATCTGAGCAGGCATCCCAAAGGCAACATCGACAGCCCTGTTTATTAGTTCTTTTCGTCGGTCTTCCAACGCACTTTCTCACCAATTCTTCAATGATTGGAAATATATACCGAAAGGCAGAAGGGTTCGTGATGTGGAATGATTAGGGAAAGGAGAGGCTTATATATTAATGGCTCATATACAGAATTTTTTTGGAAAATCATTTTTGCATTGAAATCCAATTGGGAAAATGGGCCCGCTTTAGAAGAACCTCGATGACGAAGAAGCAATATCGCTTTTGCTGGGAGATGCCACCACAGAACAAGTCCCAAAATGATATACACTAGACAGGTGTATGCAGATAACGTTCCATAAAGTCTTTTTCTGCGCCCTCACGGTGAAGAAGATATCTGCACCAATCGATTGCTTGGTGGGGCGAGGTTTTGCTTCTGGCGCTATCGTTACAACCCCTACAGTCGCCAACGTGCATCTGGGTGTACTGACCGTCTGCCCTGGGGTATGCTCTCCATTGTGTCTTGTCTATTCTGATTCAATCAATTAAGAGATCTCATCCGGAGGCTCAGGCAAAACCCGAGGTGGCATCCGGAACGGCCATGGTGAGCTCGACATCCAGCTTGATAATTTATGCGACAGGAGCGAATTGGATATAGCTAGCGATGCCACCAAGAATATATAGTCTCAGTCAAAGAGAAACGAAAAAGAAAACCAAGGAGGCTCTGGGGACGATTCTCGCACCATAAACCAAGAAGCAACACGTCCATACACGTGGATATGACGACGATGCCCGCATTGAAGTTGTACAGACGCCAGTACTTAGTCAGTCCACCGCTGATGAGTCGAGAGCCCATTTACGTATTCGAGCCTGGCGCTGGGAGGTCATGATCAAAGCGACCCGGTTGGCAATAATTTGTCGAATGGACTATAGTAACACTGGTATCACCTCTTCGTTAGTCCTGGCAAACGTGGGTAGTGGAAAGTGGGCGATAGCAGTGCCGAACAAGAACCCGAGACAATAAACACACACGTAGTTGATATCTCAATATTAAAGAAGAGATTGCAATATTAAAAGAAAAGGAAAAATAGGGGAGGGGGACCCACCTATTTGGGATCTCATTACGAAGGTAGAGAAATGTGATGATAGAAAATGTCAAATTGACGATCAACTCTGTCCAGATAATGTATAGATAGGGACTCACGAGTCTGTGAGATCGTTTTCGAAATACTACGAATCTGATATAGCACCTTCTTCGAGGCCCCAAAAAATTGGCCAAGGAAGAGGGCAAAAAAGGTCGCGAGATCGATCTTCATGATGAGCGCTGCTGCGGTGCAGTTTCGAGGGATCCCATCGATATAGGTTTGTGGATTATTTATTTCCAAATCTACCCAGCTAGATTTAACTTTGTAATCAAGCGTGGGCTTTGCAATAAAAGGGGGATTTAATAGCGAAACACACCAAGGATGAAGGATGACCGAAAAAAGTCCTTTGCTTTCTCCATGGTCCACCAGGAGCGGCATCTGTGGAGAATACCGTAGACCATCATGCTGTGGCTGCCATGGTAGGATTAGCAATCGCGGCTTCTTCCATACCGAGTCAAGTGTCGCATAGTCGCTTGGTTGGCACTGTGGGCATCGCTAATGCGACGATGAGCTTGGCGGTTTGGGGCTGCGTTTTCTGCTTTCTTTGCCTCGTCATTAACCAACCAAGAAGGGTGATCGACGCGATGACCGGCAGCTGCTTGACATTGTCTGCTCAGAAGAGGCGGGCCTGCTCTATCTTTAACGGGTCGAAGGTAGGAGTGGCTGCGTGTACGAGAACCGCCTGGCTTGGTCCTCTCAATCTGGCATTTTCGCCGAAGGCGTGGCGCCAGCACCTCGAAGAGAAGGAGTTTCGTGCGGTTTTGACGAGGCGTTTGATATGCTCCAGCCGTTCAACTTGGACGACGATGTCGCCGCTTGGCAGGATTGGCCGGTCGAAGCTGCAATATCTTGGCCAGCTTTCGACTGTAGGGCTTGGTTGACTCGCTGTGTGCTGAAGCTAATTGACAGCGATTTCATCGGTCGTATGATCTTGCGAATTTGTGGTGATTCGATAGTGATCGGGAGAAGAGAATCGTATAGTCCGAGATAATAGTTGCCCTCAAGAGCCAGACGCGCAGTTCTCCGACACGTGGAGTAGCGCGTCTCCGGTCGTATTTCACTTCAAAATTAGATTCGCAATTCCACAACCACACGGATTATAAGTAGAAATTATAGAGAATCGAGCTGTTTCGCAGGCCTTGATTATATGATTCTGGTGGAACTTGTGGATCCTGGCATCGTTGGCATATATTTTAAAATTGGAAGTGAAGAACGAGACCATTGATGAAAATTGGGCCATCGATAGGTGACACTGTCGGTTTGGTACTGACACCCGTAGAGTGTCTACCTTACTATAGTATATCTACAGATATCCGATATCTCGCTATGCTAGGCTTTGATCCAAGTGTCACTCCAAAGTATCGAACATCCACATTGCCAGTTTCGACGACTTGATCCTCATATTATCTACAGGGAGTTTTTTTTTCCTAGACAGAAAAGATACAGGACGGGCAACGAGCACCGTGGCCAACAGTAGTTGTTACTCAGGTACACATCCTGCCCACCAAGCTAGCATTGAACATCGTCAAATCGCAACCCCAGAGCGGCAATCTAGGCGCAGACCGGAGGGTCGCTGCGCCCAAGCGTTTGGCTTTCTTTTGGTGCCTCACTCTTGGCCGCTGTCGCCCAGCTCTTGTTTCTCCGAGCTCGATGTTTGGCCTGGCATTACATGGCTGGACTGGAGCTCTTGACGAGTGGCTTGCCGCTGAACAATCTGCCCTTCGACCTCGGAGTCTTTGGTCAACAGCCGGACCTGATAGACACGACGATTCATCTGACCAATTCGGCGAATCCGTCCAAATGCTTGCTCCTCTGTGGACTTGAGGAGGCTAGGCTCGAGAAGGACGGCGTGGAAGGCGCGAACACAGGTAAAACCCAGGCCAAGTACACGGGTTGTGCTGACCAAAACACCAGGGCTTGTCACCCGATCGAACTGCCCGCGAGCGTTTTCCACGAACCGCTCGGACCCGGTGTTCATCTCATTAAACGCATCAATGTATCGCTGATTCCTCTGGGGCTGGCCCGACAGAAGAAGGACAGGGTGCTTCTCCGGAAACGCCTCGGCGAGGCCCTAGAATACATCGATCACTATCAGTCAGTGAACTACATCCAAAAATTCCCGGCTTGTGGGGCGACGGCTTACCAGGTACGTGATGATAGCGGCGACAGGAAACTCGGACATGACCAGTATCTTCGCGTGTTCACCATTGGAATCCCGCTGGAGCCCTTGGACTAGGGAGCAGAGCTGCTTAAACTTGGCGGATCCCTTGAGAATGGACCGGAGGTGTTGCTGGAACGGGGAAGTACGGAACGATCCCCCTTGATTGTGGGCCCAGGGCTGCTGGTTAATATCATCCAGGGTCAGCGGGAGGTGCTCTTGCCGCGACACTTGCGCTAGCGCGGGGAATGTGGTGAACAGCCGGAGTCGATGGAGGATATTTGTGGCCTTGTCGACGGTGCGTGTCTGGGTCTGCCTGTACTCTTGCTCGAGCTCCATTCGGAAGGCGCGGCGCATGGCTGGGTCGAGGGCGCAGGCGATGTCCTGCCTCTCGGCCTCGGGAAGGGTAAGGAGGTCACTGCCAAACCATTTGGAACTGACGGTGCGCCGAATAAAGCCCAGCGCCTGGAGCCGCCGCCGGAATTCCGACACGACCATAGCGGTGCGCCTGTGGTCGCGCGCGGAGATAAATTGCCGTCCCAGTTCTTCAAAGTCAGCGCGCGAGCAGCGCGCGAGCTCGGGGATGTCCTTCCACGCCTGGTCCCAGAGGCAGTCGACGTATCGGGCGAGGTCAGCGGGTGAGATTTCAAACGGCGTCCCGGACAGAAACCACAACCGGGTCCCCCCTCGGAAGCCCTTAAGGACCTCGTATGTTTTGGCTTCATTGCGCTCCTGGTGGCACTCATCCCGAAAGGCACGTCCCCAGAGGGCACCGCACACCGATCCCGTCGCATTACTTCTATCGGATGCGTCCTCCACCGTGGCTTCGCAATTCAGGGCGTCGGCGACCTGGGTGCCATACGACTGAGGAGTGGTAAGGACCACGAGGCAATCCTTGCCCCAATTCCCCGTCCATAACTGGGATCGCTCGCGGGGGAACCGCCGATCCTTTGCGTCCATCCACTCCTGGATGAGCTCCTGGTCCCTTGGGCAGAGCTGACGGTCCCCTGTCCCCAACAACTTCTGCCACGCCAATGCGCCAGCTAACTCACGGGCACGCGCAAAGCGGAGGCTATGGTGGCTGGGATTGTTCTGCGCCAATGTCTCCCAAGACCGAACGTCGGACCGTTGCAATGCCCGATTGTCGCGGTGGCCAACAAGAAGGGTCATCTGCAGGCGAGGGTGACCTGTGTTCACCACCTTGTTCCACTCCTGCCCCCAGTTCCGGAGGAGCTGTGCGGGCACCAAGATCAGGGTCGGCCACGCGAGCGGCTTTATTGCAATCGAGGGCCCCATCTCGATACACGGACAACAGATGGGGAGGAGGTGGGCACTCGGGCAATCGGCTGGGTCACTGGAAAGGGTTCCTTCCGGTAGGTGAGGGGGATGGCCTCCAGCGGGATCCTCGCGGTATCGAGCCACCGGGAGAGGACGCAGACGGCAAGCGTAGTAATGGTCTATATCATAGTCAGAGCTAGGGCACTCGACTCTTTGGGCTGCAGCTTACCTTTCCCAGACCCATTTCATCTGCAAGGAACCCCCCATGACGCCTTCTCTCCGACCGAAGCATGTAGAACGCAGCGAATGCCTGGTGCGGCTTGAGAGAGATATTGAGGCCATCGATTTCAATCTCCCGACTAGGGGTCTGGCCCTCCATGCCGCGGAGCTTATAGAAACGCTGGCACATCCGCCATAACTCGGGGTCGTTGAGCCGATCAAGCTCAAAGTTGGCAGTCACCTCATCGAGACTGGCGGCCACACAAAAGTCAGTCATGCCTTTGTTTGGTTCTCGAGGCGTCCAAATCAACGTACCGCGTGTTTTTCGCCTGTCCCGCCTGCGCGAGCAATGTCTGTACAAAATCGTGTGCCCCGTCATTATCTAGATCCTCGCTGTCATCCTCGTCCGAGTCATCGCCGGCATCGTCGGTGGTGTCGATGATGATTGGCGCGTCACGGGTGTCGCCAGTCATGTCTTGGTTCGGCAGACTGATGGTCTGGATTAGTGACTGCCCTTCTTTCAGGTTCGGCGCTCTTTACCTTGTCTCGCCAGGACGGCCACTTCGTGAGGTACTCATGATGAGGGGGTTGGGGTTGAGTGAGTTCTGTAGCGCTGGGGAGGTCTCTCTGCAGATGGTGATGGTCGGGGCAGGAGAGATAGCGTTGAATCCGGATGGGGTGGAGAGGTACTAAGTGAGAAGTATGAAACGGAGGCAGAGAGCACGCAGAATCAATGATGCCGGGATTCTCACGCCAGAGGTGAGGTAAATGACACGACTCGGTTCTGACTGGTGCCAATTATGCTCTATGTCTATCCGCTTCTCTTGCCGCCTCTCTTGCTTACTGTGGTCCGCAAATAGACGGTTTGCAGCTCTTGCGTATACATGCTTCATTTTTTGAAAGCTGTCTGCAAGATCTGCCAGTTCTCGGGGGTTGAATTCGGCGCAGATGCTGCGCTAAATCGGACTGGGTTTGTGCTGCAAGTTCAGTAGCTTCAATTTCAGCCTCAAAATACAACCCTCGCCGAGCTGCGGGCTCTGTTGTGTTTGGATCTTGACTTATGGATACTTCGACGAACACCACGATTCGACTGTGGCAGCGAGATTATAGAGCTTGAAAGGGGTAGAGGAGTCGATTCATGGAAGATCTGAAGTGGCGACGACGTGTGGAGATCTCAACGAAGATGCTGTAGAACTCCTTCGGAATGAAGGATAAGCCCCAATCATTCGAGAGAATCCTCAATCGTACGCTGCTTGATGATATTTCGCCGAATTTGAGGGGTTTCTAGCAAAAAGCTTCCTTTATCTTCGACGAAACACCCCCACCTCGCAAGCTCGTTGTTTTGGCGTCGAAAATATGATTTATATGCTTGGAAAGGCTTACCGAGAGGTTGGCAGCGATGAGTACGTGGCACAAAACAAATCTGAATAGTCGAATGTTCTTCATAGAATGCGATAATTTCGTGCATGAGGCGCAATGCCCATCCATAATTAAGAGCTTTTTTTTGCCCTTACTCAAGGCGATCCTTGGTTGAAGGGTGGAAGTGCTGAATCCAGTTGAGTACCAGTTCGTCATTCGTATACCATTCAGACTCTTTAGATATTCGATAATTTTCGGCAAGATCTGAATCATAGCTTCTCTCGAGATGGTATTCGCTTGGGAAGACGAAGTAGAGAGGAAGTGGAAAAGAACAAAAAAAAAAAACCTTCCGCCATGATACATTCAATAGCCGCAAGTGATTCTGCTTAATCGTACGAATTGTGGGTGGAACGTGTAAGGAATCTAGCTGTATAGCCCATCAATAAGAACCTCTTCTTGTTGTTTCTTCAGTCCTTTATAGGTTCCCTAGCGCCGTGCACGAGCGATGCGATGATGAATTCGAGAATGAAGTTGTTGGCAAAGAACGTCGAATTCGCGCCAAGACACAGATATTGGGCTTTTCGACGCGCTTTGCGCCTTCGCATGGTTGGATGATTTGATTCTCGAGAATTTGAGAAGATTTTGGCATGGTAGATATATAGATAAAGGTTCGAATAAAGAGAAATTTCACTGTTGGAATGCTAATCATTGTTGCACTGTGGAGCGAGCACCTACACCGATAGGTGTGGGGCGACCTGAGGGCACGGCTGCCTCGCTGATGTCGGATTAATTGGCCTTCCGCTCCGGTATGCCCTGTCTTGCATTGAGGAAGGGAAGTTGCAATGCATGCTAAAGAAAGATGTTGTTGGCTTGGTTGATAAGATTATCAACACGCCCTGGAAAATTGATCTCCAGGAAAATTGGAATGTCGGGTGAATACAATTTGCCATACAAAGTTGTTCGGATCTAAATAGCAAATATCCGCGGACAGCAAATATTTGCCGCCCGAACCCCAATTCAACAGTGGACAATTTTTCTGGAGTCCTCCCGCTGCCTCCGCTGCTGCCTCGTGTCACATGACACCGACACCTTCATAATCAGGCGTCAAGAGTCTCAACACGCACCCATGCCAGCGCGCAGCAAGTATCGAAAAATCAAAACAAAATGAAAATGATTTGGTATGCAGCGAATTCATCCGCAATCGGTTTCTTCTCACCCTGCAGTCTCATTGGCGAAATCAGAATTCATCAGCTGATTCGATATCGAATTCCCTTCCGAATCTGCCAGCCCACATGCTGCCATGTCATCATCGCCAAGGGCCCCGAATCTGACAACCGTTTCTTTTGCATTCGCTTTCGATTCGAATATCTTCGCCAGACCACGTCTGTCAAATAATTCAATGAATTTGAACTTTGGCATTGGTTTTGTCAATCCATCTGTCCCCAATGTGGCACCCGGGGCATACTAGAGTTTGATTTCACCTTGCTGGACCTTCTCTCAAATCCAGCGCCGGCGGACATCGCTTTGGCCTGCTGTTCTGAGCCATCTCGATCGCGGACTGCCTGTCGCTGTGCAACTTCAGAGCTGCTGCTGACTGAGAGGAGTCGTAGTTCTCCCAGCCGGCGTCGTAGCCAGATCCCGACGCTGAGCTTCAGCCATAGCCATTCTCTCCTTCTGCTAAAGACCTTGGCACGCGGCCGTGTCGCTTGGCTGCCCATGCTACTGGCGCGCCAAGGAAGAAGACATAGCCGCTGAGGCAGCGGCCTATATCCGGGCAAGTAGTATATGAAGCATCCACGAATCCCTAAATCGAACCCATTCCATCCTCAGCACCTTTGTTTCCATCGGAAGCAAGCCCGTAGTGGGCTTTCGATGAGAGGTATTCGGCAGCTCATCTCGCAGTGGAGAAATGTTCGTTGTGGGATTTCGAAAAGAAACGAGAGGCAACTTTGCCGTTTCGCTCGTGGATGTAAGCGACGGAGATGTGCCAGGCAATGTTTCTTTCTTTTTCCTCCTGCTAGAGGTGTCCGTTGATGAACTCGCCTCCTTTGTCAGGTTGTAGACCCACGACTGACGGCCACGACGGAGGCACAGGGTATTAGATCCCCGGGAGTTGTCGAGGAGCTCAACGGCGCTTTCCTTGGGCTTTGGACCGTCTTGCCTGAAGCCCTTATTCTCCGGAGCCTCATCAGGCAATCTGTTGACGCTCTAGTTCCTCCACCACGATGGGCGGCCATGTGGTCGCCCGCCGGTGTCGTGTAGTACGGGAGACTGCGCCCTCCCGTACGGTCGCCGAATGTCGGGGAATCGTGGGGCCCATAGTTTGTCTCACTTGTCGCGGATTCCGAATGCAGAAACGTCCGGTCAGAGTAGGACGAGGCCGTCGCGTTTGTACTCTGCTGAAATCCCATTATCAGCGAGTTTATTGCCGCTGAGATTCACTCGAATGTCGGGCACGTACATGACTTCTGTAAGTCGGATTGTGAATGTGGTGCCGGAGGTTGTAGAGCCATCCTCAATTGACATATCGATGTCTCCGATAGCTCCTCGGACCGTGCTCTTGCCCACAGCCAGGTTGACTGCAATGCTATTCTTCTGGACAGTTGTAGGGCCGAAGAACCTGTAAAAAGATCATATAGCTGTCGCAGACCGTAACTCGAATCAATTCGGTGGGATTCGGCGGCCGTATTTCGGTCGCGTAGGCTTTGAGAGCCTCTTGAGGAGCGGAAACGGCGCGTTTTTGGACGCCGTCATCGCTATTGATAGCGATAGACGTCTTGAAGGCCAGACTGAGGAATTTTATCGAGCGATTCAACCTTCTTCTCGCCTCTGTTCTTATCGTTCGAGCGAGATGCTTCGGTCAGAGTTCTGGGTATTTGTCCCAGTCTCGTGGCCAGGCTCCCCGCAGTAGCCATAGCGCGGTCGGTGTGCCAACAGCCAAAAACAGGTGTGCCCTATTAACAGCCGGTCGGTGGAAACCGTTGTGAGCGCGCAGTGTGTGATTCTGGTTGTTCTGGGATTGTACACCGGCCTATGTCGAGTCTGTTATATGCGAAGAGGTTTTCTTCGTTCCTTTGCAAATCTTCTTACGGGATCTCGCTGGTGATTCAGCGAAAGTCGTACAGCGAATCTGGATTCGGAGAATTGGTATTTAATCCAAATGTGGCCTGAACCTCTAAATGTGGACCGAGGTAAAATCAAGTGTTCATCTACCCACTTTCAAATGTTCATTTGACCTGCAAGCTCAGTCCGCGGGTTACAGCCAGGAAGGGGGGCCAAAAAATGCCAAGGGGGGGTCCAACAGTCAGGATAATATTGGGCCCCCCTTAGCTGGGTGCACCTCAGTCCGGATAAACGGAGGGTGATACACAGGGGATTGATAATCAAACCGCACCGTTATATTATACAGTACCCTATTACAACGTAGTTGCCTCACAAATTCTACGCACCTTCGACATAAACTGGATGCAGAACCATTCTTCCTGTCTTTGATGGGCTGGTTGAGATGACGTCGCAACGAAACATGACCCACCTTTGGCTTTTGGTTTAGCGTTCATTTCCGCCACACATTATTGTTAGCCTGAAGAAAGTACCACTATAACGAGGCCGTTTAGAAAGCTGAGGCAACGGAGTATTCGATCGACTAAATACTGCTTTAATATTGATGTTGAGAAGGCGGTATTTGGAAGACAATGCCAGTTGCTTGTATTATTTTGTTCATTAAGGATCCTTCAAGGACGCGCCATCAATTCTATTACCCCGTCTGCCCCAGCTTCGATTCCATGAATATACTTCACCCCCATCGCCTTTGGCAGCACATCTTCATCTGTGCGTTCAAGGTTCAAGACAGGCTTATCAGCCCGCTCGAACCCCAGTACCATGTCCATTCGCCGCAATCACGCCTCTAACCACTAACGACCTACTTGTCTCTGACAAGTCGACCGCCATTCAGCATTACCGAAGAGAAATCTGCAGAATTCGACTCCCATCGACCCCACAACCGCTTCGCCTTGATTTTGGAGGATTACTCCCAAAGATACGAAGATAAAAGCTTGGCGATCTTCAAGCCTGATGAGATCCCTGTCTGCGTCTTAACGCCAACGTGACGTCTCCTTTTATCGAGCACCTCAAACTGAATACCTGGCTGGTAATGTGGGAGAGCACTGTTCACTCCCGAGACAGTCAATTACACAATTTAAGTCTCACGCGCACCGGTAAGCTTGCCACAGTATGAGGATCATCATGATGAAGGCGGATGTTCGGAGGGACTATTATGCAAACTTGGGGCTTCAACCTAGTGCTGAGACGGAGGGTATCAAGAAGCACTTCAGGAGACTGGGTATGTGAGAGTAATCTCAGAGAACGTTAGCTGACAGCGCTAATCTGGCCACTAGCCCTCAAATATCATCCTGACGGGAATCCAGGGAAGGAACGAGAGTTCAAGGCCAAGTTCCAGGCCATCCAAGTCGCGGATGAGATCCTGAGTGATCCCAAACGACGGCTCAAATAATACAGATCGCGGGCGCGCCGGCTCCGGCGAAGTGTATGGAGCCCCCCAACTCAACTCAGCGAAAGACAGAATCGGCCGGCTTCACCTCTGCAACATCACCGCCAAGGACAGAAAAGCCTTCGTTCAATATATGGTTCCGTTCGGCTTCGAACGAATGCTCAGTGGGCGCTCAAAGATACGCAGATCATGCGCGGGCCGGGTCCCACCAATGGTCGAAACCTCAGGGCGAGGCGCAAACGAGAGCGGATGCGTCGGATGAGTTTCGAGACTTCCATGGTACAAAGGGTTCCAATACTGTAGGATGGCGAGCTGCCGACACTAAGACCGGACGTGCAACACCATCGTCTGGGCGCACACTGAGACAACAGAATGTGCCCTTCGGGAATCTGCGCCCAAAGTCGACCTACGAGTCCTTCAAGGAGAGTATGAAATCACAGGGCCCTGCAAGCCCTGACTTGCCTAAGAAGAGGAATTGATTTGCCCCGGGTACTGCGGGTAGAGACGAGCCCATGACTCGTCTCCACTTCAGCTTACACTAGCGACCCGAGTAGACGATCAAGATCAAGCAGCATGTACTTCAACTCTGTACCGCAACCTACCGCGAAGAAACCAGCTACTCGTGACCCACGGCCATTCAATAGGGAGCCCAAACGATATAGCGCGAGTTATGCAACGACAGGAGGCGAGAGGATGTTCTTCACAAGTTCTGGGATTGGTTGTTCCGCGACTGGGCGCACCCCTTCAGACACATATAGAACATCGAACTCCAGCACGAACTCGCCTAGTTTATTCCATGACCAACATTCGAGACACAGGGAAAGATCATCAGCCAATAATCAAAGTCGGGACCGCACGGTCAATGAAACTGACTCAGCGCGGCCTTGGAACTTCGAGGCATCCCGGTCTGAGTCCTTTCGTCCCCGTTTCAGGATTCAGGCTCAACAGTCAGGCCCACAGGAAGCTACCGCTCCATTCGCACAGGCGAAAGTCTCTGCATATCAGTGGGCTGAGAAGCTACGTGATATCTTATTATACCCCATGTTTTCTGTGATATGGGATACTCGAACTTGGACCTCTAGCAACAGGATTAGTAATCTGTCTATCTAGGGAGTTTATAGAGTCATACCGCGCAGTCTCGATTTGTTGAGAATTTCAAATTTGCGTAGGACAAACACTTCCTTTACCTTCACTTTTCTGCTGCCTTCAATACTGGAAGTTTGCAGCAGGTCGAAAAGCTTCTTGAATGGAACCTTGAATGGGATCTCTCGTTGAATGTCTTGTTCGTGGTCCCCACAAAGGATGTGCAGGAGGAGTTTCTTTCTGTCTTTTGGTTATCAGCGACGGAAAGCTCTGTGAACTTGGGGCACGTACCGTCCTCCGCCAAGTCTTCTACACATGTATGGTGGATGGTCTTGGGCCACCAAGGGGGAGTTGCAAAGATGAGGGCTTGCCCACCACACAGTTCGACAACCCATGCATACAAGAGTTCCAAAGCTTCTTGTTCTTGCAAACTGTAGAAGACCCCTTTATAATATTCCTGGAAGGAGGCAGCATCGTCCAGGTTGTACTTGAATATTAACTTCTGAACGACTGCGCAATCCTTCCGCGATAGCTGAGATGTGTTCCTAGCTCGGGTCGGCATCAATCTTGTCGCTGTCGCTCCAGTTGCCCAGATCGTCGCTTCACTCCAGTTTTCGAACTCAGAAAATGGAAATGCAATTTGCGATGGCTCGACCGATATATCTCCCGAATTGCCAGTTCGCTCCTCGGGGGCACTGTGTGAAGCTTCAGCATCAAATAAAAACACTATTATTAAACTCCACCTGATTCATACCTTGCTGACTTTCGTCCATATCCAGCCATCAAAATCTTCGGATAAGAACCAGTACTCCCTTTGGGCTCATCGTATGAGCTCCATAAACATGGAGAATCGATATCGGAAATGAGTAGGGAAGAGGAAGAAGAATGATCGTGACTGGACATGTCAAGTAAACAGTGATGCCTGGGCGGTGCAAAGAGAAGGACGAGTTACTGCCTTTCCGATCGATCATTTCCTGTCTCCAGAGGAGAAGACAAGGAGTTTGGCAGGGTACCAGCTTATATTTGAACAAGCGCCCTTAATTGAGCTGACACATGCAGGTATTATTATGGATCATGTTTGATTTCGGCCAATCTGGTCTTTGACCTACCTAACCGAGCACTAATATCCGGCGAAGATCGGCTAGGGCGAGCTCTTATAAGCCCCCAGCCGTAATTACGATATTCCATTAATTACAGTATAGGAGGCTCTTGTGGCAGGCTACTATGATCTCAATAAAATTTCCTAAGATAGGCAGGATCTCTCAACTTGAGGACGGCTCTTACGATGCCGGTTCAATACCTGACTTGGGTGGTCCATTCCAAACTGCATATGAATATATATCCTTTAGTACTAGTAGCGATACGATAGTCGTGTAGGTGCGAAGTCGTCGTATACTAGCGGTCGAGATGATATTCGCCGCGAAAAATGAGATAAGGAGGGAGAACGAAGCCGTCAGCAGCGATACTTTCAATAGACGTAAGGGATTCGTCTTTCTCATTCGAAGGATTGCCTCGTTGTGCTTGCTGTGGGTTAGCTGTAACGACCCTTTGTATCTTGTCTTGACCAAGTTAGAAGTCAATTTCATCGAAGTTATAGATGTTTTTTGCCCCAATTTCAGCTACATACGGCTCTAGACGATCGAACCAAGCTGCTAAATACCCAATATCCTCTGCTTTTAGACGGCTTCTCTCGATTGGTTTTTGTTTTATCAGCTGTAGGTCTGGTGGGAAGCGTCCGATGAAGCGATATGCCCAATTCTTCGAAACGCGTAGCGACGCGTTGTCCGCAGCGTTCCGTTTCAAAATCTGATTTGCGCAGTCCTCAATCATGCTAATTGTAGGCGAAACTTGTAGAGAATCAAGATGTCGAATCCAGCGAATAACTGCTTTTTCTTGCGAATCGTCAAGTGCTTTGTTGGTGGGAGTAGTAGCTGTTCTTGATAGACGACCATGAATTCTGGCGCGAAGTCGATGATAGGGAACGTCGAATTCGCGCACCAGCGACGCGATTTTTGGTTTTTGATCGCGTTTTGCTGCTTCGCAGGCCTGATTTAGGCGATTTTCGATATTTTCGTCGAATTTTGGCATACGGAGTATATGATGAATAAAAAGAATTTGCGTATCGGTGTAGAGGACCAACAGCTGAAATGCTGTGGGTCCGACTCGAGGAGACGGCTAGTACCCCGATCAATACTCCGCTGATAGAATCAATTTTCATCCCAACCTCAACCCTACCACCAACTATATAAAGTAAATAAAGTGCCCTATTTGGCAACAGGGCACTTATTACATGAATGACGCCTTTCCCCACAGTTTGAGCACTTCGGTGGCGCCTTCTTTTTTCTAATTGGTCCAATTCCCCTGCTTTCATTTGATCTCTGCATAGATTGCTGCATTGGTGCAGCGATAATTCGAGGGTTTAGTAGGGGTAACCAAGCTATATCAGATGAATCTAACCCAATTCGTCAAAATGAGTGGATTTCAGCCAATGGGATTGATTCTTTTAATAATATTAAATGAGCCAATCGATATAGCAGTGGGTTCGATGGCAGCAGCAGTGGTGGCAGTGGCGGCGGCGGTAGTAGGGTTGCCAAGGGCAACGGGGTAGTGGGGGCAGTAGATATAGTAGCGATAAAAGTAGAGCAAAAGATTAAACTGGCAGGGTAGTTGTAGAAGAGAGAAAAAAATAATATATCGAATATGGTATTGTAATTATATGGTGACACTAGCCAATGAAAATTGATTATATCAGCGAAAATGGTTATTAATACTCATGACAACGGCAGTAACCAAGGGATGCCCCTGTCAAATTTTCCACTTTTTCGGATTAGCGTTGCTGTGTCCGATTCCAGGAATAATAAGGATGGTTTCGAAACCTCTCTCATATTCATACACGGATTGTTTTGGCAAAACATCATCAACGAACCGTTTCAGGGCGGCGTGTTTGCCATTAGATTGGTAATTTCTCTAAAGAAAACAAGTTACGAGTCACCTTGTAATAAGTAAGCATGTAGTCTGGTGCTTCAATTGATGCAACAGAGACCTGAGAAGTTGGACAAGGTTGATTGAGTGTTCCGTTGCAGTAAGCATCCTCAGATTATCAACTCCGAAGAACCACTTCAAGGTCTTGGCAAGTTCGTCTTCCTGGCGTTCAACCCGGATCTTCTGCAGGGTTTCCGTGAAGTAGTGACTGTAGGTAATCGGATGCCCATGAGTAGCTCCCCAACTTTCAGCTAACTTGCGTAAATTTGTGTTGCTTGCAGTGATATAAATCGCAGGCAAATAAAATCTACCCCTTCCAGCAATTGTCTTTTAAATTCGCCAAATACCACAGATTTAATGAAATTTCTAGGGAAGGATGATGAAAAGTGTTTCTATTGGCTATAGACAGGCTGTCTCTCCTTGACGAAAAGCAAGAACACAGTGAAAAAGCAAGTCGTCTCCCAGAGCCCCTATTTTGCCGCTCGTTCTAACTGAAGTATAGGTGTATCCTTACACAACTAGCTCAAGCTGTAAGGATGGACGATCGGGTTTATATTGTTCGCTTAGGGTGCTTGACAGCGAATACGGGAGTTTATTCAATAAAAGAATGGCTAACCGCGGGATCACGCCCCCAAGGGTAAAAGTCATCAGAATAGCGGCGGAGCTCTTGTAAAAGATGATCCTGCACAATTATTCTTTTGAAGGGAACTATTTGTCTAGAACAAGTCATCAGTTTCCCACCTTTATCGTCCACGTGGGAAACTCAGCTCACATCTCATTTTCGGCTTTCAAGACACGGTATATCTCATGAGGGAAATTCTCCGGAAGGGAGCCAGAGTGGTCGCTTTGATCGATATCAATAACGATATGAAATCTCGACTTCGCGCTAGGAGAGTCGCCGGTCGGAAGCTGGAAGTGCCAAAAATGTTTGCCTTGGTCTGCTTCTTCCACAGGGTGTTTAGCAAAGGCCAGGTATGCTTTCACGCATGCGACAATCTCCGGATATAACATATTTGGAAAGTGGCTTTCCCGAAGTCGCAATATCACCCTCTTGGGAGCCATTGTGAAGTTCGAGTCTAAGCAGGGTTGAGATGTCATTTAGCATATCTGACGTTCCACGACTTTATAACTTGTATATTGCTCCTTGACCGCTTATCATGACTAATTAACCCCTTGCTTTCTTAGTCAAGACCAACAGCCAGCACTAGGGGTCTAAATTCTCTGTTGCACAAAATGTAAGGTTGGAGGAGGGAAAGCGAGAGTACTAAGCTATCATATATTAAGCGATAAATGGTGCCACAGCAGGAAATCAAAATTGCGAGGAACCTTGGTTCATTTTAGTTGGCTAGGGGTTTTTCAAGAGGACTACAGAATGTCGATATTTCTAAGAATTGATAGGCTATGTTGAATTTCTGGCTTATTGGATTCCTTCAACATAAAACAGAATAGTTCAAGGTTGCCATAGGCATATATATGTGCAAAAAGCCGAGAGACATATTTACTAAAAGCCAAGTCCGAACTCCCTCAGCAGCCAAATAAAAGACGACCGGCCTACTAACTCTGTGCAACCTGGGCAATCATACAACTCCAAACTCTGAGTCATAGGAGCTGCTAGGAGTGAGTCCACGGCAGGTTGGACACTGGCCTTCATGGCCCCTATCTTCGGCAAGCGATAGTCGCGGAAGATCTCGAAGCTTTCCACTTGCGGGAAGGCAGTAGGCTTTGTCGGGACGCTGTTCAGAAGCGTTGCAGCGGAGGACTCCAGTATGGTAAGTACAACCACAGCCATTTTGACCGTTGTATTCTCTGTATCTTAACCAACACATCTTTTCGAATGTCAGTCAGAAGTAACCCTCGACGAATGTTTAACGTCAAAACACCTCAAATAAGACTTACTTTTTATTGTTTCGTACGGATAGTAGCTGGTAATCGCTCTCGTTTTGCGATGCGGTACTATGCTGTTCAACTGGAGTAAGATAGGGGATCCAAAAACCTTATATATCTTCGCAGGTGCGCGATTTTTCTATTACATTGCGGTCTGGTGGCCTCTTTGAGAATCGAGACATGACCCGTGCCAACTCTCTTACGACTTCCCGATCTGTAAATGGGACAACACCTAACGTAGACATACGAGAAACTTCGAAACGACCGGTGAACATAACGTATGAGGGGGTGGTTGGGTTGTCTTTCCCGCCTAACATCAAAATCTGATGCAGCCTATAGCCAATTAGGCCAGAGTCAAATGTATCCCAGGAACAGCAGCTCACTGACCTACAGCCTTAGGCACAGAAGTGAAACCTATTCTCACACTGCTATCCAGCCCATCGGGCCAGTCTAGACCGGCTTTGTATCATCTTTCCGAGCTCTGTCACCTCCGTTCCCCTACATCCCTTGATATATTAAGCCATTTTTCGAGTGACTAGAGTCGCCTTCTTCCGATGCTAATCATTCCGGGGAGCAGAATCGTTCTTAGGAGCCATTAGTATAGCTGAGCTTTCATAGGTTTGGCGTTAAGTAGCCCCTATCCCAGTTACAATATCGTTGCGGCGTTACTATTATGACTAATCAGCCAGACGGGAGCTTCCACCCGGTCTGATTGGGTGATTTAGAGTATTATAGTAGTCTCAGACCAAGTGTGTATTATACAGGCCACATGAAAGTAGACTTTGGGTCTGGGTGTAACTCTGTTACTGCATGCTAAGCTGCTAAATTGCTATTGCAAATTTCAAAACCTCTTGATACATCCCAGAAATAGCAATGCGAATTATACCTAGTGTATTCCCTCGTGTAACGCTATACCCCTGTATCGAATATTCTATTCCTCATCGATCAAATTATCCAAAAAATCGGACAAGTTGTGCAAATTTGCTTCACTTGCTGCACGAACCTGCGCCACATGCAAAAAACAGTCGCTGATGCAAGCAATTGATTTTTGAGTCTTCAGAATAGCACGCTTTTCCACAATAGTAAGCTCGCTCTTGTATACCTCAGCGTGTTGTTCTGCAAACATGGGTTGTTTCTCACACAGAAATTCTTTCTTCATAAAAAGTTCTCTGCTTTTCGTACATGCACCTGACACAATTTCTAGCACGAGATCCTGGAGCGCAGACTCATCCCAAGGCTGGGAAAGAGGTATGCGTTGTACAATAGCATCAAGAATCGTTGCACTTTCATCTGTTTGGCGCTTAGCAGCCCCTATTGCAGCCGGGCGATAGTCGCTGGAGTCATTGCTATGATCAATAAGCCAAATTGCAGCTTCCACCCGGTCTGATTGGGTAGCTCGGAATAGTATAGATGATCTCAGTTGCTGAGGCAACAAAGCGTGCATATGGAGCCACTCGAAAATAGACCTTGGGTTAGGGTGAAACTCAGCTACTGCATGCCAAGCTGTCAAATTGCCGTTGCCAGTTGCAAGACCCATTGATATATCGATGCCTCGGGCCAACAATCTGTTCGCCAAATCGACAGTGACGTACTTGCAAACAGCATAGATATGCTTCACCCGAAGCGTTAATGAGAGGTCTAGGTCTGGAACCGATTCAAGTCGATCCCAACATATCTGAAAAACTTTCGCGTCGGTCACAGTCTGTTGGAAGATTGTTGTATGATCTTCAAGCCCAATTGACGGAAATTCGAGCAATTCTTTGGGTTCCGCAGAAGAGATTAGGCGACATAAAAGCTCTTTGTTCTCAAGGCAGGAAGCAAGGGCAAAGAAGCTATAACCGTGGTTGTTATAGTAAGAAGGTCGAATTACCCGGCGGTCAAGCATAAAATAGAAACAGTCCGTGCATTCAGTCAAACTCCAGGTAGCCAGATCCCTTTGTCGTTCGGGGTATAAAGGGATCTCGTGTTGATTGCTCACGGCATCCTCATAGTTGATATAGAGGTTCCAACGGGTTCGTACCATTTCTCGGATCCGTAGGCTTCGTAAGAAATGTCCAATCTCTCGTCGAATACGTAGATAGGGGTTCGATTCGTGTAGTAGCAGTCGAAGTTGATACAGAGCGTAATGGGAACCAAGAGGCTTGGAAAAGAAATGTGTTTCAATAATATACTGTAGGAGCTCAGGCGGAAGCCGTTCAAGCTGCTGGGGAAAGGCCTCAGGATGAGTGTCTTGGATAAATTGCATAGCGGATATGGATTGTGTTGTTCGAAATACAGGGGAAGGAGATGATTTTGGACTTGAGTAAAAAGTCAGATCACCTGGTCCTCCTTATAGAAGCCCCAATATTATTGTTTTTGACTAAAAAGGCCGCTTATAGAAGTTCATAGCTCTTAACTTTATATTCTAGCTAGCCCGTCTATATATCCTGGTCTCCCAAGAGATACGCCCACAAAATAATTACAATAAATAATAAAAGTCGGGATGAAAATGGCCTCAAACCAAAAGTGTCCTTCCTGAATACACCTAAAAACTTCCTTTGGTGTGTAGCTACCATAGTTTTTGGGAAGAATGCAGCGTAGGAGCATTCAATTGATGTAAACTTGCTGATAATTATTTGCTATACGCGTAAACTAGTAAAGAAAAAGTTCCCAATATGAAATCGGCTCAGACTAGCGTACATAAGTAGTTATTCCAGAGAGTTGGCATCCAAATATAATGCCTCAGTAAAGTGACTAATTACCTGCGAGTGTCCTCTGCCCTCACAATTATATCAAGATAGGAATTCTTCAGTCGCTCAAACGCGTCGAGGATACTTTGCTTCTTGCTTTCAAGCATGACAAGCCCTTCTTGCTGGGATTTCTTATCATCGTATGGAGAAGAATCCCGGACTTGTGCCTCTGTAGCCCAACAAAAATCAATGTGCTCATTCGGATTCAGCTTGATGTCCCCCTCTTCCATGCCGACTGGACACTGCTGTTCGTCGCACCACGTTCGTTGGGGATGTAACTGTTCACGGACGGCCGCGCAGAAGGTGTATCTGGCCATCAGAATACCCTTGTGTATCCAAGAATCCCAGTACACGTAGCGATCAACGCGTGATATATGCAAGTTGACCTCCTCTCTAGTCTCGCGTATCGCAGTGTTCAGTAGATCTTAGATCTTCGCCGGGATCATGACTTCCTCCGGGCGTCTCCCAACTTCCACCCCATGAGTTATCCTTTCCTATGGTGTGGTCCTTATATGCACGCTGACATAGGAAGACGTATGGCTTGGTTGGAGGGTTCCAGTGGAATATAATGGCGCTGGCAGAAAATCGCTCAATGTCGGGTTGCTTTGCTGGAAGGTCCGTAAAAGGGACGTCAACTTCTTTGACTGGAATGATGGAGAAGGCCATAATCTGAGGAGGGAATGGAAGAATGAGCTTGGAATGGGTGGAAAAATAAGCTGAAGGGAGGGTATGCCAACTTTTATAGGGTTTTTTCTCTCAGACTTCTATGTAGCATCAAATATTTCAAAGTACGGGGTCGTAGAACTACTCTAACTATCAGAAGCTTCCATCGTTTTCGCTCCGGATACCGCGGCCTCGAATTTGGCATATGGGGCTCTGGTTTATGATGCTACCTATCAAATTTTGCTTATATTCATCTCTGTTCCCTTGCCCTTGTTTTGCGCCACAATCTCTGGAGAATAGCGGCTTAACAGTGTAAATAGGTTACCCGTAAATAGGAATTCATTTGGTTGGAGATTATATATTCATACATTCACATGGCATTGGATCCACGTCAAGTGCTTCTTTGGAGGGAAGGGACTTTTATGATGGTTTTGTGAGAAACAAATCTAAAGATACAATATAGCAACTCCAGTGAATACTCCCGTAAATAGTATTTTCTAGAATTGAAGAAGCTGTAAGAGATCAGAAACTCGCCCCATTCGCTTTACAATATACCCACCAAACTCAGGAAGTGAAAGCTCCAAGCTCCAATAACCGTGATACACGCGGTTTTCCAGACGACACGGGCTTAGGCACTCTACCACTGCAGTAGATAACACCGCCCCGTGCTGCCGATAATGAATGTCTCTTCCGTGTCTCCAAATCTTGACCTTTCTGTGCAAAAGTGTCACCAGCCGAGAAAGTTGACCCTCCTCGCTCTTTTCAAACTCCTCTTCCATGATTTGTTTCTGCAACTGGTCGAGAATATATGGCTCAATCGTCGAGCAGATTGTAAAATATCCGGCCCCTAGCTTTACCACCAAATACATCTCTGGAAGGGAGTTTCCATTCCTGTCACTCTGGTAGAGCTCGTTGCAAAAGGAAGAAAGGCCAGAGTGTATTGGTATAAAGATAACACCTGTAGGTGAAAGCTTTTGCACAATCACCACGTCTATCCTATCTCAGCGACAAGTAGTATTAAGCCAATGTTTTCTGTACTTACCTGTGTTGATTGCGCATATTCCTGTCGATGCTTGGTTTAAAGTATCCACGCTGCCTTTGATGATATTAGTGAGCTGAATAATATGCGCATTAGCTTACTTACCATCTAGAGTTCCGTTCAAAGGCCATGGACTTTGGGAGTTCCAAATTGCAGAGCCAAGGGGTTGATACGCGGACGATTGCATTCTTGTAGTTCACGAAAGAATCGGAGAAGACCTGATGATTACACGAATCTGTCTGGCACGATATGGGCTTCGCAGGTATACATATATATCACTGAACCGTGATTATATGGCGACCTATGCGGGATATAAAGATTAGATTGAAAATCGAGCTGATAGAAGAATAATGGCATAATATTTTATTGTGGGTCAATATGTGGAGACTACCTAGCTGTGTATAGAAACCCTATCAATTTAATGATATAGGACACTACCGACACAATCAAAAATTGCTTGGTTTATTAGGAATCGATATAGCAGATCGACTGATCAGCGACATTGGGGTTATTTTAGAATACGCAATTGAAACTAGCCACTCAGACGTAAAAGGTATGAAGTGTAATTAGAACTAGAAACACAAAGCCATAATATGGATTCTGAGTCTGATCGAAAAAGTTGAACTAAGTACATAAATGAGAGTTTTGGTCAGCCCAGATAGGTCGCAACCTGTTGGATTTTGAACAAAAATGTTAAGTAGGCCATATGCCGTTCCACCGTCCACTAGTCTTGCTGCATAACAGAGTTCTTCTGCTTGTACCTGACCCAGTCTTGGGCCTTTGCAACGGCCTCACTAGGCTTATCCCTGAAATTCATCAGATAGTTATTGATTTCCGCCGCAGTAAATTGACCAGAAGGGACTATCCCTGCAAATTGGTCACAGAGGCCTAGGATGCTCTTCTTCTTTGCCAAATGATCTGTCGATTCCTTGCTAGTGTCATGCGACGAGGCAAGTGTGTCCTCGTCAAGCGTTCCTTCAAAGAACATATAGAAGAGCTGTTTAATGCACGTTACATCCGCAAACCCAAAGTGATAAGATTTGTCCACACGACCTGGCCGTGTTAGAGCTTCATCGAGCTTTTCAATGTGATTGGTGGTCATAATAAGGATACGACCCTCACGTGCTCCAACGCCATCAAGACAATTCAGAAGGGCTGATAAAGTAATCCCAGCGGTTTGGTCATCCCCAGAGGAATTCTGCAGCTCACTATTATTGGAATGTCCTGGAGTATTTAGATTGTTCACTCTGCGGAGCCCGGCAGTGTCCACATCCTCGAGAAGGACTATGCAGCGTTCTGGGAGATCTTGGAAAAGACTCGCCAACCCATCCTCATCAAGCCTCGGAGAGTTTAGGCTGATACAATATATATCAAGCCAAACGCACCCAGCTATCGCAAAACACATACTAGATTTCCCTGTTCCAGGGGGACCGTAAAAAATGTAACTTCGGCGGTAAGGAAAGCCCCGAGACCGATACCAGACTTGGCTTCCCGGGCTCAGGAATGTCTCGATATCCTTCAGGAAGTTCCCTTTAATAGATAGATCCAATGCCAGCGTTGATAGTGGACGTGGAGGCCTTGAGGTAGTCGAAACCCAGCTGACTGTTTTCTGTTGAGTGATACCGCGATAGATTGTGATTTTCTTCTTCTTCCGTCCGAGGGAGGCTCGTTGTACCTCTTGTAAGAAAGTCAACAGCACTTTTCTGTTCCAAAAACAAGTGTAAATCGTGACGGTTTCGGCATTCGCGAATAAAATATTGTTACGGTTTTCGTGTGGATATCGACAGAGAGCGAGGGTGTATCCTTCGTACCGGAAGAAATGTAGCTTATTCCTGCTAGGAGTGCAACGGATTGGCTTTATGTCCATCCCCCTTTTTAGAGAGAGCCAGAAACTCTCTCTATCACTTTCAAAATTGACTTGGTCTTGGACAGGATCTTCATTTTCGTCCCCGTCGTCTTCCTCATATTGCCAGGGGAAAGTGATAGCATCTTTTGCTCGGGCAATAGAACGCCGGCTTCGCTTCAATGAATCATTCCTTGACATCCATTGCGTGAACTGGGTATGCAATCTATCTTGGTATGGGATCTCGATAGATGCGGTAAAGCAAAGGAGCACTTGTTGGAGACTGTCGAGGAACCGAGGAAGGACAAAGCCGAATAATAAAGGTAAAACGGCAAGGATGAAGAGGTAAACCGAGAATGAGGATATGTCGATAGGAAGATAGAAGGAGACAATTCGGGCAAAGAGAGAAAAGCCCGGAAATAATGACTCAAGGGCTGCTGGCAAGATCTCAGGTATAGTAGCGCTTGTATTGGCCATTGTTCGCTAGTTAAGTTCGGTGGTCAGTGTTGATTAAAATTCTGATGAGGAAGGGATGGAGCTTTATATAGGTTTCCCAGAGCTAGAATATTGTTCATCTTGGTGCTGTGCCAGCTTAGGTCGCTGTGTATGTGATGTTCTACCCTTTGATTAGTCTTGAGACTTTATTTTGAGACCGAATTCATCGGCCAGCCAAGGAAAAGGATTTCGGCAGCGGTCCACCCATCCACCCACAGATAGATCAAGATCGCACAGTAGGTAATGGCACTATATAAACAAAAAGGGCAAAGGATATCAAGGATCAAGGTAACTAGAATCTAGATCTTGTGTCATGATATGGCCTTTAGCAATTAGACTGCAATAGACTTCTGCCAACAGGAGAAGTACTCCAGTTTCTTATGTACCAGTTCTGCTATGGCGAAATTGGATGTCTTGATTCGCTGTCAAATTTTGTATCCTGCCGCTGACTGTAATTCCCAAGAAGAGAAGAATTTTATTCACAAGATGCGCTATTTTACGGATAGTTTCTACGGATGGGCAAAATAGTGTATAGGTGACACGCTAGTTAACCTTATTTACATGATAACTGCAGTGATGGTGCTATTTTCCAAATTCAAGGACACATGATGGTTTTTCTGAGAATATATGCATGGAATCATTTGGGAAATAAATGAGCCAACCTAATAATATTTATGCTGGGAAATGTTTGCCAGGCAAACATTTTTCTTCCTCTAATTGGTGATTCAACTGCTGCGAGACCCCACAATTCGAAAACTTTGAACAGAGCGGTGAAAGTCACAGCAGGCCAATAAGCGCCGATCGTGTCACGTGAAAGTGACCCTGACAAGCTGTTTCTCAGTTAGCAAGACTTGCCTGTCATTTTTTTGACAATAACTCACGAATTAATAACGGACTTTCCTATCTTGCATCTTCCCAGAATTTCTTCTATGGGCAGGCTCATTTCCTTGCACTCAAATCGAAATCACGACGACGACACCTTTTACCAAAATGGCAGCGAAAGACATCCTTTTATCCCTTGATCTTGGTCTAAAAGACTGCTTTTACCGAATTCGGCGCGAGGTTCATCATGGCAGCAAAGTCATCTATGTTGTCGTTAAATCATTGGACATCATCCCGGAAGAGTCCCAGACCTATGGCCCTGCTGTGATACGTGAGCTGTCAAAGCTGAACGTTTGGTACAGTGCATGGAATACTCTTACAGTCTTTAAGGATGAGGGTGGTGTCCGAGGAGAGCCCGACACTTTCGAGCCACACGCCCTATCAAAAAAACAGATTCTTGGTGACTACGACTTGCTCAGTATTTTTGAACTAAAGGTCATTGAATCGGTTAAAGTTCGAGTCTTCCGTGTTGAATGGAAAGGCAGGAAGTGCTTCTTGAAGATTGCTAGGTTTGGCTTTGAACTCGATTGGCTAGCACAGGAGATTAAAGTGTACCATGCTCTAGCCCAGAACACACCTCCTATAGCGCCAAGAATCCTAGGGTACGCATTCGAGGAGCCATTCCATCGAGTCGTTGGCTTTGTTTACGAGGAGATCATTGGGCGTCGTCCAGAGATTATGGATCTCAAGACGTGCCAGATAGCTCTACAACAACTTCACGATCTCGACATACTACATGGGGACATCAATAGGGACAACATGTTCATCACACCGGATGGAACAAAGTTTATTGACTTTGAAGATTCCTGCATCGGTCCTATGGGAAATGGAGAAAGATGGAAAGAGCAGATGAGCAATGAAACCCAAAGCCTGGCAGAAAAACTATTGGATGAAACTGGGAGAGGGCGTCCTTTGACACTGGGGAATGGTGCATCATGATGTGAACCCTTTCCAATGGCTTTATTGTATGCGTTAGTCATGTGATGGATGTTTGGAACTTTACTTACATTACCCTGTTTTCAACCGCTAAATAGGCAGGTGCGGCACTTGTGTGTAGATATCTTCTCCTCTTGGTATTCCCACTTCCCAGAGGCACACCTTTCATCTTCCATTCCGGCGTGGGTTGGACACTTGACAAATTCACTGTTGATACTGTGTCCACAGGCATAGCGGATTTGGTATTGGGTACAAACGTCGCGTTGCGGAGGCATGTTGTATTAACGTGTATGGGAGAGTTGATGGATTGGAAATGAAATCAGTATAGCTAAGTTTTCTGAATGGATTAACAAGAGGGGGCGGGGTTGAAGTACCTTTTATAAAGACTGGGGGAATAGATATCTCCAGGGCATTGCGACTCGACTGAGTTGGTATATGGAAAATGTTGACTATTTGCTGAAGTCCAGTCTGAAATAACTCACAATCTGCCAACCTAGAATTAGGCAGGTTTCTGGCGTTCATTCAGTTAATTCCTTACTCGGCTAACTAAGATACTTGCCTTTTCTACAGCCATTGGGGTACCTAGGAACCTTTACAAGGAGGATAATGTATTGAGATCTCTTGAATTAGGTGCACAAACCATACAGCTGGGTATATTGTCAAGTGTCAAATGTAAAATACTTTTTATTCAGCAGTCTCGCTAATCCAAGCTATAACTATACAGACCGCGTAGAACAATGGGACCGTACGACTCACAAATGTTCGGGCACACACAATCGCCGATGGATCTGGGTGGTATAAAAGTTTTTGGTTTTATAGATTGAAAATCCAGAGACTATCCACTTTCGGAATGGGCCTTTCCTAGTTCGGACCGTATTTAGATGCCTTGTCATCAAGCAGTAATTGTTATATGCGTCAGTGGAACAGGTCATATTAGATGTGATCATCTGTCGATCTGAGAGGTGGTATTTTACCACCAAGGACAAGCTGCTTCAGCGTCCGGCAAATCTCCCTCACACTTGTATGGTATGTAAATTGGGCTTATTTAGACTTTCCGCGTTGTAGCATGCCAGTACTAGATGCATAAGCATAGAGACGCTCTCAATAGTGGTCTCTTAGATAGTTCTTCAATGGATCTCAATTAGTTCCCTCAGTACTAGTGCGTACAGATATCCTGAGATTCGACATCATCCTTTATTATGCATAATAATGCCTTAGCTTGCCCAAGATACCGTAAGAGTGTATTGGTGTTTTGGTGGGGCTGGGGATTCCTGTGGGAAAAGAGGTACTGTACGAACACAGCAACAGGCTGCAACTGTGCATTAAATATCACACCCGATCCAGAATAATGGGTCCCATGCTGTGTTTTGGTTGGCCCATCTGTTGCCGCCCACGTTGACGACCACAGGGGATAGTCACAGCTAAAGGGGAAAGAAGGGGCGTATGAATATACTAGGCCTTGGATATGGCGGCTGGTATTCTTGGCGGTCATGCCATGTGACTGCGCTCAGTTGCCTGCATGAAGACCGTGTTGCTTATTGGTTCATCAATCCTAGTCGTCTACTAGTTTGGTGTCTAGCAGGGATTCTGAACATGACATGGTCAGCTGAACTCAGGGGTCCCTGATCTGGCCTATGTATGGCGTTCCATCCTGAAAGTCTCCTTTCACAAGCATTTCTCAGCTTGATCTCACCTCAAACGATGGATATTCTGACCGTTTTTGAGCTATTGCGAAATGTACCAAGTGATACTCTACTCGCTCACAGCTGTGAAGCTATTTCAATATTGAGAGAAATGGAGGGACGCCTTGCAGAAAGACTCACGGACCGTCCGGAGGTGGTGACGCCCCTATGTCTTTTTTGTCATCGTCCAGGTTTTCCCTCTGAAGCAAATGAAGCTGTTCCAAACAGCTTGTCGCACCCGATCGCTCGACGAAGGGACTCGACCTCGACCTCGACCTCGACCTCGACCTCGACCTCGGCCTCGTCAGACAGGCTTGGTCTCGTTCGTTCCTCTCAAGAACCAATCCAAACGCCAACTGCACCCTCCGAACAACCTTCGGCTTTGACTCCCCTTTCATCCAAGAGAAAAAGGAGGCAACCCAAGGACCCAAGCGAGCAAGTTACTCCGCTACTCAACTCCCTCATCGAAGTAATCCCTTGGTTACTGGAGTTTTGCAAGAACGATCCGGTGGATATCATTCAAAAACGGCTTTTGAAGGGGAAGAATAGGATCCTTGAGGATATTAGACGAGTCGAAGGGAACCAGCAACCTTCAAATACCGACGGATTATTCAGAGGGGTTGCTCAACGCTCTCTGTCACTTGAGTTTGTCAAAGCGCGGAGGAATGCTGCGAGTGGCAAAAATCAGACTAGATCTGATGACGAAAGTCCTCAAACTGAGCAAGAATCCTTAATACGATATGGGCGAGGGGGTGATATCACTTCATATGTTCGAGAAAATTCGGATTTTGAAGACGATGATGAACTGTTCGCCATACAAAATATCCGGGCGGGCAACAAGCAGCTGGAGGTTGAAAGAGTACTGAAAATCAAACTGAAGGAAGCAGGCAGAGCCGAAGAGGCCTCTGCAATATCTGCTTTGACGGCTTTAACTAACAGACCATTCAGATATCTGAATCTAACGGCAATACCTCACTTTGTCGATTCTCTTTTCCAAGAATCCTCCAAAGTCGACTTTCCCAGTGAAGAGAGTGAAGATTCATATTCACTCCACATCCTCGATGTCATCGAGGAGACATCGCAGTGGTTCGAGACACTTCAAAGTTTTTATGATTGTAAGTCTTTCCACCCCTTGATAAAATACCGTCTAATGCCTTTTCAAAAAGGTGGCATCCCTCCCACGCAAGAAGCGAAAATACCGTCCCCTGGACGCGCTTACACTCTATCCCCGACAAATACAACGTCCTGTGATCGGACATCCAGTGAAATCGCACAAAGTGACGTGGGTGAGGAATCGATGGGATCGAACTCCGTGTCTGGTGACACTCTCGGAGAGGATACACCTTTCACTACGGAGAATGGTCAGTTTAGTCTCTACTACCTATTCTGAGTCTATGCTAACCGAAGCTTTAATATTTGAAGCCTCGTTGGTAAATTTCGAGCATCCTGAACTCTCCAATGATTGTGATCTGGACAAAACGCTACACCCACCCACGACAATCATGCTTCCCATCGAAAAAAGTCGGCCAAACCAGAATTATCCAGCGGCCTTGTGTACGAGCTCATCAGTCGCTAACATCTCCCTTGCGGCTTCAAACCATGCACAATGCACAAGCGATGCTGGAACGGAAAAGTCCGATACTACCTGCATTTCCTCCAGCACTCCAACATGTGGCAGTCATTCCAATACTACATCACGTCCTGGTTGGTCTGGAAATCTTAGCCAGGAGCGTTGCAAGCGGCGCCGGACTGAATATGACAGATACGTGCCATTCGAAACCTTGTCCCATCCCACGACTAAGTTTCCCGAGTGTCAAAACTTCAATCAAGAATTCGGTGGATCTCTTGACCACTCTACTGTGGGAGGCTTTCAGTCTGCAGCTGAGCTACTGGACCATCAAAATTATGCTCGACCGTTCGATCACCCCTTTCCACCTGCTGCAGGCGATCCAGATTCTGGGAATGCTCTTCCTCGCGAACTTCAATCTGTCAATGAATATCTGGATGATAACGTGACAGTGAGCGGATTTCAACCTGCAACTGAGCTACTGGACCATCAAAATTATGCTCGACCGTTCGATCATCCCTTCCCACCTGCTGCAGGCGATCCAGATTCTGGGAATGCTCTTCCTCGCGAACTTCAATCTGTCAATGAATATCTGGATGATAACGTGACAGTGAGCGGATTTCAACCTGCAACTGAGCTATTGGGCTATCAGATTTATGCTCAACCGTTCGATCATCCTTTTCAGCTTACAGCAGAGAGTTTAACTTCCGAGAACACTGGTTGCGAAGCTAGCGACTTACAATTTACGACTGATTATCTGAACCATCGACAGTCGAATGAGCTTCCTTGCCAGTTGGGGGTGAGTGGCGTCCAGCCCACGACTGGGTCAACGAGCCATCAAAACGATGCTCGGGTATTTAATCAGCCTTTCCAGCTTACAGTGGATGAGATACTGAACTATCAGAATGTCGTTCAAGAATTTGGAGCAAGTCACATTCAATCTATGGTTGCGCCATACACAGCATCATTGGTGGCTTAAGTGTTCCATATCAGCAGCGCTCCATGGTCTATTCGCGAACTAGAACTTAAACCAATAAATCTCACAAACTGGGCCAGTGTTGGGTGATGAAAACAAAGTATGTACAGCTCGAAGGCTCCCACCTCAAAGTAGCTTATCGAAATCATTCGAAATCTGATATAATCAACGCCACTAATTTGGCACCTTCGGACACTTCAACGTTACATTCCCGTGAGATGTGGTAATAGTGATCCATGTCCAGATCCAATCCATCAACATGTGTTTTGCCAGCGATGTGCAAAGGTATCATTATTGTGAAGGTTTGTCCCACAACCGATCTTCCCGGGAAGAAAACGAATCCTCCCATCCTATAGTTTGATATTTTGGCCGGTAAGTTGGCGTTTGTCGGTTGAGACTTCGTCGAGATATCATTAGGAATAGATTGAATATATTTTGCGAAATGAAGTTCTCACCTTGAGCTCTGAAATAGCGGCATGAATAGGAGCCTCGCAAGCATCTGTTGGGAAAAAACGGGCAAATATCGAGCGCATAGGCTTTGGTAGAGGTTCAGCAACAGGGCGCACCTCTGTCCAAGCTTGACTCGCGCAAGTTTTGACTTTTTCCGATGATAGTGGAAGAACGAACGGATCAGCCTTGGACATCTGAGACATTGGTGACGCCGGAGTCACGGAACGGAAATTCAAGATTAGAGTTCTCGGTCGATCGCGCTGTTTCAACAGGTGAACTAGGTGAACTCGAGCAGGGTTGGGTTTTTGGTCGCAGATGGTTGCATTAATTGAAAACTTTTACTCAGGGAGGGGTCGACGGCGGGGTTCGCGACAGCCTGAAATCCTGGTCTCGTGACTTCGGCGCTGTCCAACTTCACCTGTTGGGCCGCATTGCAGACAACCTATTCTCTGACGAACAAGCTCGAGTTCACGTGTCTACCAAATATATATATCATCAAATGCTCACTAGACCACGTCCTCCGTGTTATTCTACATTGCCTTGGTGTTGCTATCGATGCTTCCCCCAACCCTCAGATATTGGGCGGTTAGAGGCCCCCAAGCCTAACAGTGATGCCAAGTTGCCTCAAGTACTTTGCTAATTTGAAAAGAATGACATCGTGAGAAAAACTCTTTCGCCCCATCAGGTCTATGCGGACTCCGTGATACGAATTTCCTAGGTGTTATCGTTCATAATTAACTAGTTAACTATTTCCTCGCTAATCAGCTGAATAAACATTTTCTCAATCACACAGCACGTATACGCTTTGCATCTGGTGACACTGACTGACATAATAGTCTCTTGGCTTCGTGATCACTTTAATACGGGTCGATAATCCAATGTAGAGCGATGAAAGTCGATAATCAATGCCCGTCCGAGTTCATTATTCCAAAGAATATTGTCAGGCCGAAGATCTTGATGGAGGATTCCCAAAGAGTGGATTTCCTTTCTCGACCTCCGAATCTCCTGGTGAAGCTATGAGTTCTGCTCAATCGTTGCTGTGCTTTCGCCTCCCCAGCCCATGACGAGCATGTGACAAATTTCACCAGCTCCATGAAGAAAATAAATTTTGCTAAGTCGATTGTCCCAAGGAAAACAGGTACCGCAGAGCCCTGGACTTTCCGCAGAATTTGGTATATCTGCGCTTCGCGGGAGACTTCCTTCCAAAGTCCCGAAGTCATGCCCTTTCCGACAACAGTATAACCATATGCGGCACAAGTAAGTTTGAACGGCGCGCCATATGCCCCGCAAATTCCAAAGGGCGTGCAATTTCTGTCGATATTTTCGTCCAGTTGCCGTTTTAGTAAAACCACCAGATCCTCTGCGTTGATGGGATGCCTAGGGTCGTCTCGATCTTGTCGATGGAGGGGTTAACGTTTGGACAGCAGTCATCTAAGACACCACCATTCGGAACCCCAAGCAGGCACGTCTGTGTGCAAAACTGTGCCTCGTGGCGTCGTAACTGACCGCTTGGATGGTTTCTAGCCTCTCGTTGACGAGCCGCTCGCTGGGCAGATGGGGAAGATGTGACTTGACTGAAGCCCCGCTTTCGCCCTGATGCTGCATGGTTCACATCGGAGTCTGACGAGTCCGGCGACTCCATGCGATATCGGACATCTAATGGTGCACAGTTTGCACAGTTAGCTTGAGACCTTGTAGCTGCTCGACGACCTGCTGTTGGGGATTCTAGCGGTGGTGACGATTGTTGATACTCTGAACTGAGTTCCGGACTCACATACTCAGAGTTAGTACTATCGGAGTGCGGAGCGGCTTGCTGTAACCCTGCCTTACGGATCTGTGAACGAGCATGGTCGAAGCTGGTCGTCCAAAGAGGAAGCTGCGATCGTGTGGCATGCCTCCATTCTTGACCACGTACAGTGGAGCGAAACGCCATCAAGCAAAGACACAGGACCCGGGCAACCGACGTCCTCGGCTCCTGGAGATTCTGTTCAATATCGCCCTCCAACTCTCTGTTAGGATCACAGAGAAAGTAGTGCAATGTATCCGGATTATCGTGTGGAACGCAGAGAAGGACACGAGCAATCCCGTTTGTCAAATAGGAATACTCGAGTCCTTCCTGAATTATCACATGGTATTCCTGGACAATAGCGGTGCAGACGAGTCGCTCTGCATTGTACTTCAATTTCTGCGTCTCTTCCAGGGGTAATTTGTTTGATTTGACCATCTCCTTCCACAGATTCATTGGCCGAAGCCCTAGACGAAGAGTTGTATCCGAGAGCTTGTGGAATGGTTTATATTCAACCGTAGCGAGAAGAGTGTTAGCGTTTCCGTCAACTCGATGGATGCAGAACTAATCAGGCCTTGGACGATGTATGCTTGATGACTGGCTTGCATTCATATCCGTAGAGTCATCGTGATGAAGAGAGTTTGTATGATTGTTGAACCAGATTCCATCACCAAGCCCAAACTCGTCTCGGGCAGCATCGATTTTGCACAGCTCCACGATTATATCACGGACATGGTCCTCCACGGCGATTCGCTCGTAGGTCTCGATACCTTGTTCACTGCTAATTGGCCGGAGGCCGAATCGTCTCGCGTCCTCTTCAAGCGCAATCAGGGGGTAAACAATCGTGCCCGGGCTTCCTCAGCCGGGTGGAGGTAGTCGCACACAGAGTTGTAGATTTCTTGCTGTCGAGCTGGACAATCCGTCCATGGTTCTAGTCGTATCGGGTAGTATTTTCCAGTGGGAAGGGGTATTGTCCCCGTAGTAGAGCGAAATGGTGTTTCGAGTCTCAACTGTCGGGAGAGTAGGTAGTGGCAATAGCGCATGAATTCCATGAAAGTAGTCCGTTGGTTGCGCTCCCTCTCCTGTCTCCCTTCATCTTCAGCCTGCTTTCGTCTCTCTTCTGCCTCCAGAAAGAGACTTTTGTAATCTGGGGAGCTGTTGTCGGCCATCGACCTGTCGGATGGGGGAGGCGATGGTTTTGAACAACCGTGTTAAGTCCCGACTAGTGTTCGTGAGCGAGCCACGCAATCGAGCGAGCCACGCCAAAACACATAGTAAATGCAATAAAACGCAACCTCGAATCTCAATATTTATTATTTAAAACTTATATTTAGCTATATAACTCTATTATGTACAATCATTTTATTATATTGCATGAGTCTAAGCACTATTCATATAGTGGTTGTGGAGATATATCTTTAGATATTGTCAAAATTATAGTGTATTTTTTGTAGTCTCGATAGAAAATTACATTTACCATGCATTGTATTGACCATCTCTACCCCTGATCGTAGTTGTCAAAAGGCAAAAGATGACCCACAACTTCCGAGATGTAAATAAAATACATCATCCGTCCACTGCTGGCCGTCGGCCCTGAGAGACTGGACATCGTTCCAGACGCGCCACCGTCTTCCAACTTCCACTGATCGGATATACTTCAATTGGCCCATATAATACAAGCGAGTCTTGTAATGGCGAGTGTTTGAAAGAGTACGACTCGGACATGAATAAGGTGGGAGGTCTCCCAAAAACAATTTTTGAATTCCGCTTCTCTCCGAGGAGGCGTACAATTTCCTGACGATCAATGTCCCTTTGGAATGTGTCCTCGATATAACCCAGTCGTCGATTGAATGAAGCCATGGAGTTGCCCTCGGTACGATCGCATATCTATTGTCTGTTTCGGTGCTTGTCTTGAGCAAGATCAATGGCCTGTCGGTTTTCGTTATCTCGAATACTTTTGGCTGTATTGTTCTCGAGGAGGACCTTGATATTCTCGACCCAACCAAAGAGTGCTGCCTCCATTAACGCCGTCCTTCCACTATTTGCTGTAAAATTTACTTTAGCCCTATGCTCAATGAGAAGAGATACCATCATCGAGCTCTGCTCTGCTGCTGCGATGATTAGGTTTGTTCGACCATCGCTATATCGGCCCCGGATGAACAAGGGGGCTTCACTAGAGGTGTCCAGATATTTCTACACCGCTTATACATCCCCGCTAGCGCAGTCACTGATTGGTTAAAGAATTCTTTTCTGTTCAAATGGGTCGATTCCGTGTCCTGGATTGATGGTGACAAGCTCCTTTGCGTCTTGGTGAATACTCGTAAAATTTTCTTCTCTCTGTACTGCGATCGTAGCCTCTTCAGCAAATTGAATTGCCAAACGATCAACATCATCGTCATCCTCCCTATCACTCTCATACGATACACAAATATTGGTATAACGTCCTCGTCTCTTCTCGATTTCTTACGCAGCCTCCCCTTGATTGTTCATGGGGAAGCAGCATAGATAAGGCTCCATCTTCTCGCAATGAGAGTATCTCAACTTCTGTGCATTCCAGTTTATGCTGTGTCGTCACAGAATGGACAGCGAATGTAGAAGTCGGTCGCATTCCACCAGATAACGTCGGCTTCAGGGAAGGTTTTCATTGTGGGTTGATATTCACAAGCAAGGGGATGCCGATGCCTTTGTGAGAATGGTCGGAAGGAGGCAGACGGAAGATGGGTATGGTAGATGGGTCCAACAATATGGGGTATTCAAATCTCGCCCGAGGACTCGGGGTATAGGTGTAGGCGTTGTGCCGTATAAGCTTACCCTAATTTGCCAGTTTACGGTGGCTCACGATGTTTGATGCGCGAATAAGGTCGCCAGAGTTCAAAGGAAGTCAATGACGAGTGACTCTCATTTGGGGATTCTTCGAAGGAACATCGCACGTGACTGAAAATGTTAAATTTGGACTTGGTCTGTATTGTAATTCGACCGATCCCCTTCATCATGCTTCCCACAGAGTAGTATCGATTGCCAATCCACTTTATAGCAGACAAATATCCTTTTTCCTTTGATTGGACGACCGCATTGGCGGAATCGGTCCTGATGGGAACAGGCCTTTCTCTTAGGGAGCACTAGGGGAAGCTGGGGAGAGCAGAACTCTGAGGAAGGGAGCAGAAGAGAGAGAAAGAATCAAATCGTCTTGTCCGTAAGGTCCCCGGAGAGAAGAAGAGAAGCTATCTACTGCCACCTACAGGTGCGCTGCGGGCGGTCAGGGAGGCGGTGGAGAACTGCTGGCAGAACCCCAGTCCCAACACTTTCCTTCCTCAATAGAGTGAACCTCATCGTAGTTCTCATCAACGTCTTATGACAGAGAACAATTGTTGCCTCAGTTTATATAAGGCGAGTTCCAATTAGCAAGCCTTACCATCCACTTCAAGACAGTGGGCTATTTCATGAAACCGGTCGTCTCGTCAAGCACTACCTTGAGGCAGGCAGCCACTACGTTGAGACCGGCAAATAGCAACTTCTTCAGCCGTCGACAAAGGGAAAGATGATTTGACTACAAGGGCTGGTGGCTAGCGAGGATAAAATGTCGAAGTCGATCCCGGGTCTCTGTCTGTTGCCGTAGACAATTTAGCTTGTGCAGTGTTCAGTTTTGAACGTGTTCTGATCTTCTTTGGTGCCACGGCAGTCACCGTAGCGAATCAAACAGCTCAGCAGCTGATAAACCTGCTTCCTTTTCCTTTAGGTTCTTGCTATTGTTCTGGATTTAGCGTGGCTTGTGGCTGCTTTGGTCTGCAGTTAGGGGTTAATTACGGATTTTTATGCGAGGTTCAATTGCGTGAGCCATTGTGTAATGCTTTGGTGTCGGTTTTATGCCTAATTACTAGGAGACAAATCTCTGGGGTCGTCGACTAAGACCCTCTTGTCCCATAGGGTATAGGGCCGGGGATTTGCAAAGTCGAAACCCGTAATGTCCGGCATGAAGCCCATGCTTCGGCTAGTTTCCGATCTTTCTACCCTTGTACTTTATGATATTTATTGATCAACCCATAATTCAGAGAGGCCAAGAATATATGGTAATGGCTAGCGACCTGTCTGACGCGTCACAAACGATCACCGAATTTTGAATACGCGAGGCGTAGTAATAGCACTGCCCCTAACTTCTCGAGTGATATCGCTATCGCTTCTTTTCCGCGGTGTCACTCATATAGAGATAAAGGGATCCACTCCTCAAGCTCTTGGGGTCGATATTAGCACAGTACGGGCCGTGCCGACTAAACTTTGATATCACCCCACTGGCATAATATACATAATAATGCATGATAGAGACAGCGGGAGCTGTTTATATATAGAGCATCCCCGATCTAAATGAATGTCATCTCTAGCAAATAGAACTCTGAACTCTGACTCGTGCACGCCCCGCGCTGCCTAAATAGGATATGGATGTTCCTTAAATGTCCGGGAAATCCGGTTTAATCCCGAGCGCAGAGAGCAGAATTTTGACTACCCCGTGATGTCCGTTTTTTCTAGCGTATGTCAGGGGCGCCCCCTGATTACTGTAGAGAGAGTTCGGATTGGCGCCATTGTCGAGGAGTCGCTTGACAGTTTTCTCCGCTCCGTAGAATGCTGCCACCATCAGAGGTGTCTGTTGACCACGAGCCTTGAAGTCGTGGTCGACACCATTAGTGGCAAGTAGCAGCCCGACCACTGCGTCATGCCCTTCCCGTATTGCATGAAACAAAGGCGTCCATCCAGCGGAGTCAGGAGAGTCTAGTTCAATACCATCAGTAGCAAGCAATTGCCTGACGATTGCTTCGTCTCCATTCTGTGCCGCCCACGATAGGGCAGTACGCCCACTGGCATCCTGGGTGTTTGGGCTGATACCATCGGCCGCAAGCAGTAGCCTGACTATTCTGTCATGCCCTTTGCGTACTGCATGAGATAGCGGCGTCCATCCGAAGAAATCGGGACAGTCCAGCTCGATGCCAACGGTAGCAAGCAACAGCCTGACGATTGCTTCGTCTCCATCCTGTGCTGCCCACGATAGAACAGTCCACCCATCGGAATCCTGCGTGTTTGGGTTGATGCCATCGGTAGCGAGTAGTACCGTAGTTACCTCCATATGTCCCCTCCGTGCGGCCCACGATAAAGCAGTCCACCCATCACAATCCTGGGAGTTTGGGTCGATGCCATCGGCAGCGAGCAGTAGCTTAATTACTGCGACATGTCCATTCTGTGCTGCCCATGATAAGGCTTGACACAAATCGGAATCCTGGAGATTTGGGTCGTCGGCAGTAAGCAACAGCTTCAGTATGTCTCCATATCCGTTTCTTGCTGCTATAAGTAGAGGCCTTTGAAGCGTAAACGCAGGTTGAGTGCATGCCCTTGCTGCCAGTGATTTCTGAACAGTCTCCACTCGGCCGTTTTCCGCAGCCCAATCCGATACCCAACTGCCATATCGGCGTACCCCGCAACGGTAAAGATAGGGATTGAGAAGCGTGTAAAAGTGACGGTTTGTTTGGATAAGTGGGTTCATGTATTTTGGAAACTGCAGGTGCTCTGCAATTAACAACCACAATTCATTTGGTAAATCAGGCAACATATTGCAGATATTGGTCTGGTTGCTATGCAATCTATGCGTATTCAGGATCGATGGTTGTAGCAGGTAGGAACTAAGGGCGTCAGAATTTGTGCAAGGGCGTCTGGTTTGGGAATTATGCTTGTCTTTGTATGATGAGGCACAATAAACAAAACCCACATCTCAGGTCGATCTCTAGAGCCCAGGTGTCGCTCCATGCACTCAAAGATTTTCGGATAATTTCTGAGCCTGCGGTCGCAGGAGCTGTAAGGAGCGAAAAGGAGTATTAGTAGGGATCAGCGGTTCTATATCTTAGGCGCTGGCCATTACAAGTTCATTTAGGTCCTTAAAATACACCAAGTCCACGTATTATGTATTAGAGGTGCTGATCAGCACAAACCCAATTGTTCGAAATCTCCCAATATGTACCTTCAACAGTGCTCTCATCAATAACCTTTTGACAAGAATTCTGCTAATAACTCCCGTCAACGGCTCTTTTCGCTGACTCTATGCCAGTTCGTTCATTGACTCGCTAAAAATGATTCTTTCAACGGCTTTTTTTTTTAAAAAAGATTCCTCTAAAATTGAGTTCTCCAATGTTTTTTCTTTCTTTCTCTTTCAACAACTCTATCGAACTTATTCTGCCAACGAACGCCGCCGTTCAAAGGATTAACGGCGCTTTTAAACTAGGCGGTCAACAATTCCCGCCAGTTCATTATGCCGTTGTTTACCGTGGAAGGGCCTACTTCAGGTAAAGCTCACTTCCACTCGGCCAGCCACGAAAGACCAGAGCCGTACGGGCTTCAAAACAAAACAGCCGTTTCTCTTTCGCATAGTCCTGGATCTGGGCTTGCAACCCCGGCATCTACATCTCTAGAGGCTTTTTTTTGCGAGGGTGGGCACCAGTGTTATATTGTATGCTGCTATAGCCCTTAGCCCACGTCTATAATTATATATAACAGCCCTGTACTGTAAGATATGCAGTCCAATATCCTCTCTGAGTCTTTCGCAAACTTCTATACTTGTCTACCCCTCTTGCAGTTTGATACAGAATAGAAGTTTGCCGGCGCAAACGATAGGGGATGGCGACTTGTAATGTCTGAATGTATATTTAATATATAAGGTTCTGACAATGATTGTTCAGGGCCTTAGCCGGTATAGAACGAAAAGACACAAAAATTCGCAACACTCACTTAGCTTGTAGAGGTATTTTGAGGGAACGGAAAGAGCGAACGTTGCCACGATATAGACCTTAAGCCAAAGAGAAGGGCAATACAGTGAGACGTTGTGTGTGCCTCGCTGAATAAAATATATATACCTTGGTCCATATTCTTAAGGGTAGTATAGGGTAATTAATATAACCCTGTATCACGTGATAATTACTTTCAATATGATTCGGTAACTTAATACCAATTAAGCCCGAACTTGATAAGCTGTATCGCGGAATAGGGTTTGAGAAAGATGAGGTGAAACGAAATTCGATCCAACCTATATCATAAGCATTGAGAAAACCGGATTCAAGACCCAGAAGGCCAAGTTATTTTAATCCTAGCCATCTTCGAGTTCTCCGATTTTGAGCTGATGGCTACCATCCCAATCCTTCACACTAGTTTTCCCCTTTTCCGAGGTCTCAAAAAATGGCGGTCCTGTCCTTCGCTTGCCCGTTTGGTCGATGGGGCAGATGGGGCAGGATCAAAAAACCTCCAGACAGTAGCTTCTGACAAGTCATCTGCAAGAATAATGACTTTACCTTCCTCCTCGAGGAGACGTATCTCGTCGCCTCCGTACTTCCAGGATAACTGGAATTCATAAACCAACTCTCCGTTGATGTTTAGGAAGATGACTTTGGAAGGGAGCGTTCGGTAATTATCGCAATGCACAACAATAAGAAAAGCATCCCGGTAAATCATAGCGCCGCAGCACTGCCTACCATCTTCAAGCCTCCATATCTGTTCGTCATCCTTCATCATTTGAAGGTCATCGGTGCGAAGAACGTAAGTGCCGTCGGAAAACTCATCCAAAAAACCTCTTTCAAGGCTGTCAACCTCCATCATTTTGCCCATATATGTCACCGCGAGAGGAGAATCAAATGGCCGGGAAAACAATATACCATTCCGACAGATTTCATGGATTTGCGTGCACCCCAAATAGGAATTCCCAATAGATTGGCCGTTGACGAGATTTTTGGGAAACAGATATGATAAGGAAAGGCCGAAATCCTGCTGCTCCATATAAGAGGGCTCAGCGCTATCTTGCCAAACAATATTTCTCCAACTCATGATGTGTAAATCATCATATGTATCCGGTTTCGAGGTGGTTATGAAGCCTTTTTGGCCATGAAGGATGCATGGCCAGTTGAAACGGGTGGCATTTGAATGTTGTACTTCCCAGAGTCTCTTGCGGCGAGGATTCCATATGCGAATACCACCATGTGTCGGTGAGTATTGAACGACTAGGTCGCTATCACCATCAAGCACGTATGCATGCTCGGAAGAGTCTGGTGTGGATTGTTCGGCAACCAAATCCCAGTCTGAGACTTGGCGGACAACAAGCCTCCAAGGCCCTGGTTCTGGCTTTTCGTATCCAAGGCAAAGTCTTCCGCAGTCAAAGATCCTTGGGTTTAGAAGCTCTGGAACATTGAAGAAAGCTGTACGACCCCGCCTTCTAGGCCACACCGTGACCGACATAGTTCCCGCGACCCCGATGCTCTCAGGTTCTGATTTCCATTCCTCGGCTTTCCAGGGTTGTGTATGTGGGAATCTTTTGAAGTCCCAGTACCAAATGTGGGATCTACCATCAGACTTGAAACTCAAGTATCTGCCGTCACCACAACTAACAAAATCTTCAAACGGCTTGTGAAACGGACGTATTGATGGGTTCGGTACTGGCTGAGCTGAGGCGAGCAGCTCAGCCATTATTGGGAGTGTCTTGAAGTTTCTTGTTCTCTTAAACCGATCCGCTAGAGGCCTTATGTCCGGCATAGCTGCTAAGAAGACAGACAGCGTGAATGGGTCAAGCAGGCAGAGTATCATTTGCTTGATCTCCTGGGGCATATCAATCCACGATTTTGGTCGTTTCTGGGCAGGGTGCGCCCCCATATTTGTGAGACTGGTAAGAACAGCTTCGGAGGATGGAGGAGAGAGTGATAAGAACAGCTGGAAGAGCCTGGCTGGCCTATTAATGTTATTCGATGGATCACGTGATAATGGTGGCTGTAAATATGGGTCTATTACTGTACTGGCGCAAGTGTATGGATCAGCTCGCTCTGTTTCAACGCCCAATATCTATGGTGTCAAATCGCACGTGAACACACCTGACACCTTACAACCAAAAATCAAAGTTTAGTTATATCGTCACCAAAAGACTATGTCAGTATGATTATGCAGTGTAAGCCCTGTGAGAATTCCACGATGCATCTACGGGACTTTACACCGGGACTGCCACAATTGATCCACAATACAAAAACCCGACTAGATAGACTCCTACGAGTCAGGTCTTGTTTCAAGTGATATGAACCCTGCGGGAAGAGGGCCGCAGATTACGCTACCGAGCGCCAGCCAGTAGTTCCTAGGAGCGAAACAACGCGCTCAGTCTTCACAATTCAACGACCTATAAAAAGTGTCAAAAGGAGAGGATTGGATATGCAAGCAAATACCGAGTACACTACATCGGGCGGTCACGAATAAGTGGTAAAACTTCTACAGTCTCACCCCACTAGAAGAGCGTAGCGGATATCTTGAGATAGAGTCGATTGATAAGTTAGGATCTCATAAGTATGACACAGGACGGATCGAAATCAGTTTACTATCAGTTCTCTTTGATTATGCGTCAAGCTGTCCATTCAGAGCCACGCTAGGCTTAATATAGGTGGTCAGCTTGCGAAACATCTTATTCAATACTCTCACCCAATACGTTAATTCTCTGCTAATATACGGATCCGCTCAAAATTGGTTTCACCACTTATTCGCTTCAAATCATTCTGGAATTCTAAAAAGTAAACTGCTCTATACCTATTTCGGCTACTATTGTCTAAAATAACCTCTACTGTAGGCAGTATCACGGTACGATACCAAATAGCGAGCAAAACTTTTGCTCCTGTATCACACTTGTATGAGCTACGGTATATCGTATTCAGATCCTGGGAGCCAATCTACTAATTTACGCCCATGCAATGACACGTCGCCTGATGTCTTCATTATATCTTCATTGTTAATATGGGAGCTTCTCCGCACGCGCCGTCCGTCTGCTGCTCACCTTGGTCCTCACACTGGCGAAGGACATTTCAATCCTTGTGTACGTTTAGGCGATAGGTTCATTTGAGCAAGAACCATAGAATTTTCGCACTACGCCAATTCAATACTCTACCCCCCAGAGATCTTGCATTTGATCGCAATGAATCTCAGCCTTCAGGATCATTTGCGAGTTCGCGCAATTTGCCAAAAAAAAAAAAAATAACCTGTCGCGTATTCGACTGTCAAGCTCTAACGTCCCTCTTGAAGGCCATCAAGAGACTCGACATAAGCTGAACGAATGGCTGAAACTGTCAACTGAACAAATGTCTTTTTATATCTTCTCTATCTCGACGCCATGTCCTATTATTCGCATACCGCGAGAACGGCTTAACACCAGATCTAACAGTTTTAGTCGACCATGGAGCATCATTGAGATATGGTTCTTGTGGCGATATTGTTGAGTGCGCAGCTCAAGGGAACGGTTAAGAATCAAGGTTGAACTGGTTGACGCAGCATGGTAGTTCTTATCGAGAGGTTCCGGGTGGGATCGACAAGTTATTTCGCGATGCGTTTCTGCGTGCCGATTCGAACAGAAAGCTGGACTGGATGATTGGGAATGGTGCCTCTCTAGATGCTCAGGGCGACATCCGTGAGCACATTCTCTTTCAGCCGATTGTCTCCCCTTGGCAAGGTCCTCGGAGCGAGGAAAGCGTGCGTTGGCGTCGACGTTTGCTCCTTTCCAGCAGGGCACCGTTAAAGAGACCTATGGGCCGTCTAAGACCCTTTGAGGAACCGTTATGTTGGACTTTTCAAAAACTGTTGCTTGAATTCAAAGACTCAAGACTTCAATCCCCGTTGCAGAAAGACATTCGTCTACTCTCTCTCTCCTTGCCTTTCAACTCCGACCATCTACATCCACTCGCGACTCAAGCTTTCACTGTCTTGTTACTATTCTCTCTACTGCCTTTATCTTCTTTCATTCCAATCAACCTCACTTATCATCTTCACTCTCTCGTTGGTTGATCTCTCTTTTCTTCATTCCCATCTTGATTCTGTTCATCAAAGTCTTCACTTTCTTTCCAAGAGAAGTGCGGGCCACGGATATGGATCGGGATTTCTTCTTCTTCCTGTTTCATAATGTTATTTCTCCACCCAAGCTCCCGCAGGCAAGAGAGCCGAATGCCCCACGCCTTGAAGCTAGGCTGCTGGCTATGGTCGAGGATGTCTTGGTATCTTTCCTTGAAAAGAGCCCTTCGGAACACCAGCCACGCTTACAGCCTGCTCTGTACATGCTGGGAAATTGGATGGAGGTCGAGGACCAGGGCACACTCCCCAAATCGTCTCTCGAGACATCTTTAGAAAGTCTCAAGCTCAACTAGTAAGTGAGCATTGTTGCGATACGTACCCCTGTCAACCATTATCCGCGGTTGCTACGTTTCTTCTTACGGCCCAAAATTGTGGATGGATGGCAACTTTCGATCATGATCAAAACATTGTAATCTTCGATGCCTTTAAGGCATGACCACTGGGTGAAGGCGTATTCAAAGACTCGGGTAGTCTCCAGCGTCATGTCCCTGGTGTGAGCGTCGCCATACTTGCTGAACGGTTCGCCAATCCACCCTTTCGGTCCTACTTAGCCTCTAACCTGTCCCCACTGGCTATGGAAGAGGACCCCAAAGCGGTATTGCAAAACCACTCAGTCGTCACTGCTCCTGAACACTCCCGAGATACTGCACACCCTGAATTGTTACCGAGGGTTTGATGACCCAGATCTTGGCCCTTATAAAACATCATGAGGGACATCGTATTATCAAGTGCATTCGTGACGATGTCATACGGGGAGACTGCAGGCAACCGTGGAGACGGTCACCAATGTGGCTGACTTTGCGAGTTGCCCAGCAGGTAATCTTCGAGCGATCATTTCCTGCACCGCAAGGTCGCATCATCTACAAGAACTTCATGCTTTATCTCTTGGCAAGCTTTGACTGCAGGGAATCGCATCACAAGGGTTCCGAGGTTCACGTGGATCATCTGGCTATCATCAGAGCCAAAGTTGGTCGTCACAGCTACAAGATACAAGGATGCATGTTCGCCTTCGTGGATGACTACGGCCATGCAACAATGAATGGCCACGGGGATGACCTGAAAAGCATCCAAAAGGGCGTTATCGACTCCGATATCATTGCTATTCCTCATAATCCCCACTCTGCGTCCAGCCATGATGGCCGTATATCCCTGGACAGCTCTACGAAGTATATGCGAGACGCAATTTCCTACTCTCCGCCGAAGCCCTGGGGCAAGGATTTCAATTCCACCCATAAACGGTGCAAAAGGTCCGGTGACTTGGGGCTTCCTACTTTTCAGGACGGGAGCCTGACATCATTGGCCGACGTTGAAAATGGGTTGCCGAGGAGCTGGCTAGTTGGCTTCAAAGACTGAGCCCCTGGTCCCTGTGAGCTGTAAGCTCTCCGAGCCTTTAAATGACTATGGAAGATTCGGCTCAGGCAGCCTATGCCAACAATCCACGAGAGCTGTCTGGCATGATTCTAGTGATGCTAGAGCTCTGGGTCGCATTGGACCAGGCATGCATCTTTTTGCAGCCGCTACTAGAGGTATTATTCCCACCGCAGATTCCCGCGGACTTGCTCGAGCCTCTTCTTCTTCCACAATTGGATCAGATGTAACGGGCGGCCAATGGAGAGGAATACATTCGCGTTAGACACGAGGGGACACATGGCCAAAACCCAAGCATCTTCAGTGATCCTTAATCCAGGGCATTTGCCGTTCAATATTTCGACGGCAGCGGAGAACACCAAAGGCTTCTATCAAAGATCAAACAGGCTGCGGCAACAGCCCGGATCGAAAAGAAGAAACAATGGGAAGAGAAGTCACTCCAATATCGTAAATTATCTGAGGCCTCTGAACAGTCTCAACACAAATTACACCTAGAGCAATAACGGCAAGAAGTCTCATGCCAAAGGCCCATGCACAAAAGGCACACTGAAAACCAAGATAGCAATCTCAGTATTGACGTCCATGAGTGGCCACTTCCAATAGATTCCAATATGCAGAAGGCTGTGTGTGGTGTTTGAGCTGAGGGCCCTAGAATGGTTTTTATGATGGCGAGATGCCACCTGGATGCTTTTGCATGATACGGGAATGCGCGAGACGAGAGTGGCGGGCAACCTCCATCTGAAGTTGGTGGGTTCAAAGGTAACCAAGGAGTTCCCGATTCGGCATCAGCAGAGGTTGTCTCTGGGATCAACCACCAAGCTGTGGGCCCAAAGGCATTATAACGCACTCCCAATTACTATTCCAGACTTCAACAGCTTGTGTCCAGAAAGTGGACTCAACTACCGGCTTCTGGATAGCCCGAAGCGTGCTTAGGTGATAGATCAGAATACAGAACCAACCGTGAAAGGCTAGTGTACCTTTACGCTTCCACCTGGTCCGTATTCGATTTTACAAGACACGGTCGATTCCTGTGGCCGAACTCAAAACGAAAGCATGGCAAGGCAACATGGAAATATGACATAATCAGTATTTATCTAGCAGAAAATCCCCCTAATTAGTATTTATATAGATGGCAGGGGATAAATAAAGAACTCCTACTATATAATTACCTTTATGTTAGTATTAGACCTACCGTACGAGGGTAAAAGATAGGAAGACTTACCTTAAAATATACCAAAAAAAAAAAAAAAAAAAAAAAAAAGCCCGCTTACAGTCTTATTTTTTTAGATTTTTTTTAAGGTTTTTCTGCATAAATTACTAGTATACTTTACCTAAAAAAAGAATCGAACGATACTTACTATACCTTATCTTCGCGAAACCACAGGAGGCGGTTCCCGCAACAGGGGGGTTTATCATCATCCGATATCTCGACAACCTCGGGCTCCGGCTCCGGCTTATCGACCACATAAGGTTAGGCGTACGAGGGGGCTTCCACGAGACTAAATAAGAAGAGCATTAATATAGCCTTAGCACTGCGAAGCCTATTAGAAACTGGTCATACTGCCAGAAAATATACCAGATATCCCTGCCTTAAATACTGATTATGTCAAAAAATGACACAATCAGTATTTTTGAATATATGGTCGTATAACAGAGAAAAGATGAAAAGATGAAAATAGCGGTCAAGATAGTTGTAGAGATGTTTGATAAAGGCGGAGCTTAAAGCGGTCAGAAATAATATATGGCTTATGTCATTTTTTCGTGATTGCGGCTATTTGCTGCCGTAACACTGCCCAACGACGCCTAGAAGAGAAGCTCACCAGATATTTGAAGATCCTGGGTTTGGCGACCAACTTCTCAAGACACTGGATGGCAAACTGGCAACTATTGAGTCAAGCTGGAATGCACATTGCAGTCTCGATACTATCGTTACAATTGGCCTTCGCATTCTTTCTCTTTCGAAGGGTGCTCCCAGCGTTGAGCAGGTGGTATCTTTCTTATGTCGCTGCCGTGAAGTGGCGAGTAAGTGGTTCGAGCAACTAAATAAGATCTTTACCGCCTCGCTGGGTTGGAAAGCAAAGGATGTCAGCATTTGCTTCTTCGAATTGCAATTATCTGCCAGGCTACCTACGACGTCGAATGCAGGCACATGGCTGCGATGCTTCAGGATTCCCAGGATCTTTCCTGCCTCATCCGGTCCTCGGTCATTCTCCGGGAAACCCCACCGCCAGAATTGGACTCATTGCCATGCGATATTAGGGCTACCCTGATCAGTGTGGAGAAGGTTCGCCATAGGCTGGAGAAAAGGATGCTTGGTTTAATCACCAAAGACCCTTCAGGGAGGAATGATGCCATCCAAAAAAGTGGGAGCTCGTTGAAGATGACTGGAAGCTGGACCGAGAACTCCAAGGACAAGAGACGGCTACAAAAACACAGAGACAACAATCGAGGATGAAAAACAGGCTGTTCGTTAAAACCCCTTGACGGGTGAACTCCTGGTGGCTGGCTATCCACCAGGACGTTTTCCGAAGGAGGTTCTGGTAGAACCTTTGTACAAACGTCCTTGTGCCTCGGTAAGATGGCGCATGAACGCAGTGGTGAATGGTTATATACTGATATTCATCTATGCAGAGAACGATTCCTGTCGTGCCGTCCAAGGTTTTGGGCCCCCCTTATTTGTCCGCCTAAGAGATCCGCGATTACGATGTCAGTCACTATCTATTTATTGCTTTGGATATAGGTTATGCTCACCTTGGCGACAGGTTTATTTACAATAAGGGATGGCCAATTGTTACTGAAGGCGAAAAAGGATTCGCAAACTCTCCAGCTGATTCCTCATGATGTTATGCGTCCAGAACTCCCGACAAGCTTTTCAACAGACTTCTTTCAATGGTTTGACTTGGATAAGCGAGTCCCCGAGTTTCGCCCGCTCGACCAGCCATGGAATTCTTGCTCGCAAAACTGGCAGCTGTCATTCAGCCCTGATTCCTCACGGGGATCGCTGATGCGACAGGGCAATCGAATGCTAGTTGATATCGGGAGGGAGCTATTTCACAGCGTGGCTGAGGGTTTGCAGACTTTGGATGCAAAGGATCATACCCATGTCATACAAAACGGGTCTCCAGCACTCGAAGCGGAGATGACACGGCTTCGTCTGAAGTCTACTCTCGGCCAATATGGCTTGATGGAGTCAAAAGGACCTCAATGCTCGTATTGACAAAACTCAAAACATTGGATGCTTTTTATGGGCCGAAGAACAAGCTGGTTCTTCTTGAAGGAGACCTACTCAATCGGCGTGCAGAGATCGTGCTATATGGTCATCGTCATATCATCGAGAAAGAGAAACATTTCCAGATGGTCATTCATCTTGCTGATGAACCACGCTTGAAACATTTCCATTATTCGTTGGATGAGCACCTGCAGATACTCCGAGGACTTCCAGATATGCTCGGCTCTGTCTATCCAGCCTATCTGCCGGCAATTTTGACATTGCCACTTACTGACCCTGCTTTGGGTCATTCAGGGACCGAAGAGGCGTTCCGAATTCTGCGGCAAGCGTCTCTCAAATCCGGGTTTCCACTTGGCCCAGATTGCATTTTGGTTTTGTGTAAAATTGCAGCTCTCACACCATGCCGGGATTATTACCCAGGCTGAGTGGCTTGTGAGACAGGGTAATGCCGCGGGAGTATTTTGGGTGCGGTTAGAATTAGGCTCCGCTTCGCTTCTCTGAGAAAACCCTGCATCCTCAACTGTCTGCGTGGCTCAGTATGACATCTCGGTCCATTGTCCCTTCGGTATTGGCTACACCTCTGCTGCTCTTGAGCTCCATCCGAGTTGGCTTGGCTTGTCGTACGTTTCAGGGGAATCGGCTACATTAGAGGGTGTGCCGAGCCTCATCCGCTTTACAATGTATCATAGTGGCTATCTTCACGGGTCTTGGCTGGAGTGAGGCACATGTTGCATGAATGGAAATCATGGCAGGTCTTGCTACAGCGTTGCCATCGTTACAAGGGGTCAGTTATGTATTCCTGAGACTAAAGTACGAGACTAAAGTACGCACTTTGTTCTTCACTTGCTGCTAGTAGTACTATCGAATAATTATCCAGCAACGTCAGCTCCAAGGGTTGCCGCAATTCCTGTAAGTGGCCTATCCTCTCTTTGCGGCATTATCAGGCCTGCTCAAAATTGCTACGGACCTAGTGGGGACATTTCTGGCAGCCACGTTTCATCTGGTAGTGCTCTAAGTTCTTTTCTTAGATTACCTGGGTATGGCTACTTGGTACTGGTTGCTGGCCGGACAAACGACGGCTGGTTCTCGAGCTCGACTCCCAACACAATACGCCTCGTACTACGCTTTTGTAATGGCACTAATCTCGGCAGTCATTGCGGTTACCGGAACAGTATGGGGCTGTTTGCCGTTGCTGCAAGGAGTACTGTATTCCTCCAATCGTATCCGTACGACTTTCCCTGCCTATGCTAACCGAACCAGACCCAACTTTTAGTCATAACTACATGTATGAACCTGACACTATTGATCATATAATCGTGTAAATGGGACTGAGGCACGATGATTCCAGGTGCTTGTAAGGCTTTTCTGGAGGGCGAAATAGGGCCATAGTCAAAGGCATGATGAAACAAATGGATTTATTTATGACTTGGATTTTAATACAATGTTTTCACTTTATCTGGGAAGGCTACTTGAAGCCTCGGGTAGATCTGGATTATCAGACGTTTGGGAACCTTGCTAGGAGGGCCAATTCGCCCGCTGAAATGGCATTCCACTCTGTCAGGATTCCAAGAAGTCTCCGCCGAGATTCCTCCAACGCTTGTTCGAAGAAGTGCAGCCTAGCTAGCTGGTCGCCTTGCCGGCGCTTCAAGTGTTCTGCTTCATGAAAATATTGATCGTTATTAGTGCGCAGGTCATGGTTGGCATCTTCAAGTCGCTGGATATCGGCATGCTTGGAAACAAATGATTCTCACATGCG